TTTCGATTTAACTTGAAATTTATGCAAAATTATTATGTACATGGGTAAAGGCACTTATGACTTAGTTTGGAGGAACGGTAGGCCTTGTTGAGCAATGATAACATTTGTGTAGAAACGATGGCTATTATTGTTTCTACAGGCTGTCATCTGGGAATCTAACTTCACAAGGAAGGTACAACAGTAGAAAACAGCTAAGATAAACGAGATTCTAATATCACTTAATCAGCTATGGTCCTCAGTCTTTTCCTTGTCCATTGACTTTTCTGAGTCTTCTCGTACAGGACTTCTTATGACGTTTCGCGTGGGCATCGGTTCCTCTTCTTGTTTTTCCGCACAAGTAGCAGTGAATGGGATGGATGGCGGAGGAAGAACACCTAAGCAAAATGTCGGACAGGATTCTCAACCTGTCCCCCTTGTAATGAGCCATGAGCTCATCATCTTTGCCCAGCTTCTTAAACAGTCCCTCTAGGTCGAAGACGTAGTGCAAGCCAGATACTCTGTAAAGCAACCAAAAAGAATATATCATCAATCTCATTCCATTGCAGGACAATGAACAAGTGGACATAGAAGATACTCTGCACACATCATCAGGCCGTGTTCTGTTTTTAACGAGAAGGCTTACACTGGGCAGTGGCACCGCTCTGAGAAAATCATCCCCGGCAGGGCGAATGCCTTTGGGGCACAATTGATCCAGGAAGCGGAAGAAGGGAATAACTTGACTTATCCCCAAATTGAGTTTTTATTTTATTATTGTGCCTTAGAATGGTTTACATCATTACACCAAATTATTTGACTGAATTCTAAGCAGTTTAGGAGAAAATCCACATGGAAAAAGGGTTTAACTCAACTTAACCCCTTTTACAGTCTAAATTTCATTGGAAAATGGAGATAACTCAACCTTAGTCTACATGAGTCCGTTTGACAAATTGGCAAAAGGATATAACTCAACTTGTGTTTTTATGGATCTAGTGTAAAAAGAATCAACTCAACTTAACCCCCCCTTAATTTTAAATTTCAATTTGGAAAAAAGAGCTAAGTCCAAAAAATACACCAGAGTAACATACACTTTATGCAGACTATTGTTCCACTTGACTTGTCTCAAAATTCCTCTTGGTTTAGGAAATATAAGGTGAGCTGACTCTGTTTTCCATTTCAGCGGAAAGTGATAAGTCGCAGAAATCCTCTACGAAGTGACCTTACACTTTTGATTTTTTTTCCAAAATTTTACTAATGCTTTTTGAAATTATTAACATCTGCAACATTCATTTGTTTTGTTTTAGTTTTCCCTGCCAACAGTTTTTTGTTTCTCCTGAAAAATGACCAAAATTGAGTTATCCCCTTCTTCCGCTTCCTGGATCAATTGACCGCTTCATTTATATTGAAGCCTAAATTGAAGCCTTCGTGATGGCAATTTGCGAAGACGTAGACCACATCACCTGGTTTTTATATGACCTGCCCAGACAAAGAAAAGTCACCTTTCATGAGTTGTTTCAAATCTTCAAGATACTGTCAGGGGTTTCGGTACACGCTATCTGGAAACTTACAGTTTTGACAGGAATGCCTTCTCAGAGCAGTGTTCTTGGGTCAATAAAGACATTCTTGTGTTGTAAGAACACAGCACAAGTCCGGTCACATTTTCTTACTCCCATATCTCTTACCAACTCATGTAGGGCCCTGCTGTACCTAGGTGGTACCACAAACCTGGAACAGATGAACAAAGTTATCGTCCCAAACAAGCACGTTATCATTGGCCGAGCGATAGCGAAGCCTGTTACTCCATTGGGGTTGAAAAGTTTTTCCTGTCCGTCTGTCTGTGTGTGTGTGTGTGTGTGTGTGTGTCCGCACTACTCCTCCTGAACGGCTCGGCCGATCTCGGTGAGATTTTGCACACTTTTTGGGCATGTCCTTGGCTCGGCACACGCGAAATTTCACTATCCTAGCTCAACTGGTTCAGTTTTTATAGCCGAAAAACACCTAAAAAACGGCGAAAAATCGAGTTTTTTGCAGGCAGATCACTTCTGTCTTGAAGAAGGGGGGTCTGGGGGGCGGAGCCCCCCAGCCCCGACAAGTTAAAAAGTTACAAGGGATCTAGAATGAAGGGCCAGCATGCATTGAGTTAGAAGTAACCGACGATGGGCAAGCCATTGCCTGCCGAAGGCGGGCTAGTGCCGCAGGCCAAGGTAGGTACGCCAGGCGCGGATTGGAGGAACAGGCAGCGAGACATTGCGAAGCCTGTTACGACAAGACGCGGTCTGGCGTAAACCTACCTTGTCTTAGCCATTGACTTCTCAATTGTGACAAAGGATTTATGTAATGGGTCTCTCTTTCTCTCTCTCTCTCGTCTTACTATGCTTTGGCCTTTCCAGCCACATGCCTATTTACGGACTCAAAAGAGTGATCTTCAATGTACAGAAAGCTGACGCCTCCGATCGTACGAAAATTGAAGGGAGTGTTATACCCAAATGTGGCCCTCCAGGCACGACCTCCATGTTTGTTGTCATGTCTCTCATTGCAGTGGTTGTCGATGTTTAGAGATAGGTTTCATAGCATGTGTTTGGCGCATACATATTTTCCTTTCCCTGTCTCTTAACATTTCAAAGAGTGAGTCGAAAGCACCATTCACCCCGTCCGTTTCTAATGTCTGCTCTCTAAAAGAAAAAGTTGAGAAAATTACTGCTCAATGGCTTTCAACAACATGCTATCTGCTGTAAAAAAAACAAAAAACATGACACATATGACCAGGCTTACAGTTCTGTGGTTGGAGATTCGAAAAAGTTGTAATCCAGAATATCACTCCTAAACTTTTCTTTAAGACTTTGGAAAGCCTTGGTCCTTTTTTGGGTTGGTGTGATTCCTGCTATGTCGAGAATGTTTCGTTCCGCCCACATATTGCCAATAGTCAACACCTCAGGGCTAAAAACCCTCCGTCCCGTTTCTCTATCTATAGAGTCACTCCGTAAAAGTTCTTTCACCTTCGCAACACTGGCCATGTCAGCCTCTCGTCTCCCCTCCCACTCTTTCAGACTTCCCTGAAAATAAAATACAAAGGAAGAATAAGGAAGAATTACAGACAGTCAGCTTATCATTTTAAGCAAATGCACTGTGAAAACTTACGATGAAAACACCTGTCATCTGAGTATCTAAGTCCTTAGACATTATTTCGAACAGCCCGGCGGGGTCAAGATACTGTTCTTCTGATATTTCGACAACCTTCACTCCAAAGGCATCATTAACAGTAATTTACCTTCAGAGTCCATTTCAGATGAGAAGTTTCGGTTTGAGAAGGAATAAACGAAGACAGAAACGTTTCTAAAAATGTACCAGAAGCCAAATCAAACAAGTAAACATCAGCCTGCGCCTTCTGTAAAATTAACATTGGAAAAAAAGGCCCTTCTGCCTGCCGGCATTACCAACATTGAAGAAAGTTTAGCTGTCCTATACAGAAATTTATAAATTTCATGTTGAAACAAAACTTAACATCCTTTTTTTTTTAAACCCCGACATAATCAAAAGTGCAACCTTTCACTCCTCCACTCTCCTTTTCGTCTCCGATACAAGAAGACACTTTCGCCTCATTAAAGTTCATTCCACTTCATCACCAGCAGAGAGCAAAGGCGGTTAATTTGAAAGCTGAGACAAATTTGATGCAGGCTTTTTTACAAAATGTGTCTTTTGCCTTTTTGTATTTCAACGTTTTTCAGTCGCCTGCATTGGGTTGGCCCATTGAGCACAAGAGGCCACTGACAACCTTTGTTAGGTTAACTTAACAGATCCAAAGTTTTTTTTTTAGTGGAGACATTCTACTATCTCAACATCATCAGCTTTCATCGGGCATCGGATTGCACAGCCTCTGGAAGGCAACCAGTCCTGTCAGTAAGGTCATGAGTATTTTTCTGGTTGTCGTGGGAGTCTCAAGAAGCCCCTCTGAGAGTATCAAGAGAGAAAAAGAATTTTTGATTTTTTTTCAAACTTATCCAAAATTGTAAAATAGTTGAAAAATAGAAAAAAGCCAGGTGGCGCCTCCATATTTGCAAGTGAGAACCTTTGACATGTTGACTTATCAGATCCACACTCTCAGCCTGTTACGATGAATATTTTTTTAGCGGAGAGATTCTACTATCCCAACAACATCAGATCTCATCGGGCATCGGATTGGACAGTTTCTGGAAGGCAACAAGTGTTGTGAGTTAGGTCGTAAGTACTTTTCTGGGTGTCGTAGGAGTCATATGAAGCCCCTCTAAAAGTATCAAGAGTGAAAAAGAATTTTTGATTTTTTCCAAACTTACCCAAAATTGTAAAATAGTTGAAAAACAGAAAAAAGCCAGGTGGCGCCTTCACATTTGCAAGTGAGAACCTTTGACATGTTGACTTATCAGATCCACACTCTCAGCCTGTTACGATGAATATTTTTTTTAGCGGAGAGAATCTACTATCTCAACAGCTCAAATTTACCATCACAAACGTGTCTCTTTGTAGTTGCCCCATAGCCTCATTCCAGGATCTCTTTTTATTCCGACCAGAAATTTTCCTGTTACATGGGTGTCTGAAGCACTCAAAGCACCATTAATGTTGCAGAATAAAAAAATTGTACCTTTGTTAGGACACAAGTTTAAAACCTACCTCAACAGGTGCCTCCATGTAGTTGCCCCATATCTTCATTCCCTGATCAATTGTTATTTTGGCCAGAAACTCGGTTGCATTTTCTATAACTCATCGAACCTTTCGGAGCAATGAATATCACACCACATTCAGAGAGAACCCCTTTCTAGGACATGCATACACTGTAAACCCAAAGGTGATACTGTAAGTACCATTTATGGCAATCTCACGGAACTGGCGCAGCATCGTGAAGCCTCATACAAGCCACGGTCTGGCGTACACTTCCATTGTTTTTAACTGGGTCAAAATTAGATGACAGACCATTGAGACCGCGATTGAGACGAGAACAAAGTAAGGTGCTGTAGAGGGGACAGATAACAGACTAGACTGCTCGTGCCCGCGGTGTCCAACCTGCCCAGACGCACTTCAAGTGGCTGACCGAAAATGTACAAGAGCAGTCTTCGGAACCTTGACGATCGGGTGGCCTGTTCCAACGTAACCATGGCACGTGTGGCTCTTGCAGTGCTACTCGTCGCTGTAGCGGTAGCCCCTCCCGCCGACGCCTTGCGAATTTTGGGCATATTTCCGATTCAAGCTCGCAGCCACAACATAATGTTCAAGGTACGATTTAACGGCACGTGGTAGATGCACTGTGAAAATTCCAAATATGCATTATTTGAAAATAGTGACCCACTATTGATTTTTTAACTTATTTGAGAAGCTTAAAAAGGGTTCATATAAGGGCCAACGTCTAAACGTGTTAAATAAATCATACATTTGAGTACCATTCGGTAGTGAAGAAAAGGCATCAAAACTATGCCTGTTCGGGGCGTAAATGATCCATGAAGCGGAAGAAGGGGATAACTCAATTTTCATCATTTTTCAGTAGAAACAAAAAACTGTTTGCAGGGAAAACTAAATCCATTCAGATGAATGATATAGTTGCATTTTTGTCTAAAAAACATCAGTAATAACTGTAAAAATTTTCAAAAGTATAACATCACTCTGGAGACGGTTACTGTGATTTAAATCTATACCTTAGAATGAACTAAGGAACCATGTTTACATAGTTCTCCCAAATGAGAAGAAATATGGAGACAACTCAAGTCGAGCTGAGGTCTGCGTAGAGTCTATATAGCTGTGGAGCATTTTTTGAGTTACCTCCTTTTCCCATTATTTTTTAAAATGAATTCGGAGTTAAGTTGAGTTGACTCTTTTTGCATTAGATTCATAAAGACCTAAGTTGAGTTGGCTCTTCTTAGATTAGATTCATAAAGACTTAAGTTGAGTTACCTCCTTTTGCTATCTTGAGAAACGGAGTCATGTGGTCTTCGATTGAGTTGACTCCATTTTCCGATGAAATTTAGACCGTAAAAAGGGTTCAAGTTGAGATATATCCATTTTCCATGCGGATTTTCTCCTACACTGCTGGGAATGGAGTCAAATGATTTGGTGAAAAGATGCAAACTATCCTGAAGCACAATAATAAGATTAAAACTCAATTTAGAGATAAGTGAAGTTACTCCCTTCTTCCGCTTCATGGATCAAATGATCCACGCCTCTGGAACGGCTTGAATCTTTAAAAGAGAGCGGCGTGCATTGATGTAAAACTTCTAGGCAAAGTTGCCCTTTCGAAGGCATAACCTTATGATGCCAAAAGTGCGCACTTCCATTGAGGGCTGTGTTTGATGTCATCGCAGGGCACGCTACATGCGCTGGTTGACAGTGGCCACGAGGTGGTCGACCTCAGCCCCTACCCGCTCAAGACACCTCGCTCCAACTATACCGACGTGGACCTCTCGAAGGTGCTTCCATCCCTGGTCAACACCATGAATTTCGAGGAACTAACTGCCCTAACGAGGGTCGGCCTATATGACCTAATCCGGCAGAACGTTGGTGCCGAACTTTGCCGGAAAGTGTTCCAAACCAAGCAGTTCCAGGACATCATGAGCGGAGCCTACGGCAAATTCGACGTGGTGTTTACCGAAATAGTGGGAACGGACTGCTTCTCCGTCGTCGCCCACAAAATGCAGGTACTTTACTGTAAATCTGTCATAGGCGGAGAATACAGGGAATACAAGGGTTCGTCACACGAAATACTATCTCACGGCGTGTAGGAATATCATTTCACTCATCGCTGCGTGAAGAACTAAAGAAATTAAAAACAAACAGCACACTAAATTGCGACGTAGTTGTTTGGGCAGAAATTTTGCGCAAAATTGAGCATACGCTTCAAAATGCATGGATTTGTGCGCAACTTTTCACGAAAGTGTGTGTTGTTGCGCATGGATTCGTGCGTTTCAGGTGCATGTCCAATTTCGTGCAAAAGCCATGTATCATAAATGTAAGGGAGGGTGGGGCAGTTTGAAACAGGGGCAGTTTGAAACAAACACTAATATTAAAGCAATGAGGGCTGCCGAAGGAAATGTGAGTGTGCACAATCTTCTATTTTCATGATCTTACTGATTTGCGATCGACACGGTCGTCAACGGTGCACTTTAGTGGCCTTGGAAAAAAGGTGAAACTTCGGTAACATTGAAATTGGCCTAAACTTAAATTTCGAAGTCACGGGAGTTTCCGTCTGGGTTTCGCTAGTAAGCGATCATGCCCCGCGCTTTTAATTCATCTTTTAGTACCTTATTAGGCAAGCGTAACGCACCCTTGGACACTGACGTAGCCCTCACCAAGTCCGGCGGGGAGCAGCGCAACTAGAATGGTGCCCTCTGGGGCAGTTAGAAACACAGCAATATCACTGGGAAAAACGTTTTATATTGTGGAAAGCGAGTATAATAATGGAAGTTCGTAATTCCAGATGGCATCAATGGAGACGTCGTATGTTTGACCCGTGACTTGCATCAAAATGCAAAATTTACTGACTGTTGTATGTTGTAAACTTTGCGGGTCGAAAACGGCCTTTATTTCAACTCAAAAACAGTAATGTGTGTTCACAACTTTTGTTCGTCTCTCTGAGACGAATCCATTGCCATACAATTTTTAGCAGATGATACCTTCACCACACTTGAAACATACTTAAAACTACTATACTTATGAAGGTGTCAGCGTGCTTTTACTCTCGAGTCCAGAAACCAAGCCCGTATCCTAACAATATAATAGGGGCTGGCCGCCGGGGCGGGCTGGTGCGTGTGGCCATGAGGCGCAGCCTGCGCGGAATTTGACAATGCCTCCCCCGTACAGCGCCAGCGGCCCTGGGCTTAAACAATGGCACCTCCTCCTCGGCGACAATCCCTCCCCGCCTGCCACGTCACAAAGGGCGACTCGGGCAGGCCTCGGCTCTCTTCAGCTTGTGCCGACTTCGGCGCTAGCTCGGCCTCGTTCGGACGTTCGTTTGATTTTTCAAATATTGTATAGAAATGAATAACCTGTTAACTGGTAGTATCTTTAAATTGTTTAAACAAGAGCTCTATGTTATCCATTATGTACCGCAATGTAAATATTTTTAATATTTCTACTGACACATCCTACAGAATATAATTTTAAATCATATATGTTCTAACTCTTATTTACAGTTTAAAATACAAAACAGACATGAAAGCACACTGCTACAACTAGCACACACGACAATACCAAACGAGTATCATTTAAAAAATTCGCATTTTGAAAAAAAGTGCTTTTTTGGCTTTTAAATAATTATTAAAAATGTTGAAAAAGTTCGTCAAAATGTCAGCACTTGCATGGCAACGTCTATTTGAGTCTATTTGAATCTATTTGAGTTGTGTACGCGGCTCTTCTTGGCCCGTGTTGACTTCCATACAGCTGTTTCAAACTGCCCCGGCCTGGGGCAGTTTGAAACAGATGCAAGGGTTGGAGTTTCACCTTATTATTAACGTTGAACGAACTTGTGAGCGTCTGCGGGCGTTTTCTAGTCTAGATAACGAATCATTCTAGTAATCTAGTGCAAACACGCAGCATATAGACCAACAGTACGATTATTGGCTGAGCGATAGCGAAGCCTGTTACTCCAGTGGGGTTGAAAAATTTTTCCTGTCTGTCTGTCTGTGTGTCTGTCTGTGTGTGTACACTACTCCTCCTGAACAGCTCGGCCGATCTGGCTGAGATTTTGCAGGCTTATGAGGTATGTCCTTGGCTCGGCACACGCGAAATTTCACCATCCTAGCTCAAGTGGTTCAGTTTTTATAGCCGAAAAACACCTAAAAAACGGCGAAAAATCGAGTTTTCTGCAGGCAGATCACTTCTGTCTTGAAGAAAGGGGTGTCTGGGGGGCGGAGCTCCCCAACCTCGACAAGTTAAAAAGTTACAAGGGTCAAGATCGTGTTATCTGTATATGAAGCAACTCTTTCTAGAATTAAGGGGGGTCTGGGGGGCGGAGCCCCACAGCATGCAACACGTAAGAAGTAGCCGACGATGGACAAGCCAATGCCTGCCGAAGGCAGGCTGGCGCCGCAGGCCAAGGTAGGTACGCGAGGCGCGGATTGGAGGAACAGGCCGCGAGACATCGCGAAGCCTGTTACGACAAGACGCGGTCTGGCGTAAACCTACCTTGTAATAACGAAATTCCAAATTCTGTTTCAAACTGCCCCACCCTCCCTTACATCACAATTTAGTGCATAGATGCATAATGTTTTAAAACAAGGTAGGTATACGGCAGACCGCGTCTTGTCGTAACAGGCTTCGCGATATCTCGCGGCCTGTTCCTCCAATCCGCGCCTGGCGTACCTACACTGGTAGCCAACGAATGTGACATCACATTCGTTTGAACGTGAAAACTACGATGTCAGATTGAACGTGACAAACAGAGAAAATTCATACTCAAACGAATGTGACACGCCACACCGCTTTGTCACATTACTTCGGGTGTGACACGAAATCAGCAGGCAAACTGTCACATTAAAACGAATGTGAAACATGGTACCCATTGACATCGTGTCACATTCAAACGAATGTGACACCCATACGCTGTCACGTTCCTTTGAATGTGACATGCCCGAATTGTCACATTCAATTAAACGTGACACGCCATAACCTGACACTTATGGCGTGTCCGGGGCGTGTCACGTTCGTTTGAATGTGACAATTAGGGCATGTCACATTCAAACGAACGTGACAGCATATGGGTGTCACATTCGTTTGGATGTGACACGATGTATGTCAATGGGTACCATGTGTCACATTCGTTTTAATGTGACAGTTTGCCTGCTGATTTCGTGTCACACCCGAAGTAATGTGACAAAGCGGTGCGGCATGTCACATTCGTTTGAGTATGAATTTTCTCTGTTTGTCACGTTCAATCTGACATCGTAGTTTTCACGTTCAAAGGAATGTGATGTCACATTCGTTGGCTACCAGTGTACCTTGGCCTGCGGCGCTAGCCTGCCTTCGGCAGGCATTGGCTTGTCCACCGTCGGTTACTTCTTACGTGTTGCATGCTGGGAGGCTCCGCCCCTCAGACCCCCCTTTATTCTAGAAAGAGTTGCTTCATTTATTGGCTGAGCGATAGCGAAGCCTGTTACTCCAGTGCGGTTGAAAAGTTTTGTCTGTCTGTCCGTCTGTCTGTCTGTCTGTCTGTCTGTCTGTGTGTGTACACTACTCCTCCTGAACGGCTCGGCCGATCTGGCTGAGATTTTGCAGGCTTATTAGGTATATTCTTGGCTCGGCCGCGTCTTGTCGTAACAGGCTTCGCGATATCTCGCGGCCTGTTCCTCCAATCCGCGCCTGGCGTACCTACCTTGGCCTGCGGCGCTAGCCTGCCTTCGGCAGGCATTGGCTTGTCCACCGTCGGTTACTTCTTGCGTGTTGCATGCTGGGGGGCTCCGCCCCCCAGACCCCCCTTTATTCTAGAAAGAGTTGCTTCATATACAGATAACACGATCTTGACCCTTGTAACTTTTTAACTTGTCGGGGCTGGGGGGCTCCGCCCCCCAGACCCCCCTTTCTTCAAGACAGAGGTGATCTACCTGCAGAAAACTCGATTTTTCGCCGTTTTTTAGGTGTTTTTCGGCTATAAAAACTGAACTAGTTGAGCTAGGATAGTGAAATTTCGCGTGTGCCGAGCCAAGAATATACCTAATAAGCCTGCAAAATCTCAGCCAGATCGGCCGAGCCGTTCAGGAGGAGTAGTGTACACAGACAGACAGACAGACAGACAGACGGACAGACAGACAAAACTTTTCAACCGCACTGGAGTAACAGGCTTCGCTATCGCTCAGCCAATAAATTAACAGGGGCATAGTTCAAGACTCTAGCTTCAATCCAAGCCCAAGTTTTTGCCCCTCTAGAGCTTAACAAGGCTGAAAACGAGCCTTCAAAACAACCCTGCAGATAGAGCCCGCCTCGGGCCTCTGCTCCCCCTCGCCTGAAAGCAGCCCCGGCCATACCCCGCGCGGGGGCCGGACCCTTGGATGGACCCGCGCTTCCATTACCAAAAACCGGTCACATATTACTGTCTATTACGCTTCGGTTCTAGTTCGTTAATGCAAAATGGATTGAGTTTTATAAATTACGACCGCGTCACAACCTCTCAACAAGATGATTTTGGGAACTGATTTCAGTGCTTTTTGGTCTAGTACTCATCGGCGTGCTGGTGGATGTGTCCTTTTTTAAAAAAAAGGAATTTCACTATGGCTGCTTTTTTCAGGTTCCTCTCATCAGCATCGCGACGCAACCCGACTTCAGTCAAATTCACGAAAGGATGGGGTCAGTAGACAACCCTTCCTACCTCGTTACAACCTATGAAGCCCTGACCGGCAGAATGAATTTATGGCAGAGGTGCCGGAACGTCTTCGCATACTTTTCGAACATCTTTCTGGTGAAGGTCGGTGGTTGCTAATCCTGCCTGGGCTACTACTAATAATTCGTTTGACTTTAAATCTCAAATTGATTTTATTTGTGGAACTACTTTGCGTGGCGGCGCAATCTCACAACGGCTGAACCAGCTTTCACACTTTTAATTTGTGATTATTATTATTTTTTTTTTGGGGGGGGGGAGTGCGTAACGTAATGAAATGAATGGACGGCCCTTCGCTAAATGTGCATCCACCAAGTAACAAAATCGAAAATGAGGTGGCATTGGGCATTATGGCATAACACTGTTTACAGAAGACAACTGACACGAACAACAACAGCTTACATGCCATGGGAACAAAGTGAATCCAAACTCGTGAAAGTGTGCCTTTAGCAGGCGCTGCGGCAAAAAGGTGCGGAAAATTCTGTTAATTTTTTGTTGTTCTAGATTCTCCGTAGCTCTCTTATCAATATTCTCAGTAGGATCTTACTGTATTCTCCGTAGGTCGTCACAATTTTCTGGAAGACTACGGAGAACACTGTACGGTCCTACGGAGAATATTGACAAAGGACTACGGAGAGGAGAATTACTACGAGCTGTTTAAAGAATTTTCCGTAGCTTTTTGCCACAGTGGGTGGTTGGACACAGTTTGTACAGAATGCGTCGTACTTACGTTTTCGTCCGTGCTCTTCCAGTGGTGGTTCGAATACCCCAGCGACATAGTGCTGCGGGAGTTTTTCGGCGAGGACACGCCGCCCATATCCGAGCTCATCAAGAACACCAGTCTGGTCATGGTGAATCGGCACGTGAGCATCAACCCGGCGCGCCCAAGCAACCCCAACGTCATCGAGGTGGCCGGCATCCACATCAGAGAGAAGCCCAACGTCAGCAACATCCCCCCGGTGCGGCTGCAAAACCACCAACACAGTGGGCCAGAAGACCGGTGAAGGCGGCTAAAACTCTAGACACGTTTCGAGCTTCCGAGTCACCACCTATGGATTCCTCGTTCGGAGAGCAATCCATTGGTGAGGTCGTTCGGTGTGAGTCTCATTCAGCGATTCTAGAGCTCAAAACGCGTCCGGAATTTTGACCGCCTCCATGGAGGTGCACCGGTGCACTGTGCGAAAAAACCACAGTGAATCCCGATAATTTTTTTGCCGGGATTTACTGTAGTTCAGAACACAGGATTTACTGTGCCTGGCTACAGTATTTACTGTACCTTATACAGGATATTCCGTACTCCACTCCTGTGGTACAGTAAATCCCGTACAAAGTACAGTGGATCCTGTAAAAAAGGTACAGTAAATCCTGTACTCTGAACTACAGTGACAGCTGTACTAGTCACTACAGGATTTACTGTGATTTTTTCCCCACAGTGTGCACCGGGCTTCTGGCCCACTGCACACTGTCTGACGTGGAGCCCGTGGCATTGAACCTGAACCGCATACTCGACCATGTCACTGCATATCCGGTGGCAAGTCTGCTTGCCACGATATCGACAACCCGTTTTGAATGCAGAAACTTTGGCAAGCTTGGCCACGGACAACCAGGGTTGGCAACCAAAAACGAAATTCCCCTCCAAGTGTTCCCTTTACAACGCGTGGTCTGCTCAGGTCCTGTTTGTGGCATCAGAACAGCCCTTTTCCCAAATTTGTGATAAAATGCCTCGTTTGCAGACTTTTAAGCGTTTTTATCAAAATTGCAATCACCTAATTGAGATTTAGATAGACGGATTGAAAACAGAGAAAAATGTCAAAGGAGTTGAAATTTTAAGAGAGCCTTGCAATGCCGATTGTCAGACAAGAACTGATGAGCGTTTGCGTTCCACTTCTCAGAAGGGGGAACTTTGGCTTAGCCTTAAGTGTTTACCTACTCTACAAATCCAAAAGCGTACATTGTATGCTCTACCTGGAGCATGCCTGCAAGCACGCTTTAGCTAGCGCATGCCTGCTAAGCATGCACTTACTAGTGCATCCTTGCCAAGTGCAGGCTTACTGCACCATGCATCTAGTGCATAAGAGATAGGGAGTTTTCTGCATCAGGAAGCGTGTACATGGCATGTATGCACTAAGTGCATGCTTGGCAGGCATGCGCTAGCTGTGCTTGCAGGCATGCTCCACTTAGAGCATACAATGTACGCTTTTGGATTTGTAGAGTAGTTAAGCAATTGTCGACTTGTAGGCGATCCGGAAGTGGATGGACGAGGCGGAGCACGGCGTGGTGTACTTCTCGCTGGGCTCGCTGGTGCGGTCCGACACGCTGCCCAAGAGCAGCGTCCGGGCGCTGCTCGCCGCCTTCGCCGCGCTGCCGCAGCGCGTGCTCTGGAAGTACGAGGACTCCAGCCTGGAGCTGCCGCCCAACGTGAGGATCGCGGCCTGGCTGCCGCAGAGCGACGTTCTCGGTGAGGCCACCATGCATTGGCACGTTCCAAAAAGATGAAGGTGTTCAAATTGCTTCGCTCGAGAGGATGGAAAGAGTGCGACCGGACTCACTAAAATCTCACTTTCATTTTTAGTAAGGGCAATTCGATGACAACATGGTTTGAGTAATGGCAAGTCATGTAATCGGCCATGAATTCAGAGAAAGTTGATAGTCCAACCGGCCTACTCGTGTGCATGCCGCTATCTAACCTTGATGTGTCCGTCGCGAGGATCATGGCCTCGCATCAAAAGCAGAACCATTTGCAGTGTGGCTAACTGACGTGATCCGTCCCGCCACCTCAATTCCGAAAATGACCCTTGCCTGGTCCGGGAATCTTTCAGATCTTATCATGGCCATGACTATTGAAACCGTAGTCCACCACGACCAGCTCTTGCATAACTCCAGATTTCCCCTCCTTACACTGCTAATCCAAGTGTGGACCAAGTCCACCCTAGCGTGGACCACGAATGATCCACGCGAGGAAACGTGGACCACGAATGGGCCACCCTGGCAAACGTGAACCAAGCTGTGGTCCACGCTTTACAGCGTTGACTTCCTCATTGGCCAGCCACACTTCCAAGTGTGGACCGTGCGTGGTCCACGTTTCCTAGCGTGGACTTGGTCCACACTTGGATTAGCAGTGTACGCCAAGGTTTCAGGGTAATTAAAATAACGCTAAGAGTATTTTCTACGTAGTAAAAATATTCCGCCATTCACCTTATAATGAAAATACCCAACCGTTTTCCGTGATTTCGTTCCCGCACAACACCACGGAAAGGTCTGAAACACCATTATCTTCTCACACTAGACCTAAAAATAATTACGTATGAGAGCAGTCTTGTTCGGATTGGAGCAACAAATTATTCGTTTCTCAAAGTGTCTTAAGCTATCACGGAACCAACACTCTGAAAACTTGACAAACTATTTTTGGCTTTACAAACCAAAGTATTTCGAGCATATCTAAGCTTCCAAAGAAGTAATTCGCAATTTACGAACTAATTCTTCGTAAGTAGTAAGCACCTTACATCGAGGGGCCCTATTCAAAGAATCTTATCTGGGCGTTCCCCCCAAGACAATCTTATCTTAAACGCCGGCAAATTTCACTCATTTTGATCAATCAGAACAAATACGACGGTAAACGAAACATATTTCTACATGCGCTTTTGGTTTCTGTGATCTTTCATCTTTAGATTTACTTGAACAAACTCACAAATTATATTGATATGTAGCTGTACCAAATGACCAAACTAAGTGAAATTCAACATGGAGGTGTTTATATCGCTGTGCCCACTGCACCTTTTCAGTATTTTTGTCCACTGCACCTTATTAGTATCTTGTGGTGTTACCATGTGGCACACAGTAAAATGCCTACAATGAAAATGGAGCCTCCGCAATCTACGAAGGAAATCGTTTGTATCGTCCGATACAAACGACATTGTAATAGAAAGGGAAAAAATTCCAATGCTAATCGCATTGCACGGTGTTCCCGTTTCCATAACTGGTTGAAAATCGAGGAAAACATGACAAGACAACCGCAGCCTTTGAGAGCATGCCAAACAATCCAACCTCAGCAACAATGGAGGGGCAGTTTCAATGGGCGCCTGTTCGTTCTTTCAGCCTCGCGATTTTCGAAAGGGCGCAGACGGGAAGCATATTGGTGCCAACCCACGAAAATTAATTTGATGCGTCGTTTCTGCTACGAACTTTTTAGTAGTGACAGACTTTAAAGATGTTCCAACGTTGAGACACCGTGCAATTTGTTAGCATTACCATTTTCAAATTTCACGGCGTTTAGATTTTTTTTTTAAATGGGCGACTTTAAATTTTGACGGGTGGTACGATGGGACCATGCCGTTGCCATGGAGATTTTTTTTCATGTTTTGACCATTTGCTCAGAACATATACGATTTCTTGTTACTTTGATGAGCCAGGAGGTTTAGTTTTGAGGAGTGGCACATTTTTTATTTGAACCATTTTTTCATATCATTAACGGTTCTCGTTTTCGATTGTTGCAAATTTATGTTTTTCGCGTTTACGGAAAATTTCCACGATGAATTTTCGAAAAAAATTGGAATTTTCGTTTTTTTTCATGGTTGAAATAGTTTAGAGTTGTTTATTTGAAAATCGGAGAGGGGGGGGGGAGAATCCACGGACCTCGGACAATAGGGGTTCTTGGGAACCCCTAAAGAAACCACTGAAGCCTACAAATGAACTGCTTCGCAGCCTGTGAAGGGTTTTTCCTTTATGTTACAAACAAAAATCGTTTGTATTAAAAACGATGTCCTTCGCAGGCTGCAAAGCCTCTTTCTATTGCGAAAAGCGTTTTTTGTAGGGTTTTAAGTGTGCGTTTCTCCTTCCCTTAGCTCATCCCAAGGTGATGGTGTTCATGACGCACGGCGGACTCATGGGCACCTCGGAGGCGCTGTCGCTGGGCGTGCCCATGATTGGCATCCCTGTCTTTGCGGACCAGGGTCCCAACATCCTTCAGTACGAGGAGCTGGGCATCGCGCGACTGCTCGACCACAGGGACATCAGCAAGGAAACGGTCCTGGCCGCCATCCGCGAGTTCACCACCTCCAACAAGTACGTCACGCACAACGCTCCATTGATGAAACAAAGGCGCCAAAAAAATCTAGTACAAGTTCACGTCCCGCCCACGAAGATAATTCACGACGTTCCAGAGGTGTAATTCTTTTACACCCACTAAGGGTATGATTTTGATGTCTTTGTTTCATCAGTGTCGGGTCCAGTCAACACACACCAGCTATGGGCATTTCGTTACCAGCGCGTCCCCGCACGGTTTTGTGTCCATGGCCGAAACGCTTATATACGTTACCAAATGTCGACGAATTCAATCACAAACCACAAACAAATTTGTCTACAGATTTTTGGAAGCATTACATAGCGCTAAATTTTGCACAAATGTCCGTTACTAAGTTTCCAAGAAAGTCCATAACAGAAGTCTGTAGAAAATGAAACAAATATGTCCATAAGCCATAGACTTACCTTGTTCCCAAGGTCTCGAGGCAAAGTGATGTGTCCTTCCGATGGACAAATTTGTGAACAGCTATTCATAGTATTGTTTAAAAGCCATGGTAACTCTTGAAAACGTTTCCACTTTGGTTGCAATATTGTCCCTAGAAATTGGCCATAGGAATTTTGGCGTTCAATTACGAACAAAATAGTCCGCAAGCATTCACAATAATTGTTCTGAGCCAGTTATAGACAGCTGAATTGTTCTTGGTATTCTCAATGCAATGCAATGTAAGGTTATCTCAGTGCATCCAGCATGGAACGAAATATCCAGCTTCCAGCTATGAGCACGCCCCACACTGCAGGAAATAACCACAACAAAAGTACACATATTTCTGGCAAATTTTTTCAGGAATTTAGTTTACTTTTCAAGTACAACAATTGATACACAAAGTAAAATGGAACCGGCATGAGGAGTGCTGTGCAGTCCAGGGTTCGTTGTGGTTTGTACAATTCTCGTTGAACTTTCTACAATCCCTGTTGTACTTTTATTGTACAGTTTCTGTTGTACTTTTGTTGTACTATCTACACTTTTTCTTGCAGTGCACAAGGCCCAGCTCTCCGAAAATTCAGTGTTGACACATCGCTTGGGATGCCCACAGGTACCGGGAGCGGGCCAGGGAGGTGGCGGCGCTGTACGCGGACCGGCCGAGGACCGCGGCGCAGGAGGTGGTGTGGTGGACGGAGTACGTGGTGAGGCACAAGGGTGCGCGCCACCTTCGGCCCCTCAGCGCCGACCTGCCGCTGCACCAGTACCTGCTGCTCGACGTGATCGCCGTGTTCCTGGCCGCCGTCGTCACCGTCCTGGCGGTCGTCTCTACCGTCCTCAAGAAGGTCCTCCGCATCGTTTCCGCCACGCAGCCTCCGAGATCGAAAGCGAAGACTCAGTGATACTGCACTGAAAATCCAAACCGCCATCGGTGTAGGGCGGTAGGGACAGTCAGTGAAACTTGTTTGGACCCGTTTTCATTGCTTTTCAATGCCGTCCCATGCATTGGTGCACTCTCAGCCTCTTAGTATTGACTTTATCGTCAGTAACCAGGTAGATACAAACAATTTAAAGCATAAAATTATTTAGGAATTAATTTTTGTCGATAAGATTTTGCAAAAATGCAGAGAATGCAGAGAATATGGACAAAAGCGAAAAGTACTTATAACTGTTGCTCAAATTACCTGGGGTACTATCGACAAAATGTCCCTACCATGTACCAAAATCCAATAGCGAGTCTGAGAGCATATACGGGTTTTACAGGACGCCTCGCACATCTGGGGCGATGTCTTAATGGATTGCACCATGCGTGCTGACCGTCAGAGCTACAGACTGATAACTTACCAAAGAGTCAAATTGTGCACACTAATAAATGTATACGGACATTTTTCGGTACCAACTGGCAACGTTTCTGAGCTTTGCCAAATGTGGAGACAAAATTGTTACCAGATAGTAACAACCCTCTATCAAATCCAGAGGGGGTGTCCTCCTGGGAAGAATAATATGGCGCACCAATGAAAGTACATTACTTCATGTATAGTTAGGCGTTACAAGTCAAAATATGAGGTCAAAAGTAAGGAACAGAACCATGAACTGTCTATAAAATGTTCTCAAGCCACATACGCTCTCTCAAAAAAATTGAAGAAATACATGAAAAAAAATAATCATTTCGGAGAGTTACAAGTTTTTCTTCATGTTATTTGGAAGGGTTCCTCTTTTGTAAACTTAAGATTTGCTTCGTGAGAATAATGTAGTAAATTAACGGATTATTGAGTTATTTTAAGGTAACGACACGAAAAGTTTAATTACGAACGTTTCACAAAATGATTTGTAAAATCACGATGAAATCACTGGCAGCTTTCACAAATGAAAAGTTTGTGAAGAGCAAGATACCTTGTGATGTAGTCTTTTTCTGAGAACTGCTCTAATTAGGCAAAGTCATGTTTCCTGAATTTACCAAAAAACAAGTGACGACTTGAGTCTTATCTCATGATTATTAAGGTGTCGTTTGTAAAACATTTCCAGTGATTTCATCGTAATTTTACAATTATTTTTTGTAAGTCGTTCATAACAAATCAGTTTGTGTTGTATTTTGTTTCAAAATGACGAAATAATCCGATAGTCAACAACCTCATTTCTTACATAGGATTGTTTCCAACTTGAACGAAGAATTACTGGTAATTTTCCAGCATCCCAGAGCCAGCACAGCCACCTGTAGCAGTGTGGAGAGCTGGCACTGAGAATGAAAGAGTCATGATCCTGACTAAAATTTTGGGCGAGGAATTCTTTATCACCCAAATCTGGGTGAGGAAGTTTTCCTCGCCCAAATTTGGGCGAGAAAACAATCCTCGGCCAAATTTGGGTGATAAAGTATACCTCGCCCAACATTGGGTATTGATCATGACTTTTTCATTCTCAGTAGTGTCGTGAAGCGAGGCCGAGCCAGGCGTGGGCGCACATGTTTTCAGAAGAAGGTATCGCCAGCCCAGTAAGACCAGGGGGCCAACGCTGGACTTGCGGCCAGAAAGAAGTCGCCAAAGTCCATGTCCACGTCATCACGCACTTTCACGAGAAGGGTCCGCAGAGACGGGAACCTGGGCAGAGCAGCCGCCATGTGGTTACAGACGTAAAAGAGTGCGCACAATTATACTCTGACCAGAAAACGAAGAGCCCTGAGTTCTCGCGGTTTACGGCATCTGCCGCCTTGAATAGCATTGCAGGAAGCCCTCGACCGCGAGAACCCAGGGCTCTTAGGGCTCTTTCGTTTTCTGGTCAGAGTATAGTGATTCAAGTTCAGGGGCCGAGGGCAATAGCAGCGGGGCAGCCGGGTTCGGCTCGGTGCAAGGAAGCGTCACAGAGCGGAGCTGCGACCAGGCGCGGATTCAGAAATGGGTGGAGTGGCTGTCGCAAAAGTTGCCTACCGGCAGGGGCCATGTGCGACTTTTTGCCTACCTTTCAGGCAGCCTGGCCGCCTTCGCGGGGAGGCGTGGGCAAGAAATCCGATTTAGCTGGTGCTCATCATAGATGAACTCATTAGTCGAAAAAAGGCTACTTTTAGGCGTTCTTTCACTCCACAAATAGATCTGTTAGGGTCTTCGTACCGCCAAAATTAGATTCCTTGTCCAGAATGACGAGTAGAAAACATTACCCCACCCATCTATCACATTAAATGTCGTGTGAACACTGAGAATGAATTGGTCATCACCATCACCTTTTCAATGGGTGATGCAACTTCGTTGCCCAAATTTTGGTGACGAAAAATTCATCACCCGAAATTTGGTAACAGGCGTTTGGTCGCCCAAATTTGGGTAACGCCGTCGGCGACGCTGTGAGGTTCCCGATGGCGTCCTTCCGGAGCCACCACGATTACCGGAGGCCTCAACGCCACATTGGGTCATCGTGGTGGCCCCGGAAGAGCGTCATCGGAGACCTTACGGCGTCGCCGACGGCGTTACCCAAATTTGGGCGACGATTTTATGACTGCCCAAAATTTGGTCACCGCGGGCTCGTCACCCAAATTTGGGCAACGGTGCGTGCGTTACCCAATGAAAGGGCGATGGTGGTGACTCTTTCATTCTCAGTGAAAGTGGCAAAGGCGGCATTCTCGGACGCTGCGCCGCGGTCGGCACTCCCGGGTGCCCTTCTCTCAACTGCAACCCATCCGCATAACAAAGCACCGCGGTCAGGGTCAGGCGCGCTGCCTTGGTCATTTCCGCTGCTGAAGGCACTCCCCGGGTGGTTTTCCGGGGAAAACTGAATTCCCCGGGTGTTCCCCAGGTTTTCCCTGAGTGTTCCCTGGGTTCTTCCCGGTTGGCGTTTCGTCAGCCCGCTAGACGGCGCGTGCCTATGCGCAGTGGATCTCGTCCGCGTCGCGCCGGGTGAAACACCAGCCTCCTGTCAGGCCTGGCGGAGAGGTTGCCTGCTAATCAGGGGCTGAGGTCTCGTGAATAGTATTCCTGTTGATAGGTACGCCCAGCCTCCTTTTCTTGCAGAAGGTCCAAAGTCTCTGGGATTTTGTTGATCTCTTTCTTCTGTCCTCTTTTGTCTGATGAGCCAGCATAAAATCATTGAAACAGCCACACTTCTCACCACACGGTTTGAATATCCTTGCCAAGCAGCCGGCTGGCATGGTGGCACAAGTGTTTGCGGCGTCTGTAAAGTCACCACTGATAATAAACTTCAGGTAGCCTTTCTTGAGGGGCACTGCACGATTGATGGAGATTCTCTGAGACACGGAGCCGGACGTGCATTGGACAGATTAGTAGTGTCTCGATAGATTTCGGCAAGACCTTTCTGAGGTAACACGACGGTTCACACAAATTTTTTCACATATTGAAGTTTCGCCTAATGTAATTTCGCATAGACGGTTTCACAAAAAAAAATCACACAAATTTCTTTTCACCTACAATGCCAGTCAACACGCATTTATTTTGAAGGGTTTCAAGGGGCGCGAGGCCAGCCATCAACGCCACAAGCCATCAAGGCTCCTACGTAAAGTTGTGGCCCTGGCGAGTCAAGTACTCCAGGAAGCGGCCGTCTTCTGGGGATATAGTTCGGTATCGAATCGAATCAGGGGTGATTCGATTCGGGGACGGATATTCAAACACACTATTTTTTTTCTTTGTGTACACTGCAAATGCAAAGGCGATACTAAAGTACCTTTTTTGGCGATACAATTGAGTATCGCCAATAAACGGCCTTACGGAAAAGTATTGCCTTCAGAACGGGGATACAAAAAAGTATCGCCAAAATTTGGCAATACTTTTGGATATTGCCAAAACCACGGCATTAAACCAAGGTCTTGTCCCCTTGATTTGATCGACGTTTACTGTCAAATCGTGGCAATACACCAAAATTTGGCGATACTTTTGTGTATCGCCGTTTTGAAGGCAATACTTTTCCGTAAGGCCGTTTATTGGCGATACTCAATTGTATCGCCAAAAAAGGTAATAAAAGTATTGCCTTTAGATTTTCAGTGTAAGTTTGATGTTCGTTCGATTCTTAATGTTTAAAATTCGGATCGATTCAATTCAACAACTTTTCCAGATTCGATTCTAAACTTTTTTTTAAATTCAATTCGAGTTTGATTCGAAATGAAAATCCTAGATTCGCACATCCCTACCGTCTTCCCTGTAGTCTTCGTACTCTAGGGCCGCCCTCTGGAGGGTCGGGTCAATCGGCAAGGAACCGCTTATAAATAGGTTCACACAAAAATTGTGTGAACAATGAGTAAACCATTGTAAATGTGAAATGGTGCTTTGTGTGAAAAACCTTGAGTGAATCCGTCTATGCGAAATTACACTAGGCAAAACTGATCCAGGAAGCGGAAAAAGGGTGTAAGTCCATTTTGGCCATTTATCAGAAGCAGGGAAAACTAAAACAAACCAAATGAATTTTGTAAATTTTGAGAAAAACATCAAATGTGTCAGATCACTCCGTAGAGGGTTTCTGTGACTTATCACTTTCCGTTGAAATGGAAAACAGAGACATCTCAGTTTGTATTTCCTAAACGGAGTGGAATTTGGAGACAAGTCAAGTGGAACTTAAGTCAACATAAAGTGATTGATACTCTGGTGTATTTTTTGGACTTAGCTCTTTTTTAGGCACGAAGTAGCCTTATAGTATACCCAGGATTCAGCCGGCCCGAGATTCGATTTGTGTGGCCCTTTATGCATTTCGGAAATTTTCTATACGATTTTAATGAGATTTTGTAGACTTGTAGATCTTTGAACACTGATTCTGATGCTGAAATCTGGTTAAAAATTTGGTGGCCAATTTTGAGAAATTTGCTGTCAAAATCGCCGTTTCCATGGCAAAACTCGACTCGTCAAAGGAAAAAAAAGGGAGTGGGGGGAGCCGAGCCGAGCCGGACTAATAGCGGAGCTTCTTTTTGGGTCTGTACAGCTTACTCCAAAAGCTGAAATAGCACGTTCGAAATGAAAAATTTCTTTGACTGCAGGTAGACAAGATGCAACAATAGAATTGGTGTCGTTTCGAACGTGGCCATATGGATCGGCCGGCCGGCCAGTGACTTTTTTTGAGAGTGTCCCGCACCAATCCCGCACCTCTGCGTTTTTGTTTTTGTTGTTTTGTTGAAAATTTTTGTTACTCTTCAAATCGGAGTGAATTGAGCCATTTAACTGCGTACCTGTGCACATGCATCTGTGAATTATCTTTCCTTAATGCAGTTTAAGAGTCGCTTTAAGACTTTTAGTCTCTTTTTGAATAAGCTGGTCATGTAGCTGCTCAATTTAGCCAGGTTTGATGGTACTTCTGATTCAGTTAGCACCATGATCACTTCGCTCCACCTCGCGACTTTCAGTGCTCATGTTCCTCGAACGAGACTCACCCGCGTTTCGAGACCATCCCTCTCGAGTTTATAAAGTTTGTCAAGCCAACCGTTGCTACGTTGTGAGTGAGAACTATTACACAGAATTGAAGAAAACATGACTAGAGAACCGTAGCCTTCTGAAACAAGCCAAACAATTCAACGTCAGCAACAATGGAGGGGCAGTTTTAATGCGCGACTATACTCGTGTTTTCAGCTTCGCGATTTTCGCAAGGGTGCAGACGCCGACAAAATTGTTGCCAACCCGCGAAAATTAGTTTACTGCCTTCTTTATCTGCTACCAAAATTTTTATAATGATGGACTTCAAAGATGTTCCTTTGTCAGATCACTGTGGAATACATTAGGATTGGAATTTTTCGAATTTCCCGGCATTTTGATTTCTCTTTATCGCCAAGGTTAAATTTTGACGGGTGGCACATCGACCACATTGGTATCACTGCCGTTCGTAGTTACCCTTGAGCCACCCCCTACCTTTCGCATAACTTTTTTGCTTTCCCCACACTCCTACCCAAATTAACTTCGTGACTCTTAGGATTTCTTGAAATCGTATTTTTCCATTTCAGTTTTTAAAATGAAGGGAGCTTAAGTTGACTTGACTCTTTTTACACTAGATTCATTAAAATACAATTTGAGTTATCTCCTGTTGGAAATATTATAAACGGTGTCATGTGGACTTCCATTGTGTCCATTTTCCGCTAAATTTAGAGCGTGGAAGGCGTTGAGTTATATCCTTTTTCAATGTGGATTTTCTCCTCAACTGCTTGGAATGAAGTCAAATAATATGGTGTAATGATGTTAACCATTCATAGGCACAATAATAGGATAAAAACTCAATTCGGAGATAAGTCAAGTTATTCCCTTCTTCTGCTTCCTGGATCAATTTCAGTATGTGAAAAAGTGTGTGTGAACCGTCGCAGAAACCCTCTCTAACTAAGGGTCAGAAAGGGGGTCCAGAAGCCTGACTATTTGAGTTGTGGCAATCGGCGCCACGGACTCGTTTTGCGCTTCTGCAGGGCCTCGGTTGCCATGAGCTGTTGTTCCAAGACAAATATGGGTCTATTTTCGACCATGCCCCCTGTTTGAACCCTTCATCACGGAATGCTCTATTCCTTGCTTCTACATAAGTTTCTGTGACGGCTTGCCGAAGTACTGTCGCAACTGGCGGACCATCGCGAAGCCTGTTACGACAAGACACGGTCTGGCGTACACCTACCTTATTCCTTGTTCGCGACGAGCGAAAGCGTCTATTGAGGTGCTGGTGACTCACGCTGGTGACATTTTATACCAACCAATCAAAACATTTGGAGCACGAACACAATCATTCATCCACTCTGCCCAGGCATTATCGTGTTTAAAGGTGGCTGCATCTTCGAGCCTCTAGATGAGCGTCAGCACTCTGATGTCCTCTTCACTATCTATTCCAGGTAAGCTTTCTCGGTGTGACATGAGTAGCAAGAAATTACAATTGGAAAATAGCACCTAGCAAGTCATGTATTGGTGCACTTTCGAACAGTCATGGTGTGATGAGGTTCGTGTGCTTCTTACAGCATTCTTACATTGCATACATGAAGAAATACACACTTAAAACTCAACAAAGAACAGCTCTTTGGAATACGAAGAAAACAGCGGCTTCGCAGCCTGCGAAGGAAATCGTTTGTAATACAAACTGTATTTCAAAGGAAATCATTCGTATTACAAACGATTTCCTACGCAGGCTGCGAAGCCGCCGTTTTCTTCGAATTACAAGGAGCTGTTCTTTGTAGGAATTTATCTGTGCAGGGTCGGAGAAAACCTAGACTGGAAGTCAGCGTCAGAACGGGTCAAAATTGCTTCGCGCGGCCCTGCTGAACGGCGGTGCTGCAGGCGGCGCGCGCTCGCTACCCCCACTCCGCCCATTCTGGCCCCCACCACTGCCCTGCACGGCCTCACAATGCTCTCGCTCTTTCGTTTCTCCCGTTCAATCACTGACTTCCGGTCTGGATTTCCTCCGAAGAACCCCAACATAATTTGAAAGCAACAAAATTATATTTTTTTTTCGATCTTTAATGCCCTCTGATACACACGGGACGCGTGCGTCCATTGTAGCTGGAAATATTTGCGCCCGTAGATTCTCTGCATCAGTTAATGAAATCAAGAAACATGTATTGGCTAAGACGTTATCAATCACTTGAAGTGCCTCAGCGTTCGCATCGGTTGGCTGCTTCATATAGCGGTGGGCCGTGCACCTGTCGACACAGTCCGCCTTCACAGCTCGACAATGCGCGTTCTTTTCAAAGGTGAGGAATTCCAGGCTAGACATCGAGAACTTCCATTGCGCATACCTAGTTACCTCAACTGCAGTTGGGTCGTAAACGGTAACCTTTCCTAACCTAGAAACGGCTGGCAGCCTCTTTGCTTGCTACGCTCGTTTGCAGCTTGTTTATTAAGCTTTACAAACGTAGCTTCGGCTATCCACTCAACTCAATCATGATATTTTTCCTTAATGTAATTAAGGTATTAAACTACTGTTATCTTTTGTTTTGTGTTTGAAGAACGGGGTTGAAGTGGAGGCCGGATAATATGCTGTGATAGTTTCGCATGGGTGGCCGCATTTCAAGGCGAAGTTGTAGGCGAATGATGGGTTGGGGATCGAGAAAGCTTGCCTAAAGCTTCAAACTGTGACGTTTCTACTTCAAGGTAGGTGTACCCAAGACTGTGTCTTGTCGTAACAGGCTTCGCGATGCTGCGCCAGTTACCTCAATCCACACCTGGAGTTTACACCTACCTTGGCCTGCGGCACTTTGGGTCATAGTACTATAGAGCCCTGTAGATACACCCTTCTTCACCCAAATTTGGGCGAGGAAACCTTCCTTGCCCAAATTTAAAGTATACTTCGCCCCTAATTGGGCAATGATCAAGACTTTTTCATACTCAGTGCAATTTTTTAAATTATTTATGCGTTCTTTAAATAAAAACCGATTATACGTCCTTTCTTTGCAGTGCTTGTAGGTGTAGTTGCCGCAATGGTGGTCGCGGGAATAGTCGTCTACTTCACAAACAAGGTATTACAATAGTGAATTTTTCGGGTAATTTCTTCATGAAACATTTACAGGATCAAAGCTCATGCAATGCGATTGAATAAATTTGACAAAACAGACTTGTCACACCCTTTTATCAGCAGGCTCCCGACCAAGCCCTCACCACCACGCCGGGCCCTGCCACTGCCTCCACGCCATCTCCAGTCACGATACCAGCCGCTAACACGACCCCCTTCCCCTCCACGCAGGGCCCTGTGGTTCGGGTGCGGCAGGGGCTTCTCGAAGGGCTCAACAAACGGACTCGCGGGAACAGCGGCGTGGAATACGCAGCCTTCTGGGGTGTGCCCTTTGCCCAACCTCCGGAGGGTCCCTTGAGATTCAAGGCAAGAAGCACTCCCGAGTTTAGTTCCTCCATTTTAGGAGCACTTTTTGTCGTCGGACGTGCACATGATCAGACATCTGACACAGGCTCCGAGACCCCATCCGGGGTGGACAGGTGTCCGACCAGCCAAGAAGCCAGGAGCCAAGTGCCCCCAGGGCCAGAACGGCGAGGTGGAAGGGAGCGAGGACTGCCTCTTTCTGAACGTGTTCACCACAAACCTGGTACGTCGAGGACACGCTCAAAACCTCACAAATTATTATAGCATAAGTAAGGCGCAAACCATTTAGTTTGTAATATGAAGAAATAGCACATTGAAAATGCTTAGTAATACGAAGTCCATTCTTTTCCATGCAGGATGGGGCGGTGAAGCAGCCCGTGTACGTGTTCATCCACGGAGGCGGGTTTCTCTTTGGCTCGCCCGACATTGCGTTATTCGGGCCCGACTACCTGCTGCCGCACGGCGTCGTCCTGGTCACCGTGCAGTACAGAGTCCACGCACTCGGTACGCCGTCGCCGAGTGAAGAATAAAAGTTATCCAAAAGCTAGGAACCAATTGGAACTTTCCCAGTGGTTCCTGGCTTTTTGATTAATTACTTTTGTTCTTTACTCGGTGATGACCATGGTGACGACTGAAAGGGTCTATTCAGAATGCTCATACTCATAGGGGACGTCTCCAACAGAATATAAAGAACTTTACATGTTGGAATAATTGAGAGCACGACTGCGACATAATGTTTTTAAAAAAATCGGGCTTTTGCACGAAAAATGTCTAGAAGACGATAGTCGGAAATACGGTAAAAAGAACGGATCGTCTTCACTTCTTCCATATGAGGTGGTTGGCAGGTGCGGACGGTCCAGGCAAATCATATTTTCCTTTAACAACGTGTGCTACGTTGTTTGTGAAGATTTGTCAAGTTTATTTGAACGTTCTTCAAGTTCATGCCAACGAACGTCCTACAATTGATAACTTCACTTTCAGTCGTTTCCCCCCGCGAGTTACGTCGATGCAACGACAGTGCCTCTGGTGCAACTAAAGCGTAACTCTACGCCTGAGTCAAGCATAAAGTTCGCTTGAAGAGGCTACGCTTGAAATGAAGCATAGACTAGAGACCCATTAAGATGGGGGAATCTTGGCGTATGAGTCTGTCGCGCTTGATTTCAAGCGTACCGTAGAACGGGGTAATATAAGACAAATTTCGAGTTTTTTTGTGAATTTCCCTCTTGTAATTTGAGGTGCTGAGGTGTTCATCACTTGTTCGTTGACCCTTTGTCGACATTCCCACCAAATTTCAGGTTTTTAGGTGTAGTAGGGACCTTAATAACCCTCGGAATGCCGTCTTATGTTTCCCTGCAATGTGGGGTAATATGAGACAAAAAAGAAAAATGACAAAGAAGTATGAAAACTTTGCTCATCTAGGTGGGTTTGGAGATTTTTAAGTTCTTTTCATTCATTTTTAAGAAGATCAATCTGGAGGGAAGAAAAATGGGTGTCACTAAGAGAGAGCTGAAAAATGTAAAAGAAATCATGAGTTGTGCTCCGGTTTAACCTGTTACATGAAAATACTAAACCAAGAGCATAGATGCCGGTCAGGTAGTGAAACAAATTCGTGTTGAAATCGTTATTACTTGAAATTATTGACAGTGGAGTATGTTAGGCCTCATGTTTCAAGCGAAAAGAGGTGTCTCTCTTTTCCCTGCAAGGTAAGGTAAAAAATCAATTGTGGGTCACATTTTTGAAAATTCGAAATTAAGGCCTTTAATTCTGACCTGGTGACAAAAGTGCATGTGCGGCCTTAAACTATGGTCCTTTGACTAAGTTTCGCAGCATAGTAGCCCCGTCTATCATCCTTATTTACTAAGCTGTGACTGTTTTAAAAATAGTCTGTTTTGGCCCACAATTGATTTTTGGAACCAGTTGTGGGTCAGCATTGTAGGAAGCTCAAATTTGGATATGATTTGCTTAAATGCGAGAGAAATTCACTTTTGAATTTATTTTTCGGAATCGTGAAAACTGCAGGATCTGTAGCACAATGAATCAATTGTGGGTCACATCAATTGTGGGCCATTTCGTCTTTTTGCTTTTAAATTGACCACTTTTGCAAGATATTTTCTTATTTTCATTAATTAAATGTCCCTGGTTCTCAATAAACCAAGCAGACACGTTTTTCACTCAAAGAGGAAAAGTACATAAACAGGCTAATTTCACTGTGAGACAGATGTGAGTTAAACGTTCTGGATTAGAGACGAAACTTTTATAGTGCATATTGTAGGGCCGCCGGTGTGGTAGACAATCCAACACTACACCCTGTCATGAGGTATTGCTACAATTTATTATCTATTTCAGTCAGAATATTTGGTCTGTAGGGATTAATTTGACTCGTTTTAACAGGGCCGGACTGGCCTCGGGTGCCTAGCCAGCAGTTGGAGAGCGGTCCCCTTCCGGGCGCTATGTAAGTCCCGCAATGTCCCCCCCCCCCACAAAAAAAACCTTATAGCATGGCAGACTGGAAGAGCTAGCGTTGTCATCCGGGGCTGTAGCCTAAGCTTAACATAACCTTCGTATCGTAGTACTAAATGTGAGAGCAGAAAAATGGAATTTACTGTGATACATCAGTCATCCAGAAGCGCAGAAAACAAAAAAATAGCAGGAAAACTACCGTAAAATTCGTCTAAAATAATGGGTCTGACATGGTAGCGAACGCTACTTTGCCAGCACCCGCGCACCATGGCATCGAATGATTTCGGCCGTACTATGGTAAATTTATGTTCCCTGACCTATTATGAACCTAAATCAGCAAGGGCGTCCCATTTTATCTCGTAATAGCTTCACGGTGGCAATTTGAAAAACACACGATTTTTCACCTCGTTGGATGGGCGCCATTTTCACGACTTTTTGAAGGGCCTTACTCTGAAGCCTGATAGGAGCCGTTACAGTCGTCGCTCGGACATACACGCTATTTGGGAAGACAAAGAAAGGTTGGAGGAAGGTCTACCGCGAAATTCAAATCGATTCAATCTCTGTCGGGTCTGCGGTGACCCGTTGAAAAAAATGACCCACAATTGATTCGTGACCCACAATTGATTTTTTACCTTAGACATAACGGAACCAAATTTTGTCCTGATTATGTTGACATAATTGCCTACAGATTTAAACCTCGTTCGGACGAGAACCCGAGTTCTAACCGAGGTATCCGGGGAGATTTTTAAGAACTTTATAAAACTTGTTAGAATTTAGAGGTTTTTCCTTTGGTTCTAAATAATCCTGGCGAGTCTCTGATAGCCTTCGTGCGTTTCCTGTGACCCGCAAAGGCCTCCTAGATCACGAAAAAAATTCACGGTGGTCTTCCGAATAACCGCTAGAGAGCAACACGACAAAAACCGAAAAAAGTGCGCTTTGTCTCGATTTTCCTTCATGTCTCATATTACCCCGTTCTACGGTAATTGAGTACGCTTGAAAACGGGGTTATTCTACGCTTTAGTTTTACCCGGTGTGGCTCACACAAGGTCACTTTTTGGCCCGTCCCGTGTATCGTTTTGTAAAAAAAAATGACGGAGGGACGGGCATATACTGTAGGATGCATGCTGTGCGTCCGTTCGTTCGTTCGTCCGTCCGTCCGAGGACTTCCCGTGGTCCGATTTTGGCCAAATTTGGTATGCAGCCTCCTTGGGTGACCCTAAGGGTCGCCCGGTGGCAGTAAATCCGATCCGAGCCCCGGGGGGCACTGCTGCAGGTGCATCATGGTCTACATGGGGTCGAGGAGGATTTCGGCAACGGATGCACCTACGAGGGTATGTAGGGGTATTTTTGGAATCGGGGCGACGAGACAAAACCAACGGTGCCAGTTTCAAGCGAATCGGACAAGTTTGGACCCGGGTTCAAAGCCCAGTGGGGTATATTTTAGACATTCTTTTTATACAAGTTTTTGCATTGTTTATGATGTTTTTGAGGGCGCTGATAACGAAAAAACGTCTATTTTGACCCCAGACTCGGGTTCAAATCCCGTTGGGGTGAAACCACTGGTTTTCGGACAAAGGGACTTAAGTCCACATTTTGGTCAAAATGGTTTTATTGTTTTCTCAGACTGCTAGCGATACTCTACATAGAATGGTGAAAGACCTACGATTCTAGGATAATTAGTTCGGAAGTTATAGCGTTGTACCAAACGACTTAGGTCCACTCATTTTCTGACAAAACAGCTCAAGTCCACTCGTTTTCTGACAAAACAGCACAATTCCATCCTTTTTCTGACAAAAGCACCTAAGTTCACATGTTTTCTGACAAAAGAACCTAAGTCCAACGTGACGTTTTCGGACATAACAACTCAAGTCCACCCGTTTTCTGACAAAACGACCTAAGTCCATATGGACTTAAGTCGTTAGGACTAGAAAACTGGTGTGGACTTGTGCTCTTTTGTCGGAAAACGACTGGACTTAATTTGTTATGTCCGGAAACGAATGGACTTAAGTTGTTTTGTCAGATAACGGATGGACTTACGTCAAACTGTGATATTAAATTGTGAATATTTCGGCAAGAAATGCCATGATTGATAATCGAACAATTGGTATCGTTTTCTGAATACCACGTTATCTTTCCCTTGAAATTTCATGGCCATATTTGTCTTAACAATTCTTTAAACTACTTAAAACTGTCTCCTGAAAAATTAACAGAAATGGACTTACGTCCCTTTGTCCGAAAAGCAGTGAAGGCTTAATTCGCACATTTCTAAATGTACGGATGGGCCAAAGTTGTCGATGTATATCGCTACTTTTCCTGTTATCCAACAACGTACTGAACACGGACCTATCATTCTCCAGGTTTCCTGAGCCTCGACACGGAGGAGATTCCCGGAAACTGCGCGGTCAAGGACACCGTGGCGGCCCTGCAGTGGGTCCACAACAACATCGCGGCGTTCGGCGGCGACCCCGGCAGGGTGACGGTCGGGGGGCAGTCGGCTGGCGGAGGAATGGCGGGCTGGCTCGCCGTGCTGCCGGAGTTGACTGGTGCGTGACTGCACCGGAACACTCGAAACACTGGTTTTCTAAGTGCAATAATGAATGAGCAAAATCAACTAAGACGGACCACTTCTTCCGGTGACCCTCTCCGATTTGCCTGATTTTTTGTAGGCTTTATAACTAACTAAAGGAGAGTCTAAAGCCAAATATTAGGTCCGGCAAAAATTTATTGCCCGAGATATGGCCAACTTTAGTCTAACTTTTGGAGAAAAAACACGAATTTGGGTATTTTGGACTAATTTTACACTTTTCATAGTAGGGGGCTAAAATTTGGTCACTTTCTGTAAAATTGGCCAAGAAACAAGAATATGACCTCAAATTTGACCTCCGACGAATACCTGAAGAGTAAACCCCCCAAAACCCTTAAAACACATAAAAAAACAGTTTTTTCTTGGGGTTTCTGGAAAAATATGTGGACAAAATTTTTGATGATCTTGTCTTATAGAAAATGACGCGATGAATCGAATGAGACCACGCGCAGATTTTTATGTCAAACCGTCTGGGACATATAGCGCTTCAAAGTATGAAAATTTTGCCATTTGATTTTTAAAAATTGCAGGTTTTGAGCATTGTTTGACGTTTTTTGCCTCCTTGGTGTGTGTGGGTGTTCTTATCACGTGGAAAAAGACGCGCTGAATCGAATGAGACCACGCCCAGAGTAGTATCTCGAACCGTTTAGGAGATATAGTGGTTTAAAGTATGGGCACGGGAGAGCTCCTGCAAACACCCGACAAGGCAGGCCCGCCAAACATGCCTGTTTGGCGGGCGGACTACAGTGCCCATACTTTGAACCGCTTATCTCCTAAACGGTTTGAGATACAGGTCTGTGCGTGGTCTCATTCGATTCAGCGCGTCTTTTTCCACAACCTTAAGGATCCGTTTTTCTAAGAAAGTTAAACATTTTATTCCTCTTTACAACGACCTGAAATGTCTTTTCGTCATACTAAACTGCTGACGCGTTCATGATCGTACGCTCCTCGCGATAAAACCGTGATGCCGTGGTGCTTTTCAGGCATCGTCCACGGCGCCACGCTCATGAGCGGCTCTGGATTTCACAGCTGGGACTACAAGGAGTCCCACGTCGAGACGGCCCTCAAGGTGGTGTCCGGCCTGGCCGGCCAGCCCGTCACCGACCTCAAGTTGGCCGAGCAGTACTTGATGAACGCCACCATCGAGGAGCTGCACGCGCACGCCGTCGTCGTGGTCAACGGGGAGATGCTGGTGAGGGGTGCTGCGGGGCCTCGTGCGGGGCGGCTACGGATCCCGAAGTGTAGGAGCACCCTGCGAAGTTCAGGGGATTCTAGCTTACTTTGTCAGGTTCATGATGCACTTTCCATACTCTTGACGGATGGATTAAACGGTCTTCGAACCGATCACATACCTTTTGGAGCGCGAGCAGCATTCTTAAAAGTATACGTCTGCCTCGTAACTTCGAAGGAAATTGAAGGCATTGTGGAAGTGCTTTGTTCAACGAGGGATTTTGCTTCATAATGCAATGCCTTTCATCGATAACGCAATGCCTCCATTTTGTTCGTAGTCTTTGGAGAAAGGTGCGATTGAAACCTCACGTTCTTTATCAGGAAACTGAATAACTGGGGATTTTCGTCTTTGCAGTCACAGCCAGAGCTCCCCTTCGTCCCTACTCCCGAGAGGCGTACGCCAGTGCCCGGCGGAGAACCACTGCTCATCACAAGGGACTCAGAGAGCTACTTCCTCAAGCCGGCAAGGCCGGCCATCCCCCAGTTGATTAGCAACACCAACGCGGAGTGGCGGACCTACTACTACACCAACAGTAAGCGGCGCGAGCACGCTCATTATTGCTTAACCCTTCTCGCACTGAGCAAACCTTACAAACTAATTTGGGCCTTACAAAGAAAAGTAGTTTGTATAACAAAGTATTTTGAGCATACATAAGCTTACAAAGAAAATACTTCGTAATTTACAAACTATTTCTTCGAATAATAAAGTATATTAGTTTGTTATATGTATGCTCAAAAAACTTCGTAAGGTTTTAAGAGTGCGTCCAACACATTCCAAGTTTGAGTGTTACGGATAGATACCTAGCAGAGTAGATATATGCGCACTGGAAAACAGTTGGGACGCTTTTTGTCACGGACGATGGTTTTCGATGTACGAGTTAGGGCCACCAAAAGAGAACGTAACAGATTTTGGATTATTGAAGTGACAATCGTTCTTTTCGTGTCGGCTAATTTGCAGAAGACCAATACACTGCAAATCCAAAGGCGATACTTGAGTATCGCCAACAATCGGCCTTACAGAAAAATCTTGCCCTCAAAACGGTGTGACACAAAACTATCGCCAAAATTTGGCGATACTTGAAAGTATCGTCTAAATCTGGCGGTGAACAAAGAACAAGTCCCCTTGATTTCTTCAAATTTTGAAGCCAAATATAGGTGATACTTTTATGTATCGCCGTTTCAAGGCAAGATTTTCCGGTAAGGCCGTTTGTTGGCGGTACTCGATTGTATCGCCAAAAAAGTTACTGAAAGAATCACCACCTTTTGGATTTCGAGAGTAGCCTGAACAGTGAGCAGACATTAAATCTTCCTTTCTTTTCAGACCCACGATCAGATCCTCAAGTTGACGAGGAAATGGTGGAAAACTTATCCCGCCACGTTCCCAAGAACCTTCTTCCTTTCCGAGACACGCGGAACATTCTGGGCCTGCCGGAGCTGCATGTCGACTACAACACTGTTCTCGAGGAAGTGAGGCAAGGCATACGTGCCGCCGTGACCTCCAGCTGCGATCTCGGATGCACTCTGAAAACGGTGAGTGCACAATTTTAAACATGCGAAACTTTTTCGTACCAATTTGTTCGGAGAATCGCACAATGTGTGCGGAAATCACGTTAGCGCCAAATTATGTGAGAGCACGTACATGGTACAAAGGACTTAAGGGTCTCAAGTTATCCCGTGCAGTTACCATTTTCATTAAAAGTCAGTATTACCCGATGAATGATGGGTTCCCCTCATAACTAGTGCTACATTTAGAATGTTGAAATAATAGGGTTAAAAGATACTACAATCATTTGGGTCTCAACAATACTTGTTTCGAGTACCAAGGGAGACTTGTAATACTTCTCTAAAATTGTTCTATTTAGTAAAATTGAAAAATCTTTATAGAACTGACCGTCTTGGTCCTAACCCACCGTTCAAACGCTTAATCGTCTTTCCAAACAAGTTTGAAAAAAAGTGCAAGGGCAGTTTGAACCTCCGAGTGTGCCGAGCTAGGTGGCAGCTCCAAAAAGGTAGAAAAGCAAAAGTGTCTCAAGTTACCCTTGCTGTTACCCCGGTTTACGGTATCTGGATGCAATCTGGGCCGGAACCAAACGAAAGCGGAAGGAAACATCGTCGAAACCTGGGATCTGTATGAGATATCTCGCGTGCGGAAGCCTTCCGAAGACCCAATCGGCAAGCCTTGGTTAGTGTTTAGACCTCCACACGTCTGGATTGTCATGCCTGGTGTAGATTTAAACGTCCTCACTTCTGCTTTGGGCTCGGCTAGGTCAATAACTGAAGCGTGGTGCTCTTTTGTCTTTTTGCAGTACTTCGACGGCGTCTGGCAACTGACGGATTCGCATCGTCTGGCGATGTTCAGGGCCAAGGAAAACAAGGCGGACACTTTCCTATTTAAATTCAGTGTGAGGACGGAGGTGAACCAGCCTGCGCCCAGCCGCAACGACGGGGAGGACGGTAAGGCCGCTGTCCGCCTAGCCTGCGTCTACAACACGCTGAAGTCCTTGCACTCTCTCCAGGATCGTGACATCGCGTTGAAACGAATGTGACACAATGTCGACAGGAGCGTTACATTTTGTCACGCCCGTTTCAACGCCATGTCACGATATTGTAGAAGGCGGCAGATCGTCTCACATGAGTACCATCACCAAAACCAAAGCGTAGTATTGCCTTCTGTTATCAAGAGTAACAGGCAAATGTATTGGTAGATTTCTAGTCTATGCTTCATATCAAGCGTAACGTCTTTAAGCGTAACTTTATGCTTGACTCCACACTTATCATCTTACGATGGTAACGCGAACGTAACATACGCTGAAATCAAAACATGCGTATTACGCTGAAATGTCATCCTACTACAATCGCAACCAACGCACAGTAAAAACTCTACAAAGAATCGCTTCGTAATACGAAGAAAATGAAGGCACTGTAAAATCTACGAAGAAATGCTTCGCATTATGAAGCAAAATCACTGAAAAACCAAACGTGGTCTAGACCGCACCAACTGGTGTGGTCAAATGGATGCCATTTTGTCCGCATCAGTTGGTGTGGTCTAGACCACACCAAACGCCCCAAACGTGGTCTAGACCACACCAAACGTGGCCAAACGTGGTCTAGACCACACCAACTGGTGTGGTCAAAATGGCACCCATCTGACCACACCAGTGGTGCGGTCTGGACCACGTTTGGTTTTGCAGTGATCCTTCGTAATACGAAGCAGTTCTACAATGCCTTCATTTTCTTCGTAGTTATGAAGCAAATGCTTCGTAGGCTTTTAAGAGTGCGTACCTTACGTTGACAACGTGCGTAATACGTTGAAAACATGCGTATTACGTTGAAAATCCTGCGTACCTTACGTTGACATTCGTGCGTATTATGCAGGTTGGAAATTGGTCGTACCTTACGATGTTTTACGCACGAAAACCAACGCAAGATGATAAGCGTGTCAAAGCACAGAGTTACGATTAAGGTTTACCAATGTTGATCCCTACAGTGGCGATACACACGGACGACCTGGGCTACGTCTTCGCCAGACTGTGGGACACGAACCTGAGCCCGGAGGCGGACCTCGCTGTAAGGAGAATGTCAACCATGTGGACCAACTTCATCAAGTTCGGGTAAGCGCGTGCACCGCAAGAAAAAAATATGAGGAGTGACAGTACAACTAAAATTCTTGAAAATAAGTGCCGTAAAAGGGGGTAATATGGAACGACCAGTGGGTTATGTTGACCACCGCTGAAATTCTTCTGGTGATGCCTCCTAGCGGAGACCTCGAAGTTTGTCTCTGCCACTGGCATCCGGAATTGTGTGTACGTTGGCGCGAACCGATCTTAGAGAAGAATTTCAGGGGTGGTCCAGGCTACCCACTGGTGGTCCAGATTACCCGCTTTATGTAATCCGAGGATTATGTAAGGTACAAGGGAGGTAGCGGGCTGCACTTGTCATGCTGGCCGTATTCTTCTTTGTACAACAATCTTTGTAATTTGAAAGTACAATCCATTCCTGACAAAAAAAAATAGCTGGATTTGCAGTACTTTTGGTGCAAACCTTAATCCCATCTCCATGAGATTTGCACAGCGGTGTGTGTCTGCAGCAAACCCATCGTACAAACCGACGAACTCCTGCCCGTGGATTGGCCACCCAACACATCTTCCGACGACGCCGTCACCTACCTCGAGCTGAAGACAAACGGATTCAGCCTTCACGAAGCAGACAGCTTCAGCGGTCCGATGAGCCAATTCTGGCATGACCTGTACCGGAAATACCGATCGACGAGTCCAGCACCCCCTGTAGCTTGAGTGCGCGCATTTTGAACGTTGTGCTTTGCTCTCTCCACACTGAGATTCCAAACGCTATGAGTATAGACCTCTTTGCCGTTCCCACGGTCCCCCTCCCTGGACCACCGTTGCCTAGCAACGCGAGCCAAACAAATCGCAGGTATGCTGCACACCGGACGGCGCGCGGCGGGTGGGTTTTCCGGCCATATTTCCTAAACCGTTCAAGATAGACGTGTACAGTAAGCGAGCCGATTGTAGATCTCAGCTTAAACAACAATCGGCTCGCTTACTATACCCATCTAGCTTTAACGGTTTACTAGATATGACCAAAAAACGCATCCGTCGTGCGTCGCCTAGCAGGCAGCGTACCTGAGATTTGTTTGGCTCGCGTTGCTAGGCGACGGTGGTCCAGGGAGGGGGACCGTGGGAACGGCAAAGAGGTCTATAGCACGTAAGGTGCAATGCATCTGAGATATCGCACCATACCATACCTCAGCCGTATTGCACCTCACGTGCAATGCATCCCGAAAAGGCCCTATGCTAATGCATGTGAATGGGAAGGCATTGCACTTTATGTGCAATGCTTTTGTATTGCACCAATTGACGCTATATTCATAGCGTTTGGATTCTTAGTGTCGCTCCCTTTTGCGGGGTTCCGAAAGGAAGGAAGCTACTACGTTTTATTTTCCATTCGTTGATTGTAGATCTGGCGCTTCTTTTTATTTCAAATTTATATTTACTGAAATAAGATTGCTGGTGCCTTCCTCGGCTAGTATTAATTGTAGAAAGCCAAAATCTCCGACAGCATGTGAAATTCCTCCTACAGCACAAAACCTCGGAATAAATATCACGTGTCTCAATGAACATCAGATCCCATCCAGTACACGGCAAAAGTACCGCCTGGGATTCCCAGGCGGTGCCTGGAAAATAGGCCCTTTTCCTTTTGATGCGCCTGGGAATCCCAGTCGGTACTTTTGCCGTGTAGCTTATCTATGTATTTCCAATGTCAAAAGTATTTTCAGCACAATATCTATCGCGTGGGATGAAATGGGGGATGCTCTGAAGACTGAAACTATCAATAAGATAACAAATTGTATTCTCCTGATCAATTATTGTACCAATGTCATAACTGTACCGTATCAACTTTTTCCCAAGTATATGGCTCAATTAAATGAATAAGCCTCTGGTATGAGAACGTTCAAATCAAGCTCACTTTATTCACCCCCCTGAAAGATAAAGTTTCAAAACTGTATGATCACAGTGACATGTTCCAGTGTGAGGATGAGTACATAAACTAGGCCTGAATGTTGATGAGGATTTGAACAAAGCTAAACCAGGATCGGATGGTTTCCTTGCAGGCGAATCTGTTGAGGGTACCAATGCCTTGTCCCCGAAGCCGCAGCGCCCGTCCTTCCCCAGCCTGCGAAGAGTAGAAAACCCGAGGAATCAGGGTTCGCCGACTCGTGAACTAATTTAAAGTGCATGCCATTCCATGCCCCTACTCGTGCCGAAAAATGCCGCCAGATAAGTGAGAACTATCGAAACAGTTTCTTCCTTTTCGGTTGTGCTCAGTTTCAGAAACGAACTGCAATACCGGTCTTTGTAAAGCACGTTTGTAAAGCACAGGAAGTGCACGTTACATAGCTCCAGTTTTTTACCCGGAAAGGCAATAAACACTTTGAAGATCAGAAAGCCCATGGCGGGCACTGCCATGAGGCAATTAAACTTGAAACAGTAATCCTTGCCTGCATGAAGCAAAGACGCATACGGCGCTGGACGGTGTGTTCCGACAGCCACGGCCCGTGGTAAGCGCAAGTGGTAATGCCAAGTCTGGCCTCAGCCAGGCCGTCCCCCGCCTCACACAACGGGATGAATTCGGTGAAGATGGCAGGCGCGAGAGCCAGCGCGAACCAGTCCACATCCTCTCGCTTCAATAGAACCTGGGGACATTGCGAGGTCGAGTACACTCAAAGCCCGGAAAGGTTCGCGCAAGGCGCTAGAGAATTGAGTATTGTTTTTAAAAACCCGACTTAATATTTAGAAAAAAATCACAAAAAAAAGTCTCTTAAGGGATGGGTATACCAAGCTTGGTCCAAATCCGATGCGTGGGCAAATGGCTTGCCCTTTAGGTCTGTAATCTGACCTAGTAACATAGCTCAAATTTCATTGTAAGACTGTGATAGTTATCAACTTCTCACCTCAACGGTGCTTAATAACGGCATGATGATGGCACCGAACATCATGAACGGCAGAACGTAGGCTATGTCGGCTTCCGCCCCTAGCGCGGCTTCGAACACGCTTCCCTGCAGCAACGCCCACCGCCGCGAACAAGGCCCAGTCTGTGAAGAGTCCACGACCAGGCCGATCCAATGAAAACTGATCCATTTGGTAGTGCAATTGTGTAGCTACTTGAGCAGGATATGGAAATAATCAGGGATCCCTCACTTAAAACACCATTTAACTAACATTCCTTTCCTAACGTAACATAACTTAAGGCAGTGTTCGCTAAAGGTTAAAGGTATCCACTACTCCTCTCGCTGCGGTGTTCTTGTCTCTGAAGCGTCCAAAACGTTCTGACGGACGCTACCGAAGCATACACGAAGCGGTAACTGTTTTCCTCTATTACCGACACCACATTCAAATGTGGGCCATTTTATTGAGAGAGAGAGAGCTGTATGTACTATGATAACGAAACTTCGGCTTTTAGAGATATATAGAGCTGTATATTCTACCATAGTGAAACTTATGGTTAATTGAAAATCAAAATCTTGATGAACGCTTCATGAAACGGAACAGTATTATCTGCTGTGCACTGCAAACCTAACTGTCTACTAAGTACACACTTACAAACGCATGCTTGACGCCGTATAACTCCATGCGTCAAGCATGCGTTTGTAAGTGTGTACTTGGCCAAGCATGCGTTTGTAAGTGTTTACTTGCAGGCATGCATTTGTAAGTGTGTACTTAGTAGACAGTTAGGTTTGTAGTGTGATGTTTTGGACTTGCCCTAACTTTTAAAATTTTAAAACAAGTTAAAGTTACGAATTATAATTTACGCTTACCATTACGTTATGATTCCCTTGGGAGGTAAGTTAAGGATCCCTGGAAATAGTGCCCCTAATTTATGCAGGTCAAATTGTGCAAATCTGGTCAAAAGTTACGGACGATTTAAGTGCATGCATCTGAAGTGTATTTTGAACTTTTATTTATATACAAGACCCAGAGTGCATCCCAACCTGCACAGCTTGACCGATGGCGACGTGCAGCTCCATGGTAGTGGAGCTCTGGGTCAAGATGAAGGACAGCATGGTGTAGTACGCCAGGCAGCACGCGTACGTGGCGCAGCCCAGCATGAACAGGAAGGTCCTGGACAGCCAGACATCCACGCGGAAGCCTAACAGTGTGGCTGCGGCGTCCGCCAGCCACCGGCCCTTCCACTCACTCATGGCTAGGTCGTAGAGCACCGTGAGCTGCACCAGCGTCGAGCACACCAAGTAGAGCTGCGTGCGGTGGGCGTCCCATCGCGCAAGACGGTCCAGCCTCTCCTGGGCGAGCATCAGAGAGCCATTTATTTCGGCAGGTCCACTTCGATCGCTCGATAAACGATTTAGGAGAAGTATCCATTCAAAAAAGAATCCAAACGGAAAAGAATACTTTGTTGTTGTAATGAGCTTCGATCGACATAGGCGATAGCTACAATTAAAAATCCGATATCCACAACCGAAAGCTCGGTGACGACCGGGCATTTGTAACAACAAACCCCACCTCTTAAAAATGGCCGGTGGCAGCACCCAGCTTTCGGGTGAGGGTATCGGATTTTCAATTGGAGCTACCTAACTTTGCCTATCGAACTAATCATTACAAAATAGATTAAGAGAATCAAGGGAATCTGAGGGCGAACAAGAGAATCAAGGGAACTTGGGTTGCGTTGGCCAATCAAAAGCCGCCTTTCGCGTTAGCAAATGTCGTCCGTCATATTGTCACTCAATGTGATAATTCGGACCAAAACCGGCCAGAGCGTGAAAAAATTATTACAATTTTAACGCGACATCTTTTTATTGCTGCCACAGATGCGATGGTTTAAAGGAATCGCTTTACACTCCCAGCCGAGCTCCCAGCACGATACGGACTTTTTGGTAATTTTGTCGGGTGTACTCATGCAAGTAATTTGTGCAACCATAATTCGTACTTTTTCTTTTTTTAATGAACCTCTAACGAAATATGAAATAATGTACTGACATTTTGGTTTTTTTACAAAGCTCAACAGAATAATCCTAACGTCAGAGCAGACCCAAGCAGATCCTAACTGTCAGTGCAGATCTAGAACTATCCTAACTGCATAGGTGAGGTACCTAAATGTGTTTGTTCCAATAGTCAGTGACAACCAAAATTTTCAAAAGGTGCTGGCGCATCTCTGCCGCAAAGTAACACTCCACCCCCACCTTGGTTTCGTGACCAGCGATGCGCTCCACGCGGGCGGTCACCTCTTCGAGGCGCTGCAGGTTGTCCAGCAGCACGTCTACGCGGCCCGCGAACAGCCACTGCAGCGGCAGCGTGGCCAGCACGGCCTGCGCGTACCGAAGCCCGAACTGGGCCTCGGCCAGCGACTCGGACAGGAGGGCGTCCCCCAGCGTCGTGAACAGCGCCACCAGGCTAAGAGCCACGGACACCTGAGCAGCACGCAAGGCAAAGGCAACTCGGTAACCACACCGTTAAGACAAAGCATCGCTTCGCACTGTGCGAAAAAAAAACCCACAGAGAATCCCGTTAATGTTTTGGCCGGGATTTACTGTGGTTCAGAACACAGGATTAACTGTGCCTGGCTTCAGTATTTACTGTACCCGGTACAGGATATTCCGTACTCCACTCCTGTGGTACAGTAAATCCCGTACAAAGTTCAGTAGATCCTGTGAAAAAGTACAGTAGATCCTGTACTCTGAACTACAGTGACAGCTGTACTAATCACTACAGGATTTACTGTGATTTTTCCCCACAGTGCGGGCACTGCAAGAAACGGTGTGAATAGTACAACGAAAGTACAACAAAAACTGCGAAAAAGGATGAGGGGGATATTGGGAAATATTTGTGGACAAAGACCAAACATTACCAAACAGCCTCTAGCCTTAAGTTGAAAAAAAAATGTGTGGCCACAACCGAGCGGGTCAAATTTGAGCAGCCTGTTCAGTCAACCCTTCAAAGAGATTTCTTAAATTAATTATATAATTTATCAAATTAGGGACGAGTGAACCCAGGGACCGAATGGGTGGGGTCGAGATGGACATGGGGCGACTCGGGCCGCGGCGACGAGTAGTTTCAGATTCCTTCTTTTCAGTGCAGGCGGAAACGAATGTGATACATCGGCCGGGTTTTCGGTCGCACCCTTACTTTAGTTCCTCGCAGGTGCCTGAGTACCCGGTGGAGTATATGCGAGCGGCGATCAGGCGACAGAAACTGATGCCACCAGCGCATTCGACCAGCCAGCTTCCCTTTGTCAGCCGCCATTTTCCCGAGGTTCCTGAAAGCACAGTTTGAGATGCCCATTGCCACGATCAAGTTAGAGTAGGGTGCGCCTGGGAAACCCGGCTCCTATTTTTGCCGTGCTTACATAGGCTCAAAATACTCCGTAAGCGCCAACACACATACATCTATTCAGTGCGACGGTGGGCTCTGCTGATCCACCGGTGTCGAGCGGAAGAGGGGTCATCCCCCGCGCATGACTGGCGGCGGCTTGGCGTCGCTCCGACTGCCGCGGTCCCGCCGCAAGCAGAGGGCGCGGCAGTAGCGTGCGCGCGGCCTCCATAATGGATGAGTACCTCCGCGTGCAGGGACCGCGCACTCCATAAGTGATAGCAAGGCGGAGGGCGGCACGCCACTGCGAGTCGCTGCCTCTCGGGTCCCTGTGAGGCAGAGTGGGCCAGAAGACCGGCTGAGACGGTCGAAGTCCCGGACGCGTTGTGAGCTCCGGAGTTAGTGTTCCGCATTGGGCGGGTCGGTCGGGTTCTGTTGGTTCTGTGAAAATTCGACCGCAGCGCTGCACCGCGACGAGTCATCGAAACTAAAAAACCGAAGTGGCTCCGAAGTGCCGGCGAAGACACGGCTTGGACATCGGCTGGCTCGGAAGCAGCCCCTCCTCGCCCCTCGCCCTGCATGTGACACAAACCGTCCCGACAGGTGCTGCCCTCTAGTCGGCAAAAGTAGCCAAGACGATCGGGTTGACGGCCGCCCGATGCCGTCCGAGCCGCTTGCTCATCGGGCGGGCCGGATCGGGCCGTCGACTGTCAGCGCCATCGGGCGGTGCAAAATCGTACGACCCGCCCGATGCGGAACACTATCCGGAGTCGCCAACTGGGACTTGAATCGAACGTGTGGCGCCATGGACTCATCCTTCCGAGAGTAATTCACTGATGGGACGCCCGGTTTGAGACCTGATTAGCGACACTGGTGCTCAAGCCCTCTGCCCTGTGACGAGACTCAGCCCCCGAAGACTTGCCGGAGGACGCGCCTCGCAGCCAGTCCGTCGTCACGTCACTTCTGCAGCACGCTGACGAGAGACTCATGCGTGACGATACATTTCGGTGAGGTGTGCACTGCAAATTTTGTTTTTCAGACCGCTGGTTTCTAAAATTTCAGACCGCCGAAATAGTCTGAAATTTCAGAACCACTTACTGTTAATTAACTTCAGCCTAATTTTGACTGAAATTTCAGAGTTTTTCTTTTAACAGTGGACCCAAATCGGCGTATCCTAATACAATGATCCCAACTGCCAGAGCAGATCCAAGACGGTCCTCACTGCCAGTGTCGATTCAGAACTATCTTGACTGAAGATGGCTTGAAAAGCTGCCTTTTTCTTTAAGTCGGTGACGACCACATTCTACATAAAATTACTTGCCGAAGGACTCGTTAAAAATTTCACCGAGATATCGCGATTCACTGATTTGAAGTGAACATAGTTTAAGGCACATCTGATGTTAGGTTAGGATAGTTCTGAATCCGCACTGACAGGGTTGTCTTGGATCAGCTCTGGCAGTTGGGGTTTTCTTGGATCTACACTGCCAGTTAGGAGGCGTCCTAGTGTATGCTTGTCCCAGTCCCACACTTGGATTGGCAGTGTGACTGCAGTCTACATGTCTCCCAATATTATTTTTAGTGTCCTTAGGACCATTCAGCGTAGTTCCATCACTCTAGGCCCCCTTTTAAGTCGCACGGAAAATTAAGTCGTTTCTTGCGTTCTTGCAATGTCGAATTCGTCTCGTTTATAGTACAAGAAACGAAAAGCATTTTCGGATAGGCAAGAACGGAGTCTCATAATGTTAATTCTACATCATGCAACCTGAGAAAATGTTTTTATTCTGTTTGACAGCTCGTGACGCGAAACACATCATTTTTCCCTGCGCTCCTTGCATTGAATGTGTTGAACCTTGTCACATATCCCGGAACAGTGCCGCGAACTTCCAGTATTTTGACTCAGAGTGAAACTGTGCTAACACTCTTAGAAACAGCCGGCCTGGTTTCCGATTTGGTAACAGAAGATTTTTCGAAAGGAGATATTTCTTCCCGTGCTTTTGCTCTATTCCAGCAGATTTACACAGGATTTTGCGCTTATTATCTTAGCGTTTGTGAGTCAATGTTATTCCGACTCGGCCCGACTTCACTGGATTTAACTGATTCCAGCTGATTGTGAAGACTAAGTTTAGGAGTGGTCAGGTGGTTCACAACTTGACTGTTGAGTTCTCGGCGATCTTTCCAAACAGAACCAACCCTTCATTCGCACACCTTTGAAGACGTCGGATGCAAGTAAGCGGCTTCTGCAGCAATTCACCGCGTTGTAAACATTATTGTGTGAATTCAAGGTTGGAACCAAACTGTGCTTCTAAAGAAATGAACAATTAACTGAGTGGACGCAGCGTGGCAGGGACGCTGTGAAGACGTGTGTGATGGGCCACCTCTCTCTGTGCCAACTTGAGACTGTCATCAAATCGGAGAGTTCCACTACACAGTGCAAAGTCACATTGGAGTACGGATTATGGTATTGAAGAAGACATTTTGCCAAACCTTGGCTCAAGTTTTTAAAATCCTTGTGCAGAAAAACAGTCTCCCTCTGCTGCTCTCGCTATGGTGCAGCATCACTGTGGTAACGCACTTATTGCAAAAGCAATACACTTTTGTTGAATAGCGCACTTCTTTGTCTAGTAATAGCGCCATGAAAAGTTGTCTTAATTTGAGCGCAATAAATATTATCTCGCGTGCATTATCAGATCATTGCACTAAAATGTGATAATTTGAGCCGAAACGTAAGCAGCTTACCGCATTTTTCACGTGGCAACAGTTTATTGCTGCCACAGGCGCGACAAATTGAAGGAATGTCACATTGTTCTTGTTATTGCAGCTCATTGTGTTAAACTGATCACATTAGGAATATCAGTGACAGTGCTGTTAATGCTCTTGTTTATTGGTTTGACACCCATCTCGTAGCTTTGGACAGATTTAAAACGGTGACCTGTTCAACATTTCTGTAAAGTTTTTATACTTTTGGGTTTCATCACTAGGAGTGAACCACGTAAACCGACGTAAACTGTCATGTGGCGATAGCTAAATATCCTCCCAAATCTGTAACACCAACAAAAAACCGTACTTTTGTAAGGAAAAGGTACAGAAGAAATTAAGTACGGGTGTACGGAGGAAAGTACGGAACGTTCGTACTTGTAAAAGCCAAAAGCTATTTTACCTCGCGATCACGTCCATTTGTGTGCCTTCGTTTGGCAAAGGAGCCTGCCAGCGAAGGCAGGGCAGCGACGCAGGCCAAGGTAGGTGCAAACGCCAGACGCGTCAATTGTTGAAAGGCGCAGCTTTGCGATGCCTGTTACGACAAACAATGGTTTGGAGTACCCACCTCGTTTATTAACGTCAAAATTGCTACTTTTTTCAAGCGCTCATATGGCTACTGGCGAAGCTGGCGCTATATAAATAAGCTAACGCTCCTTCACAAGGGCCCCATGGGCGGTGTGGAACACTTGTGATTTCCACTAATGAGTCTGACCGCAGTTGGGCTAGAATGTACTACTCCCAATACGTCCAGGCATGCATCAAGGTGTAACGTCTGACGATTTTGCACCAAGGAAGAAACTATAGGAATTAGCGAAGGCGGCTCCAACAAAAATGTTGCCCTTCGTAAATTCACGAAGATTGTTCCAAGTCCCCCTGAGGGACTTGGTGCGCAGACGTCTCCAAATACTTCTTGAAATGGGCTTGTTTCATATGACTTGAAACTGTTGACTGTAGAATAGAAAAGTACTACCCTATCCATATAGCTAAGTGAGGCAGGCTAGGTGATTTGAACCCTAGACTACACATTACCTACACTCATACAGCACTGTAAATCCAAAGACGATACTTTTAGTACCTTTTTTGGCGATACAATTGAGTATCGCCAGTAAACGGCCTTACGGGAAAGTATTGCCTTCAAAACGGCGATACACAAAAGTATCGCCAAAATTTGGCGATACTTAGGAGTATTGCCACGATTTGGCAATAAACGTTGAACAAATCAATGGGACAAGTTCTTAGTTTAATGCCGTGGTTTTGGCAGTACTCCAAAGTATCGCCAAATTTTGGCGATACTTCTGTGTATCGCCGTTCTGAAGGCAGTACTTTTTTGTAATGCCGTTTATTGGCGATACTCAAATGTATCGCCAAAATATGTACTTAAGTATTGTATTGCCTTTGCAGTTGCAGTGAGTGTATTGTGCAACACCTTCCCAAGGGTTCAACGGTTAGAGATATTCGGTGTCTAAATTAATTACTGGTAATAAGCATGAATCAGTCTTATTTTCAAGTGCTCAAACATTTCAAACGTAAGATATTCAATTCTTGAAACATAATCTATACAATTCATTCACTAAAGCCACACGTAATGATTGGAATAATCCATAGCTGCAGCTAGCGTCGCACCGAATGCATCTCGCACAACGTTCCTGGCTTCTCTGGTAGGGGTTGACATCACCGGATCGGCCGAATGGCTCACCAGCAATAAAGCTACCACCTACACTCTAAATATAGAGTGCTCAGACACTGGCGCCTTTGTCGCCCGCCCCACTTTCTAGGGTGCCAAATATCGCCCAGTTCCTGGGCACCTTTGTCACCTAGCCTCGGGGTGGACAAACCATAAAGAAACCTGCCTTCACCCATGGCTCAGCAGCGACTGAGGTGCCGAAGGTGCCCAAAATGTAGGCACCTTAATCGCCCAGGATCTAGACACCTGAGCATGCTCTACCATGGGAGAGGGCCGGTTACTGTATGATTTGTCCACCCCGAAACTGGGCGACATTTTCCACCCTAAAAAGTGGGGCGGGCGACGAAGGCGCCCAGTTGCTGGGCACCCCATATTTAGAGTGTAGCAACGAAAAGAACACTCAAATAGTAACTTTAGACCGGAAACGTGTACAATGTCTATAGACATGGATTATGCGGGTCAGGTTTTACGGGCATAAGAAATTAATAACCCAGTTCAGAGGAAGGTTGAAAGTATTTGTGTGGTGCAAATGGCGATGGAGAAAACCCGGCCCCGACCGAAAACACGAACTAGAATCAAACAGATTGCCTTGATAGAGGTTTTGGAACTTACGGTGGAAGGCAAACACAGCAACATGATCGAAGACTGAGCAGGACGAGGGATGCCCGCTATTCTCAAGGAACCTCTCACAGGTATACATGGCCGAACACAAGCAATCAATTGGTTGCGGTCGTGCCACTCGTGCCGTATGTGTTCCTAATGGCCTGAGGGGCACGAAGTTTCCAGGAAGGGTACCAATCATCAGTGAAACAACTCGAGACATCCACATACACTGAAAATTAAGAAGCAAGTCTTTGTGCCAATTTATAGCGAGGCAAAAAGTCTTGCCAAGTATTGGTCAGACTTGTTGCAAGAGGGGAAAGAAAGGGCCAACTCCAATTTGACCATTTTACAGAAGAAACAAAAAACTTTAAGCATGGCAACTAAAATTTAACGAACAAATGTTATGGACGAAAACAAGTTATTTGCAGGAATTTCCGTACCCTCCTGACACAGTGGTCCTTGTGGGCCACACGCCACATACCACAAAATGTAGGGAAGAATAGAGTAAAAGTAGCTACGTATGGAATAGATGGCCTCAGTCTAGCTAGCTGTTTGTGATAGAATTCTTCACGTGGACTGCTTGAAGAGCAGCTATAAATTTGCTGCCTTGCACAAAAGGCCTTCACGGGTGATACCAAGGGCCGGCGGCCCTTTAGCATTCATTTCGTGGTAGATTGATCGTCAAACTTATCGTAATTTTACAAAGAGAATTCCGAACAGTGTGGTTTTGCTGAAACAAATAACATGAGGGAACGAGCCGTGATAACCTTTAGGAGTGTGACATTCGGTATCAGTTTGGAAGGGACTAGGAAGGATGATAAACTCAGCAATATTTCACATTACAATATTGTCCGTTCCGTTTTTATTTGATTTGTAGACGCAACGAGATTCTAATGACAACAGAAGGGGAAAGGTAATTGTTAAAGAGGTGCTCTTGCAACGCTTTCGCCGGTGCGTGGGTTCCCCGTTTCACGCTTACTTCAGCCCCATACAAGAAATGACGTGGCTAGCGAAAACTTGATTTGCCGGCACGCTGTTGACCGATGCGTAACAAGCCGAGGCTTCTTTAGCAGACTGCTTGGTGTCCACGCAAGTTCGCAGGTTGTGGAACAGATACTTGACGAGGATCTCATTGCCCTGAGGGACTTGGTTCGCAGACGACTGCAGACACTTGCTGAATTGGGTTTTTCTCGCTTGATTTGAAAGTGCAGTCTGTAAAAGTGGAAAGAAACGTTAACGCCTCCTTATTGCGATGCTAGGCCTCCGTGATTTTGACCCCAGATCACAGCACGTTGCGCACAGCCTATTTATGGGAACTGCTCATCGGGTTATGATTCGCATGGCACCAATGACCCATTCTCAAAGACGCTTACGCGCCCAGATCTCGGAGGCATAATTTTGGATTCCCGATTCCGTTTAAATTTGCACACTAAATTACTTTCAGTGCATAGGTTTTGCAAAAAATTGTGCATGCGTTTCAAAATGCACGACCTTGTGCGTAACCAAGCGAGAAACAGTGCGTTGTTTCGCACAAATTTCCTGACACGCGTACGCTCCACAACGTACAGCCTACAACAACTATGAGGTTGGTCATTGGCCTTATCAACTTTGTTCGCTGTTTCCGCAAAACTAAATTTTTCTGATTTAACCCTGACTTTTGAGCTTTCTATAAGCAGGGGGTGGTCTGGAGTGGAAATGTCTTGATACGAATCTTCTCGAATCCAGAGGCATGAAGGATCCATGATCAGGAAGAATATTACGACTCGTGTTCCGTCGTTTCGCAACACTCCATAGACCTAGGGCCAACTCACCCCTACACCGGAAGCTGCTCCTAGGACCGCTCCGAATGCGTCTCCCAGAACGTTCCTGACCTCTCTGGCAGGCGTTGATACGACCGGATCAGCCACATGGCTCACCAGCAACAAAGCCACGACCTACAAACAAAACGAACATCCACTTCGCCATTCAAGACCGGCCCCAGGGGAAGGATCTGTAACTTTAACCACACAGAAAAAATGTAGTTTAGATGTAGTTTAACTGAGTAAAAAGTACCAGTTATTTCGTAAAACTTTAGTTTACAGCCAGTTCTCTCTCAATTTAAAGATGAATCTGGGTGTAAAAGTAAGAAAAAATGGCAGTTTTGCAACTGCAGTTTCTAAACTGAAGTTTGAACGTGAGTTTCTCTGCAGATCCTTCTGCCCGGTGCTGACTTCCGCTTTTCATCTTATCCGACGTACTCATTTCGAATAGGGCCTTCAGTATTTGCGTGGTGCAATGACATGAAATAGACCTACTCGAGAGGGCACCGTCTGTCTGTGCGCCAAAGCGGTTTTGGTTCTTTTTTTTTTGTTATTTGACTTTCGGGCTAGAGGTCCGTCAAAATATCCTGTACAGCACTGAGATTCCAAACGCTATGAGTATAGCACGTATGGTGCAATGCGTTGAGATATTGCACCATACGTGCAATGCCATTGCAATGCAAAAGCATTGCACCAGTTGGTGTAATGAAAACGTCTTCAAATGCATTGCACCAATTGACACTACTCATAGCGTTTGGATTCTCAGTGAGGTTTTGAAACTTACGGTAGCAGTCAAACACGAAAACATGTTCGAAGACTGATCACGATGACAGCACCCGCCTTATTTAAGCAACCGCTCACGACAGGCATTACATGACCATGCACACATTTATTTGCAGTCGTGCAACTCGTTTTTGTACCTGAACATTTGATGGCCTCAGAGGCACGAATTTACCGGGAACTGTGGCAACGGCACCATAACACACAACATTCCCATTCGTTAGAATAGTGGCTGAAGAAGTTTCTGAAATCGATGCAGTTTTGAAGAGATCTTCCACGAGAGCAATCACTCTGAGAAAAAATGACGGTAAATCCTGGATAATTTTTTGGCCAAACTTTACCGTACTTCAAAAACCAGTATCCACCGTACAGTCTACAGTATTTACCGTACTTGTTTTACGAAGTATTCCGTAGTTTTTTAACAATAGTTACCGTTCTTTCGTATAGTACATGCCGTAGGAAGGACCAGATCTGGTCCCAACAAGGGCCGCTCCCAAGAATTGTCCACATCAGGATCTTGAAGAAAAGGGGTCGACCGCCTGAAAAATTTTATTGCACCCTTCGATAGGTCTCCTCAAGACCTTTCCAACGAGTGGTCGGAAGGGGGGTCCAGGAGTCCGACTTCAGCAGTTACGTACATCAGGATCTTGAAAAACGAGGGTCGACGAACTGAAAACATTATAGCAGTTTTGGTATATAAGTATTGAAAGTACGGGATTGCCGGGTAAAAAAGTACGGGATTCCTTGTAAAAAAGTACGTTATTGCCTGTTCAAAAAAGTACGGTGAAGTCTGGAGTGATTACTCCAGGCTGATTAGTACAGGATTTACCGTGATCTTTTCTCGCAGTGCAGAGCGGTGCACGCACTCAAAATGTTGTACAGTGAAGATTCTCCGTATTATGGTGAAAATGTTCCATATTATGGTGGTGCAGCTGACTTTATAACATACTATTCTACCTTACTCTGGCCTGCTGCTAACATCGGCGACCCGTGGCGCTACCTCACGGACCTAATCCGAACTACTGATATGGCGGGAGATTTTGAACTTGGAACATATCAAACAAGGTATGGGAAGAGAATTTTGATCCGTATGACCTAAATTTTAATGAAGATGCTTCCCATGATAAAATATTGTGGCCTAAAGTTCATCCCAGGCACATGATTGACTACTTTTTGGTGTTCCCAAGAGCTCGGTTTGGGGTGGTCCGACTAAAGCTTTCTCGACATCTTTTATTTTAGACCTAATGGTTTTTTCTTGAATTATTGATTGACTATTTTTGTGTTTTGTGATCACTGATCATGTTAACCTAATGTTTCATTAGAACTTCAATGTTTCTTCTTCTTGAACAATTGAGTGAAAAACTTACTTATGCAGCTTTTTTTCTTTGACTTTTTTTACGCAAATGAAGTGAATAATTAATGTTCCTCACCTTCGTTTATAATTTGAATTAATTAAATCTTGATTTATACTAACAAATTGTTCACTTGCTTGCCCTTATCACAGTTTATAAAGAAATCGACACTACAGCCATAATTCTCTCTTAATTGTGATAATAAGGGCGAGCAAGTGAACGATTTGTTAGTATAAATTAAGATTTAATCAGTAGCTCTGGCATATTATTTTGAAAACTAATACCTGTTTTTTTGTTGTTTTTTTTGGTTTCCCAGACAACAGCACTGGTCAAGAGGGAAAGTATTTCTGCATCTACAGCTTCACATGTCCTAAATTCAAGATCCATTCCTTGCTGATGTTGTGAGTGTATGTGCCCTCATAGAGGCCACGACCAGCCCATTTGACGAGGGCATACTTCTGACGACTAGACCCTTTAGTTCAACACGAAAAGTTTGCATGTATGCTGAAAACTCATTTTCAATTAATAAAAGGTGTATAGTACTATTTTGGTTTTACTCAAAGAAACCCATCATTTGGAAATGGAGACGAAACAGTACTCGATCTATATGATTAACAAGATTTTCTGTTGAAATAAGCAATAACTTTAAAATACGCAACTTCTGCACTTAGGGTGCAGCTTATTATTAAAAAAAAATAGTCACGAAGACATTATAAACTACAGCAAAATCTGAATAAGAACTCTCTTAGATCTACAGTGGAAACAGAGGAAAGGACTGGAGACAACTGGGTGGGAACTGTCGGAAACTGACCAGCAAAACTACAGTTGTCCGAAATAACTGTTATTTTTTATTCAGTTTAACTATAGTTTTCTATACTTTATCTATGCTTTGACTACATTTTATGCACTTAACTAACAGTTTAATTGTATTTACAGTACATGAATCTCTCTTTTAAATCTAAATAGACAATTACAAAAAAATTATATTTTTCCAGTGTAGCCTAAACTACAGATCCTTCCTCGCGGGTAGGCAATTTCAAGGAGCCGAGGAACCAAGAATTCAGAATTCACTGTACCTTATGGACATCTTGACGAATGGTATTATGGAGAAAATCTCCACCATAACATGTTGGTGCAGCCTTCCACCGTAAGACATTTACAGTGCGAGGACTAGGTGCGCGACTGTCTTGATGGTGCCTTCGAAGAACCAACAACACGTTGCACTTCATGAGGACTCCAAGGCACCACCGCTCATCTAGAAACTGAAGAGAGTGCATGGCATGCTCCTCCTAGGGGTCAACCACAAAGAACGCTCTTCTCACGAGCGTGCTTGCAAGCACACTCTTCCCAGGAGCATGCTTGGCAAGCACACTCTTCCCAGGAGCATGCTTTGCAAGCACACTCTTCCCAAGAGCATGCTTGCAAGCACACTCTGGAATATGGACTAACGAAGAGGCACGCTTTCATCCTAGAGAGTGCTTGCAAGAGCATACTCCTAGGGAGAGCGTGCTTGCCAAGCATGCTCCTGGGAAGAGTGTGCTTGCAAGCATGCTCCTGGAAAGAGTGTGCTTGCAAGCACGCTCTTGGGAAGAGCGTGCTTTGTGGTTGACTCCTAGGAGAAGCATGCCATGCACTCTCTTCAGTTTCTAGAGCGTGGGCGGAATACACACGAAATGTCACGGGACTTTTTTGTCCCACGAATGATGCAATTTTAAGCACATCCGGTGGTGATGCAATTTTGTGTCCGCCAGACGGGACAAATTGTCTAGTGAAAGTACAAGTTGCAGCAGGCGTCGGACAAAATGTGTCGCCAGACGGGAACAAAATTGTATCAGCGTCGGATGTGCTTAAAATTGCATAAATCGTGGGACAAAAGAAGTCCCATGACATTTAGTGTGTAGGGGAGTGTGAGGAAAGTGAACCATGTTAAAGAACGAGTCTCCCCTCCTTGATATCAATTTAAAATAATATCACTGGTGTTTCTTTGCTTCATGTAGTTTTTTTGCGTAATCACTCAATGCATTAGGATGAAAAACACAAAACCTGTTAACCATGAGTCGAGGAAGATAGCAAAGATAAGATGAACCATTTCCGTTCACATTATAGGGGCAAGGCATGTTTTAAAGAAACGACAAATGTTTGCACATATTTTGTCGCTCCAACTGGGTCTAAATGCGTAAGCCTCCTAATTTTTCAGTAAATACTTTGATATGGAATACTATATTTAAGGAAATCTTTAAGTCTGATCCAATGAAAGTAAAGAAATCTTTTCACTAGATTGGAGCCACTTGTTAAACAGCTTGGGTCCCAAAAAAAAGGGAAAAAAAGAAAGAAAGAAGAGAAATAGTAACTGAATACTCACCATGCAGAGCGCTGAGTCACTTCCTGCCTTGTCGTTAAGGACTTACGGTGTGATAGCGCACTAGCATTATCGCACCTAGTTCTGCGCGTTCCTCTAATTCGCGGAATCGGAACCAACGAATCGAGGAACCGCTGACAACGAATGAGACCAGGTGTGTGCACTTGTGCCGTGACACTGAGACACCGGAAGAAATTCAACATGGGACTATTTGCTTCCCCACAGTTGAAAATAAAAGTGTTAATAATTCTTGAGCAGACGTATTTATACTTTTTGGCCCGTCCAGTGTATTTTTTGTAAAAAAAAAAAAAAAAAAAGAAATACCGGAGGGACGGGCATATAGTATGATCCCTGCTGTGCGTCCGTCCGTTCGTTCGTCCGAGGACTTCCCGTGGTCCAATGTTGACCAAATTTGGTATGCAGCCTCCTTGCGTGACCCTAAGAACCGCCCGGTGGCAGCAAATCCGATCCGAGCCCCAGGGGTGCTGCTGCAGGTGCATCATGGTCTACATGGGGTCGAGGAGGATTTCGGCAACGGACACAGCTAGAAAGGCATGTAGGGGTATTTTTGGAATCGGGGCGGCGAGTCAAATCCAACGGTGCCATTTTCGATCAAATCGGAGAAGTTTCGACCCGGGTTCAAATCCCAGTGGGGTATATTTTGGACATTCTTTTTATTCAAGTTTTTGCATTGTTTCTGATGTTTCTGAGGGCGCTGATATAACATCTATTTTGACCCCAGACTCAGGTTCAAATGCCGTTAGGGTTAAACACAGGCGAAATTCGCAAACTTCTAGATGTACGGGACGGGTCAAAGTTGCCGATGTATATCGCTACTTTTCCTCTTATTAAGAAGACAATTTTCCCGGCATCCATTAGTAGACATGCCCTGAGACTCGGCACCTTTGTCGCACGCTCCACACTGATAATCCAAGTGTGGGACAGGCATGCACTAGATAACGTGGGACAAACTGTCCCACGCTTGTAAGCGTGGGACAAAATGTCCCACGTTTGCAAGCGTGGGACGAACCGTGTTACACGCTTACAAGCGTGGGACAAACCGTGTCCCACACTTACAAGCGTGGGACAAATCCGTGTCCCACACTTACAAGCGTGGGACAAACGGTGTCCCACGTTATCTAGTGCATGCCTGTCCCACACTTGGATTTTCAGTGCACTTTTGATGGCGTCAAATGGCGCCCCGTTTCTGAGCACATTTCAGGCTTTCATGTAAACTCTTTCCAATAAATTTTAAGGTTAGTGGGGTTTTCCAATAAAAAGCTGGTTCTTAAAGGTTCTTTTTGAAAAAAAAACCAGTTTGACGCTAGGCCTTATAACCTAGGATCTGTAGTCTTTCTGCTAAACCTCGAAAATAGGCAAAAAATTCACTGCGCGCATGATTTTTTTAAAAATGCGGCATCGTATCATAAATGTCTTTGTTTCTCCTTCAAAAGGACTCCTGGCACTGTAGATTGAACTAGGATAATTGAAATAGGTGGTACCAAAGTGCCTGTAACTTACATTTTTAGGTGTACCAAAAAAAGTATTCAAATTTTGACATTTCAATAATTGTTTTTGGCCTCTTTCCCTTGTCCGATTGAAGATATCCTAGTTCAGAATGACGACCTTATAGAGGTGAAACATTGGAAAAATTATGAAGCCAAAACAAGCAACAATCTGGCTTCAATCGTGCGCGCAAGACCCAAAATATTGCAAATGAGTAAAATGGCTTTTAAGTTAGACCGGTCTAACCTATCCTGTGGAAAATAAATTACATTATTTCATCCTGTGGCCAAACGGTTTTGAATTTCGAAACCAGCCAGCCACCCAATTCAAGGGTTGCACACAAAGAATTCAAAAAACTCATAAACCAAAATCTGATTTTTTGACGGAGAATGACGAGTCTTCCCCCTTAAAATTTGCATAAATCGTGGGACAAAAAAGTCCCATGACATTTGTTGTGCAGAGACCCAGATTCTGGGCACCTTTCACGGGGCAGACCGACTGAAAAATTTTATTGCAGTTTTCGATAGGTCTCGCCACAACCTTTTCAACGAAGGGCCGGAAGGGGAGGTCCAGGAGCCAGACTTCGGCAGGGCCAGGTCAGGATCTTTGATAAAGGGACTCGACCAGGGGGTGGCAGCGGCCTAGGAAGAGCGTGAAGCGATGCTCGCGCCGTCAGTGCAGAGGTTGCGCACTTGTTCGAGATTATGAAAACTAGACTGTGTTCTTCAAAACGCTTTGCACCGATGGAAAGGGCTTGAAATTTAGGGTGCATTAGGCTAATTGCTCTTCTCCAAACTCTCACCTTACCTGTTATTAAGGTGCAGTAAAAACACCTACAAACACGAGAAATCATAAAATTGAAGAAAAACTCGAATGCGCCATGTTGATGTAAATGGTTCCACCCTTGTGTCCGGTTGAATTGGAAGTATCGGGCAGTCTACTAGGCCTAATGCACCCCAAATTTTGTGCTCTTTTGATCTGTGCAAAGCGTTTTGCAATCAACGGGCTAGATCTTACAATCGAAGCAAAATAAGTAACCAATGCACCTTACTCGCGCATGGCTTCACGCGCTTCCTAGGCCGTTGCCGCCGCCTGACTCGACCGACTGAAAAATTTTATTGCGGTATTCTATGTATCGCCACGACCTTTTCAACGAGGGGTCGGAACTGGCGGAGCATCGCTAAGCCTGGTACGACAAGACACGGTCTGGCGTACATTTACCTTGAAATAGTACTCCGTGTTCAGTTCAGGGGGGTCAGTACCCCGTCGGTATTTCCTAAACAGAGTGGAATTTGGAGACAAGTCTAGTGTAACCATAACGTAATCATGTTGTGGAGAAATTTTGTGTCCTGCCACATGGAATCATATCCTAACCTTATCTTCCATTTATATTCAGGACGTATACATATCAGAGCATTTTCCTCCCCCTCCCTTCTTAGGTGACAACGTAGTACATGGACGATCCTTTTGGCTAATTTTAGTGATCACTTTTCAGTGACCTTACCAACCACTTTCTCTTAGATTACCCATCACCCACTACACTTGCACTTGAGATTATGGCATGCGTGAGTGGTGTGGTGTTTGTGAGTCAGGTGGAGGCAAGGCAGCCTTCAACGGCAAGCCACCTGAAGGAAACTTAAAAGACGCAGCTGGCAGCGCCTCTCACCCAGTCGCAGAATGAGGCTCACAGTACTACTTTGCGTCTTCGCAGCCTGCGGGCTGTCGAGGGCCAGCCGATTGCCTCGGGCCAGTGGCGATGACGCCAAGTATACTCTGCCGGAGGGATTCCTCTTGGGCGCAGCCACCAGTGCCTACCAGATTGAGGGCGCTTGGAATGAGGACGGTATGTACACTGTTAGGGCGGGGCCTGGATACTTGGCACCCCTTTTGATCAGTCCGGTGGAGGTGGTCAAAAATCCCGGGCGCATTTCGTGCTCCAAGTTGCTAAATGGGACTCGTCTCCAACGTGTGACCCGTCTATGATTGCTTTCCGAACGAGGAATCCATTGGTGGCGACACGCGCTCCCTTTGAGTCCTGGAAGCGACTCTGAAGCTATAAACGGGTCTGGATTCTTGGCCGCCGGTCTTCTGGCCCACTGGTTGCTGTTATGTTCTTCAAAAGGTTTACTCTGCTCTTGTGTGTTAAAGGAAAGGGTCTAAATGTTTTCGACGTCGCCTACCACACCGCGAACATGACGGTCAACGGCGACGTGGCGTGTGACTTCTACCATCGCTACAAGGAAGACATTGCAATAGCCAAGGAGATTGGCGTGAGTTGGGACATTTAATATCAGTCCCAAAGGGGGGCCTCTTTTGCTGTCAGAAAAGCTATCGGTGATAGGGACTTTCTATTTAAATCTTCCATGTAACCGCGCTAAAACTTATCTGGGTCACTTCCACCGAGCTTCGGTGTATGTTCGGCGGGTGATTCCATCGAACTGCGACGCTGCGCGTCAGTTTTCCGCCAAAGAAGGCTTCTTTGGGCGGGGCGTTTCGAAAAAAGTCTTAGCTTGACGCGTTTCTGGATTTTCGTGCACTGCAAGTTGAACTTACGAATTACACTGAACAATAACGTATTTTGGGCAAGGTGTGCACCCCCGAAAAAAAATTATAATTTGGTGAGGGTTAATTTATCGCTCAAATTTTAGTGAATACCCAATTTATCCAAATTCAGGCAATAAAGTGATACTCGCAAAAGTTTAGCCCTGGTCAAGACTATTTCATTCTCGGGGCACTCGTTGCGCTCATCTCATACTTTGGTCCCTCATCAAATAATTGTGTTTCTTTCTTTTCAGTTTAACGTGTTTCGAATGTCTATTTCTTGGACGAGAATTTTTCCAAAAGCGAGGAATACGGAAATCAACGAGTTAGGCGTCCAGTTCTATCACAAAGTCATCGACACGTTACTTGCGAATAACATTCAACCCTTCGTACGTTATTTCAATTCTTCACAATTCATACACGGTGAAAACGGTTCTTGGTTTTCTGAGGGACTCCCTGGAAATCGCCTACGTCTTCACAATGGGCTACCTGGGAATAGCATGGACCGTCTTTGCCGTGTATATCGTGGCATTCTGGCGTTTGAAACTGGAAAGTAATCAAATTCTTAACCAAAAATAATATTTTTTTAAAATTTTTGCTCAAGGTGACTCTATTCCACTTCGATACTCCACAAGCCGTGCAGGACGAAGATAACGGGTGGCTGGGTGATACTGTATCAGACCTCTTCGCGGACTACGCAGAATTTGTTTTCCAAACTTACGGCAATAAGGTAATCCGACGCACGAACCCTTCGAATAACATTGAATGACAAAAACTTACTAAGTAATGCAGCCAGCAAGTTTCTTCGTGCAAGCCACCACAAGGTCCGGAGATATGAAACAATTATGTTTCGTCACATTTTGACCCTGACCCAGGTTCTCGCGCTGGGGTGAAAGGAAGACGAAATTCGCAAACTTTTAAATACACGGGACTCGTCAGCCAAATATGCTCGTTTATGCCTACTTATCCTGTTATTTGCTTTATTTGTAGGTGAAGTACTGGCAGACTGTGAATGAGCCATCCTTTTATTGCGATTATCTGGGATCAGGCTTTCTGGGACCAGCTTTCGCTGTGACCATTGAGGAGAAGAACAAGTGCCTGAAAAACATGCTTTTCTCCCACGCCAAGGCGCACAAAATCTATGAAACTAAGTACAAGTCATCGCAGAAAGGTATGCATGTGCGTTGAGAACAATTTCGTACGAAATAGAACCAATGCATTCATGTTAACGCGTGTATCGGGGCGGTTCACATTTTGAGCGTGTGCCGCCTGAATTGCACGAATTTGTGCAATCTAAACGTTTGTTCATTTATCTTCGAAACCGTCATCCAAAACTGAGATCATAATAAAAATGTTGATGTTTGTGAAAGGTATGATAGGCTTTAGTGCCGGTCCCATATTCGCCAGAGCAAAAGATCCCTCTTCGTCGGATGATATCGAGGCCGCAGTAAAGATGAACGAACTCTCTGGCATCGGCCTCACTGTGGACCCCTTCGTCTTTGGTGATTTCTCTGAGCGAGTCAAGGCGTCCAGGGGCATTTCCTTCACTGACGAAGAGAAGGAACTCGTTAAAGGTGAGGGTATCAGGCTTTAGAGAAAAGTACTTTGCAGCACGAAGTATTCTCCGGCTTCGCATTACGAACTCCCATGTGAACTTTTATGTTCGCATTGCAAAGAAATATGTAGTTCGTTAGTTGCGAAGAAAAAAGTACGCAACGTTGAGAAGCATTGGTTTGTAACGTTGCGAAGCATTTTCTTTGCAAGCTGCAAAGTAATACTTAGCATGCAATGAAAATAGTTTGTAAGAGAGTTTGCAACAATGCCGGAGAATACTTCGCAAGGCTTTTAGAGTGTTATCACTGCAAAGCGAACATCACTACTTATTCGCCGCCGTGACATTCCCCACTATATGAAACTTTCGCCCTCAGGGCGTGTTGACTTCCTGGCTATCAACATGTACGGTGGTCGGAGTGTGAATGCCTCCGACGTCAGTGCAGATGCAAGACTCGCTGGCAACGCCCCAGACGGTTTCGGCGACCACGTAAGTCAAAATGCACCTCCTGTTGATACAATGACAGTAGATGCGGTAGCAATGAATATCAGAAAATACTTCAGCGGCCACGCTGGGAAAAGAGGTCTATTTTCAAGGACTCACCTAAAGTGGAAATCCCAGGTACTTCTTTTGGCGTGGATGTGGCCTGGCTGTTCACCGGCAAGACGTTAAATCTGAAATGCTCAAAAAAGAGAGAGAGAGAGAGAGAGAGAGAGAGAGAGAGAGAGAGAGAGAGAGAGAGGTAGAAATACTTCAGCAATGAAAAGTTGCGACTTACGAGTGAGGACTTTTTTTAGGTCATCACTGATGAAGGACGCGTATATCAGTGTCAACTCAAAAATTAAGCCATTCCTCTCTATCTCTCCAACTGAAGCCATTTCGCTTGCAAAATGGAAAATATATGGGCACTATATGGAGAAAATATATGGCCCAACATGTGTTGACGACATATGTGGAAAAGATAATTTAGCAAGATACTTTTCCGATATAAAAAATATGTGGCAAATATAAAAATTTCATACATTGCTCTATATGTAGGCAATATAAAGTGTGAATACACCATGGAGTCTGACGACTCAGAGACTTCCTTTACTATTATCAAAGAATGTAACCTCGCCATGCGAGTACATACAATCGTGATCCTACCGTGGTCGCTTAGACGAACTTTTCGCACTACACTAAAAAAAGACGTTTAAAATTTCCTAACTGTTCCAGTTAACTTGTGAAACAGGATTTCTCAATTTCTTGGAGACTTAAACGCATAGAAAAGAACCTTGCCCCTGCTCAATATATGGCGTCAATATATTTTACAACATGAAATCATGTTGAGAAATATAGCCGCCTTTCAACATCAAGTGCCAAGATTTTAAGAAAAGTTACTTGAAAAGTCGGCCCTCCTCACCCTGCCCCATCCCATGACGGGCACCGTGTCAGATATTGAGACATACATTTCGCGAAGATAATATTATATGGGGAAATATATGCATCATATATTAACGGGCACCAAGATATACCCCCATATATAAACCACGTATTGCGCAAGATAATTTGCAATATATTGAGCAAGATACAATTATATTGGCAATGCATGAAACATATATGGAGTAATATATTGACACATATTTCCCATATATTTTCCTTTTTGCAAGGGTTTCCCGTCCAATCCATTAAAAGCAGCGTCTACCTTTTCAATGGGCTTCAGTGCAGTCAACGCCTCAGCGCCCTCGACCGCCGACTCTCTTGCTTTGTGGCGGTTGGAAACTCGTACTGATGGCACCAGATTCGGGCCGCAAACTAGGAAAAACAGCCTTGCGCCTGGGATTCGAACCCAGACCATCTTCTTGGCAGACAACGCCTCAGCGCTCTCGACCAACGACTCTCTTGTACTTTAGCAGTTGAAAACTCGTACTGATGGCACCCGACTCGGGCTGCAAACTAGGAAAAACATCCTTGCGCCTGGAATTCGAACCCAAACCCCCTTCTTGGCAGTCAACCTCTCAGCACCCTCGACCAACGACTCTCTTGCTATGTGGTGGTTGGAAACTCGTACTGATGGCACAAGATTCGGGCCGCAAACGAAAAACACAGCCCTGCGCCTGGGATTCGAACCCAGACCCAGACCCAGACCGCGCTATAAAGTAGAATTTTAATATCATACAAACTTGTGACAAGATGTTCGTTACGTTAATCGATCGGCGGAAGATACTGAAGAGGCTGAGTGCGCTCTGACCTAAAATGTTTTAATGCCTGCTTCAGAACAGTGCATGGGTGCTCCGTGAGATGCCCAAGTGGGTCAAGGCGCGGTACGACAACGTGAAGCAGCTCCCCATATTCATCTCAGAGAACGGCTTGCAAACGCAGGACGATTCCCCACTGAACGACTGGGACACCCGCGCTGTGTATTGCAGTGTAAGTGCCGAAATGAATCAGTGTACACTGTGAATGTAATTAGCCTTAGAATTAAGTATTTAGATACTATTCACAACATTTCGGTCAACACAACTGCACGTCCACTCTAGAAACTGAAGAGTGTGCATGGCATGCTCCCCCAGGGCGTATGCCACAAAGCACGCTCCATTCTGGAGTGTGCTTGCAAGCACACTCTACGGAGGAGCATGCTTCCAAGCACACTCCAGGATTAAGGCGTGCCTCTTCGATCATATGGGCCTTGCAATAGCGACGCAGCACGCTTTATCCTGGAGTGTGCTTGGAAGCATGCTCCTCCGCAGAGCGTGCTTGCCAAGCATGCTCCTGGGAAGAGTGTGCTTGCAAGCACACTCCAGGGTGGAGCGTGCTTTGTGGCATACTCCCTGGGGGAGCATGCCATGCTGCACACTCTTCAGTTTCTAGAGTGCAGATAAGGATTGTTTTTCTTATGTGGCACTCAGAAGGCGCGTGTCGACTATCAGAAAACAAGCCACAAACCCAATCAGCTTTAAAAAGATGTCTGCTTTTTTTTGGTTAAATTGTGGATATATGTGGTACAGGCATTTCTACGTGAGATGGCGGCAGGGATCAACGAAGACGGGACCAGAGTGTTCGGATACACATTGTGGAGCTTGATGGACACATTCGAGTTCCACGGATTTGCGTGAGTATATCATCCTTTTTTATGGTAACAAAAGCGGGCTTAGCAGCACAAGGAAAAAACACGAAGCATTGCTTTGTAATAAAGAAAACGAAGGTAGTGTAAAGTTTACGAAGAATTGCTTCGTATTGTGAAGCTAAATGCTTCGTTGCACGAAGCATTTCTGCATGAAACGAAGCAATATTACAAGGCCTTCACTTTCCTCGTACAAAGATTTTGCTTTGTAGACTTTTTGAGTGCAGATGCAGTGAAATTGGAAGCGTGAGACATCTGACCAGTTTTCGGTGATACAAAAAGTACGACAAAACGGTCATACGTACAAATGTATGGCCGAAAAAGGGTCATATTCAAATGGCAAAGAAGGTCAGACATCAGCGTGAATGGCCCATGTTTAGCTTGTGGATATATCAACCTTCACCTGTGAAAAAAAATAAAGTATGGCTATATTTCGTTTATACACCGATGACCCTTTCTCGGTCTTACATTTCAGTATGACCCTAGAGGCCTGACCTTTCTATATTCAGAGGACGAATATGTCCCTTTCTTCTTTCTGTAGGCACTGGGGCGTGGTCCACGTCGATTATGCTGGCGGCTCTCTGAAGCGCACGAAGAAGGCCTCCTGGACGTTCTTCCACAGGGTGATGAAGACTCGGCTTGTGCCGCTCGTCGAAGCTGGTTCTACTCCTTTTCCGTCTAGTTCGGCTGGCTTCCAAGGCTCTATTGTCCTGTCAGCAATTGCGTTTCTGCTGGCTACGTGGTTTCAATAAATGTAATGTGGCATACTCGTGACTTTTAGTAGGAACCTGACCCAAATGTTAAGAGGATATCTCACAAAAAAATTAAGGCGGAAGTATCGGAACTGCAGAAGAAATGACCTTTATTTATAGGGTATTCGAATGCTCTCCCAGAACGGAAGTGATAGATGGCAGTTTTGATGAGAAATTTACGCGGCGAAGTTCATCCGCCGCGTAGATTTCGCATATTAACTGCAATTTTTGACGGCTGATGTCGTTCTGCTCACTTCCGTTCTGTGAGGGCGTTGGAATACCCTATTGAGTAGGATCAATATGTTTGATCACAGAATTGAAATGCTTGGCACCGCCAAACTCCATGCTACTACTCATGTGCATTTGTTAGAGTGTACTTGCCAAGTATGCATTTGTAAGTTGTACAAAGTAGGCAGGTCGGGGAGTTCCTGGGGAAACTACAGAAGGAGCCAAACTTTTACCATGCACCCGCCACTTCTACGACGTCTACCGAGGCATATTCCATGTGGGTACAACGTGGATGTTCCGCGCTAATAAATACCTTTTGAAGTATTTTGAGCATACATAGTACAAACTAATTTACTTTGTTATACGAAGAGCTACATGCGCGCTGCGCAAGGCCGTAAAGGAGAGCTTCTCTCTCTCTGTTATACGAAGAAATAGTGCGTTAATACGAAATATTTTCTCTCTTTTTTTTTAAATACTTTGTTACAAGGTAGGTGTACGCCAGACCGTGGCTTGTCCTAACAGACTTCGCGATGCTGCGCCGTTTTAACAATCCACGCCTGGTGTCTACACCTTGGCCTACGGCGCTGGCCTACCATCGGCAAGCTCGGGCAAGCTCCTTTGCCAGACATAGGCACACAAAATCGACCTGATCGGGGTGAAAACAAGAATTTCGTTCTTGTACGATAATGTCGCTATCTAGGTTCAACGACATGTGTCGTGCGACATGTCGCATGCAATGTTTCTTAATGACTAAAATGTTTTACTTATTCCTTTGTTTCTGTACACCCTCAGATTCTTATGATGAAAGGGCCATCGTAATATACGTTGAAATGAGAACATGCGTACTTCAATAAAATTGATGCGTAATACGATGAAAAATTAAGCATATTACGTATGTGCAAATTTATGCGTACCTTACGGTGAAAAACCATCGTATTACGTATAAAAACGATCATAAGATGTTGTGTGTGTAAATCAATTTTTGACAGTTTTGTAACTTTGTTTTTCGCCTTGACTTGGTCATCGATTGGCGACTGTTTGTTTCTACCGTTAGTTGGGCTACACTCGACCGCCACGAGGCTTGCCAGCCAGTGGTCGAAGCCAGCGCGATGGCCGTGGGCGCCGTGCGCCGAGGACGCGCTGCGCCAAGCTCGGCAAGCACTGCGGGCTGCATGGCCGCGCTGTGGGCGCTGCAGTGGCGCGCCTTGCTGCTGCTGCTGCGCGTCGGCGGCCTCGACTGCAGCGCCGGCTGGCCTCCGAGACCCTCGTCGTTCTGGACGGCGTACTCCGTCGTCGCCCTCGGCGCTTTCTGCGCCGTCCAGATCGCCGTGGCCATGAAGTACGCCGTGCCCTTACTCATGGCGGCGCCAGCCGAGGAGACGTACATCAACCTGGTGTTCACCGCGGGACTCGTAGCCAAGACCGTTGCCGCAGCTATAGAACGGGTTCGTGCACGGACACTAGAATGGATGTCATCAGGGACACGGATTGGGGGAAGGGGTTGCAGCGCGTGGGGTTGTATCAGACCAGGGTTTATACAAACCTTGAAAACCTTGAAGGGGGGAAAATAAGGTCAGGGAAATGTCAGGAACTTTCGCAAAATGCGGCAAAATGTCAGGGGAAAGTAAATTTATTGCGACACTGGACCTGTTTGCTGGACAACCGCGGAGGAGAGCTCGAGACACCGGTCGCGCGCGTTCAACTCTATCAATGTTGCTTAGATGCACTTAATTGTCAGGGGAATTTGCAATTTTGCGTCAGGAAAGTCAGGGAAAATCTAAATTATTTTTTGTAGAACGACCGTGACTAAAATCACATTCTAACGAAAATAACGTACATTCGTTGCATAGTAGTGAGAGCGAAAACACCCAGCATGATCCTCTGATCCTCCCCTGTCAACTGTTTCAGATGGTGGTTGTTCGGTGCCGTTTGGAGCGAACGGCTTTGGTGCAAGGAATTGTTCGCTATACGACTTCATGCCCGCCAAAGTCTCGGGCGTGGCGAGGCATGGTCCTGGTGCTGATGGCATTCGTTTTCTGGAGTCTGTTCATTCCGGGTGTCATCCTTTACCTCAGACTTGTGGTAAATTTGAGCTTCAATGCTCGCGGGTCGAACGACTTACGTATGATGAACCTCTCATTCCAGGAGCCTGACGTCACTAATTTGAAACGAGCCAATCAAAATGTTACTCTCTTTTGAGCTTTGTGTCACATTCCTTTGTATGTGGATGAGCTCATGAATGGCTGGTTCACACTCAACCGAGCGTGACGCAATCCTCAGAGGGGCGTGACCCTTGACACACTCGCTTTGGCGTCTGGAATGAGAGTGAAGCATTCTTTAGTATTACAAGGAAACACGGTGCAATTGTATTATAAAACATATCTCTGCAATCATAACTCTGTGTTTTCTGAAACAAAACTTGTCTCTGTATTACAAAATAGAGTGGTGTTTTGAGAAAATGACGTTCTAAGTCTGTAGTTTGAAGCCAAAGCGGCTTGTTGTCTCATGAACTCTCCATTCTCCAGGAAGGAATGCCATTCGAACGGCACATCGTGTTCCTGGCCAACACGCTGGTCCCCACGGTGTGCATGTCGCTGTCGGACTGCGCCTTCGCGGCCGTGCTGGCGGCGTGCGTGTTCCTGGCGGAGGACGTGGCCGAGGACGCCGAGAGGGAGATGGCCGGCCTGTCCGGCGCCACCACACTGGCGGACCTCGACAAGGCGCGGGCCGTGCGCGCCCTGCGCACGCGGCAGCAGCGCCTGCACGACGTGGTGCTGGCCTGCAACCAGGCGCACGGCGCCTCCAACCTCTGCTGGCTGTCGCTCGTCGTGCTCGAGAGCTGCGTCTTCCTGTTCTTCGGCATGGCGTACATCCGGGACAAGCTCAGCGGGCACAAGGGCAGGGACGGCAGCGGTGGCGCCATCGGCCTACTGTGGGGCTGCGCCCTCATAATCAGGTTCATCGCCAACTGCATCCTCGGCCAGCGGCTGTGCCATAACGTGCGTCAAGTATGCAGCACACGGATAAATTCCTTCACAAACAAAATACAACGTTCTTTGTTGGGTATTAAGTGAGTAGAGGAAGCAGAATCCGTGACCACTCATCACGCCACAACCTCTTTTTTCTAAAATAAGCTTTTAAATAAACCGGGACTCTGACGTGGGTCCAAAATGGACGTGTTAATTGTTCGCACTGCGAGAAGATCCTTTCCTGATTTGCAAAATGTATCACTTCTAGTCTTAAAAACTTGAACTCTAGAAACTGGAGTGTGGAGTGGAATCACCCTCATTTCTCTTGGCAGCTCTCTGCTTACCCAGATCACTGACACTTGTTTTCTCTGAGGTTAATTCGTTTTGGATAACCTTGATTTGTTCAGTGATGTTGGCAGTCTCTTTGTAAACGAAAGGTTTCTTTCTGTCTGCTTTGTTCAAGATTGCATTCTATCTGACATCACTGATATTTCTAATGTGATTAGTTTTATACAATTAGCAGCGATAAAAAGGCTCATGCGATTCCTTCAAATAATCGCATTCATGGCAACAATAAAAAAATTGACGCGTTAATAATACAATAATTCTCTTAGGTTTCGGCTGGTCTGAGCCCAGTTTTTCACAGTCTCGGTGTGATAAAAGGATAACTGCACTAGAAAAATGATAAATACTCTGATGCAATACAATATTTTTTGCTCTTATGATGCAATAACTTTTTTATGGCGCTAATAATGCAAGAAACATGTTATAGCTTTTGAAATGAGTTCATTATCACACCTAGAAAACCAGTGCTTAAACGAAACAAAAATGATGACCTCTTCCACTGTGCTTGGCATGGAACTCTTTCTGTGTGTACACTGCAACGTGTTTTTGAGTTAAAGTTCGGATCTTACTTTTCAGCATGGGAGGATTTCGGAGGTGCTCCAAGGTTTGCTTGCTGTCAACCCATGCATTTCTAATGACACTATCAAAGAAGTAAGCTATGGCACTAACGTGAAAAATATTGAAATTGCACGCGATTGACTAATTGAAGTGTCTGTCATGGGCGCAGGTTCGAGGTTTCTTTCATCAGGTTCTCGTTCAGGACAATCGCTGTGGAGTATTTGACCTACTGTACTTCGATTTAAAGACCATGACCGCGGTAAGTAGTATTGTTTCGATCAGCTGTGGGGACTTGCTTCGAGCCATTAAAAAGCTTCCTGCGTTCGAAGTGACGGTTAAACCATAAAGCATTCCCTGGGATTCCCAGGAAAATCTCCTGGGGTTCTCAGAAATATCGGTCAAGTCGCAGAAACATGTCACTGAAAATTGAATGGTCCTACACCTTGCCAAATTAAGACACGACAAAAAGTCGCGCCAAAAGTGGGCGAGACAAGAAAATCACACAAGAAAGACGGCATGAGAGGTGCTCTACAAATCAAAGAGTGTACATGGTACGCTCTAACTGGAGCATGCCTGCGAGCACGCTCTAACTAGCGCATGCCTGCCAGGCATGCACTAACTAGTGCATACATGCCATGTACACGCTAACTGAAGCATACATTTACTGCATAAGGGATAGGGAGTTTTCTGCATCAGGAAGCGTGTACATGGCATGTATGCTCTAGTTAGTGCATGCTTGGCAGGCATGCGCTAGCTAGAGCGTGCTTGCAGGCATGCTCCAGTTAGAGCATACTATGTACACTCTTTGATTTGTAGAGTGAGTAACGGTGATATCTGGCGTGATTGTAACATGTGGATTGGTGGATTAGGCACTATCAAGTCTTCCTTAAAGCAATGTAACTTCAGTACACGACTGGCCTTCTTTTCCCCAAATCGAATTGTTTGCGGGCATTGTCGAGTCAGCGATGTAATGTAACCTGTAAATGAGAGGCTGAAATCCCTCAAATTTCATATAATGACACGGGTGTCTCGTCCCAGGTGATTGGCTCCTTCACGACGTTCCTGGTCATCTTGTTCCAGTTCGAGAGTGACGTCAGCACGCCGCAGGCTAAGGCAACCCGCCATCTTGTAACTGACTACACTCAGTTCCTGGCCCTTTGGAGACCGAATAGAACCTTTTGGCTGGAGGAAATAAGCTTGAGATAGAGCGGGGAAGAACCGAACACCTCAGGGTTGGGAAAAAAATAGCATGGCCCATCTTCACTTTATTTTGAATCATCCTGATACTGTAGGCAATCGTGCTGGGTACCAATATATACACTTTTATTCCATGAACGTGACGTCACGATGTGCATATCCATTAGAATGTGAAGGTGTGTCTTCAGTACCGTCAACGGGGGTAACTTGGGACACTTTTTCACGTTTTTTGAACGCCAGAGGCAAGACTCTCAACCCAGACCATTGGATCCTAACTATGTTAAAGTTTGACCCTTTCCCCATGATTTCATGCTTGTCTGGTTCATTTGCCTCGATTACATCGTTTCCAAGCGGTCTCGAAAGAGTGTCCCAAGTTACCCCATGACCGGGGGTAACTTGGGACAGTAGGTAATTACCTACGTTCCCATACATCTTTTGATGTTAATGGATGTAATAAATTTAAGTCACAACATGTAGACCGAGAATTCAGGCCTAGGAACTCTTGTAGGACCGATATTGGACTATATCTAGGGCTCTGCGTGGAACTCTCTTTACTACTGGTATTTTCCAGGCATTTTCTGAAAATTTCAAAATATGGATTACCAGAAGACAAAACTGCAGAGGAGGGCATCTCTTTCCATCATCAGCGTAAAATCCGAAGTTTATGTTATGTCAGGGACCGGGTCAGTCAACTCCTTGGAGGCTTGGACTGCTGGAAACATGAGGAAAAGACTGTCCCAAGTTACCCCGTAAAATTTCGATTTTTGATAAAATGAAGTCTGGACCGAAGATGGGAAAACTATAATCAACGCCCTTTTGCGAGCGTTATTGTCTGTGTATGATCTAACAACCCAGAGAGACTAATTGGCCAAATCTGCATTTCACTCCTTGCACTAGGGTCAACTTGTCAATGTTTGACATATTTTGTCAAAAACCCTATTTCGTAGTTCCCCGTTTCTCATATACAAATTGTAATGTTATGCACCTTTTCTACCCTTCCGCGCGTGCCCTGAGGCCTCTGAAACAAAACGCTGCCGCGGGTTTGACGCTAGGAACCCCCGTCGCTGAATGGCAGCACCAACAACCTGTACAGGGCAGACTGTCCCAAGTTACCCCCGGTGTCCCAAGTTACCCCCGTTGACGGTACTTCGTTAAACGCGCAACGAAAAATAAATGAAGCAGCAAAACTCAATTAATGACACAAAAAGCTGGATTTTCACAAGCAATAAAAATGTCCGTGTTCGTCGGCAGTGGAAGTGCAAACTAAAAAAAAAAAAACAAGATAATTGAATCAAATTTCCTAACTTGTTTCAAAAATTGACCTAAGATGCCTCAACATTGAATGAATCTTTTTACGCCAATTCAGAGCACCACATGCAGGCAAAGGAACGCACGCCTGTTTTCAGCGCGCTCTCTCGACGCAGACGCAGATCAGCTACAAACAGGCGTGTACGCGTGCTGAAGAAAAGACTAGCGCCCAAAGTCTGACACCAATTTGTGCACCATGGCCCATGTTTATGAGGATGCTGCCGTTAAATTGATCCAGGAAGCGGAAGAAGGGAATAACTTGACTTATACCCAAATTGAGTTTTTATTTTATTATTGCGCCTTAGAATGGTTTACATCATAACACCAAATTATTTGACTGAATTCCAAGCAGTTTAGGAGAAAATCCACTTGGAAAAAGGGTATAACTCAACTTAACCCCTTTTACAGTCTAAATTTCATTGGAAAATAGAGATAACTCAACCTTAGTCTACATGATTCCGTTTGACAAATTGGCGAAAGGATATAACTCAACTTGTGTTTTTATGAATAGAGATTCGGGGTACGGAAATATTTCCGGAAAAATTGGAAATATTTCGGATTTATTTCGGAAATATTTCTAAGGCCTCGGAAAAATTGGAAAAATTGGAAATATTGATTTTTATTGTTGTATTAGCGGTTTAACCCAATATCATGCATTATTTACGACACTTGCATAACTTCACTGAAAACGTAATGGTCGGACACATAGCCAAATTATGGCGTGACAAAAAGTCACGCCAAAAATTGGCGTGATACGAAATTCACGCCGAAAAACGGCGTGACATGTGAGTCACGCCCTCATTTGGCGTGATTGACAACGCGTTTTCTGAGGCAAGTCACGCCAAAAAGCGGCATGACAAGAAATTCACGCCAAAAATTGGCGTGAATTTTTGAGTCACGCCGATTTTTGGCGTGACTTTTGTGTCATGCCGTTTAATGGCCTGACACTTTATTCACGCCCCTGCAGCGGCACGAAGTCACGCCGGTAGATTTTCAGTGTTACGACTCATTTTCGGGCTAAATGAATGTCAGTGTTGTGTATCTTGACTCATCTAACGTCTGTAAGTACATAAACGTAGGAAGAACATTTAGAAATGCACGGATCATGTTTTTCCAATGGTCATCTTTTCAAATTTAAATGAAAATGGCGCGAATACTACTCAGAGTCGTCTGAAGTCGAGTACGAGAGGGCGCAGCGCGGGGTGCGGGGAGGTGAAGGAGGAGGGAGGAGTGTGTGTGTGGTGTAGCGGGAGCGAGGCGAGACAAAGCAAGCCAAGATTTGAGGAAGAATCCTTCCGTTTATGAGTTCATGACTTCAGCTGAGGAACAATGTAAGTGAAATTTGTTATTTGTGTCTTTCAACCTTTCGTGTCTTACACGCCGCTATGTTAAGCTTTTATTTTCACAATGCAATCTATATCCCAGCATGCCTTCGTTTTTGAGGTTATGTTTTCGTTATGTTTCTTATTAACCGGTGGGTTTTGTTTCAGATGGGGAAAGATAAGGACCCGGCATGGAAGCTGGTGGATTTGGTTCCCCTTCCGAATCAAGATGGAAATGGGCAAGTGAAGAAAGCTGTGTACTGCAAGTACTGTCCTTGGAAGATGACTGTACCAAATATTTCAAGAGTCAAGACACACTTACTTAAGTGTGAACAATGCCCTGCGGTTATCAAAACGTCTCTGAAGGGATATGCAACCAATGCCGATCCATCCAATGGAAATGACATTGACGACGATCTACGAGTTTTATCACCATCTTCTTCCAATTCTTCAAGACCTCTTTCTGCATCCAGCAGTGGCAGTGCCAACACTGAGGTTGGTTATTTGTAATTTAGAGTTAGCTGTCCTGAAAACTTAGCTTTACTGCAGACTGCAACGATTCGTAGACACCAGTGACTAACACTGACTCTATTTTTATTTTTATTAGGGTCTTCAGTTTTCTTCACCGCCCAACCCAACTACATCGGCTTCAGCATCGAGAAGTCTTCTCAGCAGCCCCAATGGAGCTGGTTCTTCGAAGAAGTCTGTGCTTCATTATATGGATAGTATGACCAAAGCAGAACAAGAGAAATGTAGTGCTAAACTTTGCCAGAGCTGTTTATGCAACAAATTGCCCATTTGTAATGCTAGAGCACCCACTTTGGAAAGACGCGTTGCAGGAGTTACGCCCTGCTTTCAATCCCCCTAAAAAAGATGTAGTGGGAGGGAGGCTTCTTAATGCTGAGTATGATACGGTTATGGTAGGTGCTGCAGAGAAAATTAAGAGTGCTACGCATTTGGGTATTGCTTGTGATGGATACAAAAACAATAATGGAGATGGTTTGTTAAATTTTGTTGTTTTGACACCTGAGTCTGTATTTTATAAGACATTAGAATTAAAAGACAAACGAGAGGACAGCGAATTTGTTGCTGGTGAATTGGATAAGCTGATTATAGAACTAGACCCTCAGAAAGTTGTAATTATTATCACTGACAATGTTGCTTATAATGTTGTAGCATGGGAAATAATCAAAGCAAAATACCCTCACATTGAAACTGTTGGATGCTCTGCTCATTGTTTAAATTTACTCATGAATGATATTGGTAAACTGCGTAGCTTAGTAAAGCTTGAAACAATGGCAAAAGTTCTGTGTAAGGGAATAAGAGGTAGTAGGAGGGCTTTAGCTTTTTTCAAACAAGAGCAGAAACGGCTTTATCAAAGACCACACTCCATCAAATTGCCCAGTGCAACAAGATTCTGGGGTATTGTGATAATGTTCGAATCTATTTTAGAAAATAAGAGTGCATTGCAATCCACTGTTCTAGAAGCTACAACTGACCCTCACCCAAAGGACCCAGAGGAAAAGAAGAAGTTTTATCTTCGTAGAAAAGTTAAGAATATAGCTTTAGACGATGAATATTTCTTTACTAGGCTGGCTGAATGGATAAATGCATTGAAACCCATTGCTCATGCTATAGAAGCTAGTGAGTCTGATTCTGCTTTACTTTCTGATGTGCCAAAGTATTTTTGTGATATTTATGAGAAATCTCTTGGTGCAATGGAATCATCAGGGTTAAAGAAACTTGTTCCTGCTGTTAAGAAACTCATTAATAATAGGAAATCATTTGCATGCAAAGCTGTGCATTATGCAGCTTGCTTGGTCGACCCAAGATATAAAGGGGCTTTTCTAACTCCAGCAGAAAAAATAGAAGGCTCTGAATACATTGCAAATCTGTGTGACACCTTGAATTATTCTCAAAAAGAGAAAGAAGAAGTTTTGGGCAATCTCACTGAATTCAGAGGCAATGCAGGTATTTGGGCAATGAATTCAGTTGCTAACTCATACCATGGTGTGCATCCAGCTCTATGGTGGAAGACCACGTGCGATGACCAGCCCCTCACACCTATAGCGGTGCGGCTGCTGACCATGCCGTCAGCCAGCGCTTCTGTAGAGAGGAATTGGTCGTGCTATGGGCGAACGCACACCAAAGTTAGAAACCGTCTTCAAAATGTCAAAACTGGGAAGTTGGTTGCCATCCAAATGAATCTAAAATATTCTCTCCCACGGCATCTACTGAAGAAGTCCCCAAAGAAACGCCCACGCTCTAGCTCCTGCCCACCAGCCCCCACTTCTGGAGGTGAAGGAGAAGGAAACGAAGCAGGGCTCGAAGTCAGTGATGAGGAAGAGGATTTCTTTGACTACCAGACCGACGAGGACTCCTCTGGTTCAGAGTGGGAAGACTGTTCAGATGAAGATGGTGAAGATGAAAACGACGAGGACGATTTGATTAGCTTTCCGGACGTGGACGGGCCAGGCCAAGAGGGGCAAGAAGACCAACCCCTACAGGAAGAAGTCAGGGTGCCTGTGCCTGCCGCCAACACCGGCAACACCAGAAAGAGATCTGCTACCGCTGCTACGCCCTCAGAACAACCACCTAGGAAAAGCTCCAGGGTGACCAGGTCCTCCAAAAACTAAAACTTTGTAATTCCAGACTGTCTGTAACTCGAAAATCTGTATAATTCAAGAATAAACTTTAATTTCTTTGTTCCAGATTTGTTTTTCTTAATTCCAGTAGAAACGCACTCAAGATTCCAACTAAAAACGCCTGAACTTAAAAGAAAAGTCAATATTTCCAATGTTTCCCTATTTTTCCGAAATATTTCGGAAATATTTCGGAAATATTTCCACCATTTTATTTTTCCGGAAAAATAGAAACTCTATTTATGAATCTAGTGTAAAAAGAATCAACTCAACTTAACACTGCGAGAAAAGATCACGGTAAATCCTGTACTGATTACTCCAGACTTCACCGTACTTTTTTAAACAGGCAATGCCGTCGTTTTTTTACAGGCAATACCGTACTTTTTTTACAGGAAACGCCGTACTTTTTTACAGGGAATCCCGTACATTTTCCCCCGGCAATCCCGTACTTTTAATACCTATCAAAAACTGCTATAATTTTGTTCAGTCGATTGACCCTCTTTTTCCAAGTTCCTGATGTACGCAACTGCTGAAGTCGGACTCCTGGACCCCTCTTCCGACCACTCGTTGGAAAGGTCTTGACGAGACCTATTGAAAGGTGCAATAAAATTTTTCAGTCGGTCGACCCCCTTTTTTCAAGATCCTGATGTGGGCACTTCTTGGAAGCGGCCTTTGATGGGACCAGATCTGGTCTTTCCTACGGCATGAACTGTACGGAAGAACGGTAACTACTGTTAAAAGACTACGGAATATTTTGTAAAACAAGTACGGTAAATACTGTAGACTGTACGGAGGATACTGGTTTTTGAAGTACGGTAAAGTTTGGCAAAAAAATTATCCAGGATTTACCGTCATTTTTTCTCAGAGTGAACCCCCCCTAAATTTTAAATTTCAATTTGGAAAAAAGAGCTAAGTCCAAAAAATACACCAGAGTAACATACACTTTATGCAGACTATTGTTCCACTTGACTTGTCTCCAAATTCCTCTTTGTTTAGGAAATATAAGGTGAGCTGACTCTGTTTTCCATTTCAACGGAAAGTGATAAGTCGCAGAAATCCTCTACGGAGTGACCTTACACTTTTGATTTTTTTTCCAAAATTTTACTAATGCTTTTTGAAATTATTAACATGTGCAACATTCATTTGTTTTGTTTTAGTTTTCCCTGCTAACAGTTTTTTGTTTCTCCTGAAAAATGGCCAAAATTGAGTTATCCCCTTCTTCCGCTTCCTGGATCAATTATAATTGCTCTTTTCACCTAGATTCCATTGAGGTAAGAAGTTTGAGGCCTGTAAGGAAAAACGCAGTCCTTCTTAAATATACCTTGTTATCATTTATTTCAGGTCTTCACTTTAACACGACGCAAGTCTCCAACGACATTGGCGCAGACAACCAATTCACGCTTTTCGTTCCATATTTGGAATTTAAAATCCCAAATCCAATTTTCCACGGAAATAGTTTGCAGAACAGCGCTTATCTGATCGAAGTTGAAAGTAGTGTTCCTTAGTGAGTACTCATACTGAAACAAAGTACGTGGCTGAGTTTGGATCCCTGCGGTTCGTCGCACTCAGATGAGTGAGCAATTCACCAGCAGTCACGTTCGTCCACGCAGTGCGGCGTTGCTGTGCTGATCAACAATCTCATACCAGGAACGCGACACCTTCAAACGAAAAAATTCCAATGCTAATCACTGCACGGTGTTCCCATTATGATAATTTGAAATGGAATAGGATATTATAAGAATTCGAAAAGCCAAGTATTTATTGAACTGTGCCAACTGTTCAATAATTATACAAAATTCAAAAATTTCAAACTGCGCATGCGCTAAACTCCGACTTACCAACAGAAAAGACTTCAGGTCAAACCTGCTTCAGTTAACTACCATGACCACCTCGCTCCATCTCGCGACTTTTAGTGCTCATGTCCGTCAAACGAAGGTCGCCCGCGGTTTGAAACCATCCCTTCCGAGTTTCTAAAGTTCGTGAAATCAATCGTCGCGCTGAATCAGAACTGTTCTACAGAATTGAGGAAAACATGACAAGAGAACTCTGTAAAGCCCTCAAAAGCACACTCTAAATGTCTTATAATACAAGGTAGGTTTACGCCAGACCGCATCTTGTCGTAACAGGCTTCGCGATATCTCGCTGCCTGTTCCTCCAATCCGCGGCTGGCGTACCTACCTTGGCCTGCGGCGCTAGCCTGCCTTCGGCAGGCAATGCTTGTCCACCGTCAGTTACTTCTAATTTCTTGCATACTGGGGGGCTCCGCCCCCCAAACCCCCCTTTATTCTAGATAGAGTTGCTTCATCTACAAATTACACGATCTTGACCCTTGTAACTTTTTAACTTGTCGGGGCTGGGGTCACCGCCCCCCAGACCCCCCTTCCATCAAGGCAGGCGAGATCTGCTTGCAGAAAACTCGATTTTTCGCCGTTTTTAGGGTGTTTTTCGGCTATAAAAACTGAACCAGTTGAGCTAGGATAATGAAATTTCGCGTGTGCCGAGCCAAGAACATATCTAATGAGCCTGCAAAATCTCAGCAAGATCGGCCGAGCCGTTCAGGAGGAGTAGTGCGCACAGACACACACACACACACGCAGACAGACAAAACTTTTCAACCCCGCTGGAGTAACGGGCTTCGCTATCGCTCAGCCAAAAATTTGACCTTTGTTATTCGTATTTTACAGTGAATTCGGCGCAAGCATAGTACGAAGCAATATTCCTTCGTAATATGAATCTTTTCAGCTTTTTCATTGTAATATACAAAGAAAAACCTTCGTAATACGAAGGAAAACCGTCTTCGTATCATGCTTGCGCCATTTCCTTCGTAAGACATTTTGAGTGCAAGCCAGACAATAGAGCCCTTCCAATGGCGTACCGTTATGTCTGAGCCGAGTCACTGCCGGATAAAAGAACGTTCTCCGCTCGCTGAGGGCCGAGCTGACGGTACGAAATCGCTCAAATCTCGGGAATGCTAAGTCTTTAGGACTAAACAAAACCTGTTCTGGCATCACCTGATTTTGTACTTTCATACTGAGGACACGAAAGGTACCTAGGAATAGTTTTTTTAAATTAAGTCTGCAAGCGAAAAGCCGCGGCAGTTCAAACAAGGGTACGCGTAGCACCATGATTTAACTCTTAACACTGTGGCAAAAACCTACGGAAAATTCTGTAAGCAGCTTGTGGGAATTCTCCGTTGCCCCCTTATCAATATTCTCCGTAGGCTCTTACAGTATTTTCCGTAGGACCGCACAGTATTATCCGTAGGACCTTACAGTGATCTCCGTAGGACTATACAGTCTTCCAGGTCCTACGGAGAAGACTGTGTGGACTTACAGCGAATACTGTACGGCCCTACGGAGAATTCTGTGAGAGCCTACGGAGAATATTGATAAGAGGCCTACGGAGAATCCTGGAAAAAAAATTAACAGAATTTTCCGTACCTTTTTGCCACAGTGAAATTCACCCGCGGGAGCGAATTCTGTGAATGATATTGCGATAAAATGTTTCGGATATCTTAAGGAACAAACTGGTAACAGTAATCTGGTGGAAAACGCTGACAATACTAAAATATCGCTAGTTTCAAGCGTCTGGCAGGCGTCGTCTTCTGCTGGCCCTCAGCGAGCAGGATTTGCCATACTTCGTGCCGCCATATTTCGCATACAGCGAGGGGCAGGCGATTTTTGAAAGGGCGCAGACGCCGAGATAACTGATGCCAACCCACGAAAATTAATTTACTGCGTCCTTTCTGCTACGAACTTTTTACTAATGACAGACTTCAAACATGTTGCAATGTCGGGACACCGTGCAATGCGTTAGCCGGCTTTAGCATTGGCATTTAAGATTTAGCCGGCCTTTTGATTTATTTTCATCGGCGAGTTTTAATTTCACTGAAAATCTCACTGGTGTTCAAAAAAATGAGATCCCTGTATAATAGAAAGTTTACGTAATTTCAATTTCAAATTTGGTGAGTGTCTTGTTTGCAAGATTTGGCTAGGCCAGTTTTTATCTCAATGAGATCGGATCACATTTACTGTCTTTTTGAGAGTTGATGGCGAGCGAGCTCAATTTGGACTGCAGATTTGGATCGGACTCGGTTTCGATCCCCTGAAGACGTTTTTCCCGTTTCCGAGTCTCATGTAGATCAAAATATATATATCTAGAAAAGAAAATGATTGTTCTGATATATTTCTTTATGAGTCCAGCCAATGTTATCAGAACTAAAGTCATCAGAAAATTGAGGCATCAGAAACACAAACATCAGAAATAGGTGTCCGAAAAAACATCAGAACTCAGACATGAGATATGTTCTGATATGCAAAAGTATCAGAAAATTTCTGAGTTGATTTACACCAGTGATCGGCGTGACTTCGTGCCGCTGCAGGGGCGTGAATAAAGTGTCACGCCAATAATCGGCATGACAGAGAAGTCACGCCGAAAATCGGCGTGACTCAAAAATTCACGCCAATTTTTGGTGTGAATTTCTTGTCATGCCGCTTTTTGGCATGACTTTTCTCATAGAACGCGTTGTCATTCACGCTAAATAAGGGCGTGACTCACATGTCATGCCGGTTATCGGCGTGACTTTCGTGTCACGCCAATTTTTGGCGTGACTTTTTGTCACGCCACAATTTGGCCATGTGTCCGACCATACGTTTTCAGTGTTTGACGGGTGGCACGATGGGACCGTGCCGTTGCCATGTAAATTTGTTTTTTTTTTTTCATGTTTTATCTATTTGCTTAGAACTTAGACGACTTCTTGTTTATTTGAGGAGCCAGGAGGTTAAGTTTTGAGAAATAGCACATTTTTTACTTAAACTTATTTTTTGATTGCATCAACACCGCTAATCCAAGTGTGGACCAAGTCCACGCTAGGTAGCGTGGACCACGGTGGTCCACGCTAGGAAACGTGGACCACGAATGGTCCACGCTAGGAAGCGTGGACCACGGATGGTCCACACTTGGAAGTGTGATTGGCCTGGCCTATGAGAAGTTCAACGCTGTGAAGCGTAGACCACAGCTCGGTTCACGTTTCCTAGCGTGGACCAGGGCTTGGTCCACGCTTCATAGCGTGGACCATTCGTGGTCCACGTTTCCTAGCGTGGACCACCGTAGTCCACGCTACTTGGTCCACACTTGGATTAGCAGTGAACGGATCACATTTCCGATTGTGGCAAATCTATGTTTTTGTAATTTACAGACAATTTCTAGGATAAATTTTCAAAAAAAGTAGAAATTTTGATGTTAATAGTGGAAGTAGTTTGGCGCTGTTTAGTTTGGAATCGAGGGGGGGGGGGGAGCCCTAGACCGAAAACAATACGGGTTCTTGAGAGCCCCTAAAAATCCCGTGCATTCCTTTGAGCATTTGTGAAACATTAGTTTCCAATATCATTCGTGAATCAGCCGTAAATTAGATCATTCACGCATACAAAGCAACGTGACATTTTGTTACATTCGTTTCAACGTGGTGTCACGTTCCTGGAATGAGAGTGTTGGCAGTGAAGGTGTAGCCCGCGATCGACTTACCTGGTCCATGGGACACTGGAACGTGGGGCTGATGGAGTCGACGATAGGTGTCCACGGCACACCCCTTGTGGCGATAATAGCGCAGCAGCCCCTCTCCCAGTTCCAGTTTGAGAAATATTCGCAATTCCCTGCAGACACGCCACCTCGACATCGGTGCATCGTTATCGCGAACTTGCATCATAAGTAGCAGTAAAAACCAAGTCATGATCGTGCTAAAAATCAAGTTCCAGAAAATAGCTTGTCACTCCACTGAAATTCTATCGCTCGTGATCGAGATGAGACCCTCAGGTTACTTGGATGCACACACGCTTCCGGAACTATTTGCACGACAAAAGAAAGGATTTTCAGACATTTTCTTTCGTTTTTCAGTGTTTTGTGTCTACAAACTGAAGTGTGTACTCAGTATGCATCTACAGATGCATACTTGCAAGTACACATCTACAGATGCATACTCAGCTGAGTACACATCTACAGATGCATACTCAGCTGAGTACACATCTACAGATGCATACTTGGCTGAGTACACACCTACAGATGCATACCTAACCTCTCCAAGTATGCATCTACAGATGTGTACTCAGCTGAGTATGCATCTGTAGATGTGTACTTAGCTGAGTATGCATCTGTAGATGTGTACGCAGCTAAGTATGCATCTGTAGGAGTGTATTTGCAAGTATGCATCTGTAGATGCATATTGAGTACACACTTCAGGTTGTAGAGTATACTTTCAGAATTTGAGATGAAATTTGAAAAGAATTACGAATGATTCCCATGATTTCCGAAGATAATTTCGTCGTATTTCGTCGCGGAGCTCAGTTTACACTCCAAACCTAACTGTCTACTAAGTACACACTTACAAATGCATGCTTGGCGTCGTACAACTCCATGCTAAGCATAGGCGTTTGTAAGTGTGTAAGGGAGGGTGGGGCACCATGTGACACTTTTTGGATTTTGGCACTCACTCCGATACTGTGCGAGAAATGAATCTGCTTACACTTCAGAAGGTTGCTTTGATCCTTCCTTGATCGCAAACACACGTTGTTGCGTTTTGGCAACACCTATTTCTATTATATACATAGCTTCCCGCAGACCTCTGCACTTGTCACTTGGTGCCCCAGCCCGGGGCACCTAGTGACAGGTCATATAACTTACATAACCAGCATAGAGCGACGCTCCAGATAATTGAAACTTATTCGTTTTAGGCTCTTTAAGCTTTTTTTATGTCAAACCATTCTGAACAGCGCCATTTTTTTTTCAAGAAACTGCATTTTACTTTATTGCCAATCAAAGTCAATGTTCTACGAAATTTTCGTACAAATTAGTCTCATTTATGCTTCGTTGTGTGACAATCGGTGACAATTTACTTCGCGGTTGTCAAATCAATGTTTTGAAACGTTTAAATCGTTGAAATACGGTAAATAGAGTGTGTCTGTCACTACCTGCCCCGGGGGCTCTTTTTCGTTTAAAATTTGATATCAAGGACATGAATTCATATGTTTGAGCTGGTTCAGCGGAAACAACTTACTATAGGTCCTTATTGTTGATCAAAAGTGCCAGAACGACCGGCAGTGCCGTTAACTGGAAGAATGGCGAGTAAACATATTGTGAAAAAGTCATAAAATCTGTGATTTTTGGCAACTATTTTCTTGGTTTTATTCTAGGTGCTAAAATATTTTGTTCAGGATCTCACTGTCACTTGAACATGATTCCACATCACAAGTTCTTTAGATAAGCCACCTCAAGATGTCTGAAAGTGCCATAGGGTGGCCAGGGCACCCCTGTGTCACTAGGTGCCCCTGTCACTAGGTGCTCCACCCTCCCTTACTCGCCAAGCATGCATTTGTAAGTGTGTACTTGGCCAAGCATGCCGTTTATAAGTGTGTACTTGCAAGCATGCATTTGTAAGTGTGTACTTAGTAGGCAGTTGTAGTGTACGTCTTACCTTAGTGACAGTAATGATCTTCCTGTGAATCTTTCCGTCGACATTAAGACGCTCCATTCCGTTTTCATCCAACCCAATGGAATAGTTGTAAATCTCTGTGAAGTGATTCAAGTGTGCTGGACATGGCCAAATACCGTGGATCTTTGGAACGAGCCGCACTCGCGGAAGACTCAGCACCTGGACATTCGTAGGATTCAACGAAAACGATGACATTCTTGAAGATTAAATATAATATCATCATGATGCATATTTAAAGGAGTAAGTAAGGAGTAAGGAGTAAGTTAAACCATTTCGCCGTTTACGCTAAGTGTCAAAGTGAACTGCAAACATGAAAACACTGCCAATCCAAGTGTGAGACAGTCTCACACTAATAAGTGCGAACCACGACGTCTCACACTTGCAAGTGTGAGCCACGTTTGTCCCACGCTTGGAAGTGTGAGACATCATTTGTCTCACACTTAGAAGTGTGAGACACGGTTTGTCCCACACTTGCTGCCTATGGTTCGCTGGGGTTTAATGCCACAGGACCCAAGCTCGTAAGTGTGAGACAAACCGGGTCTCACGCTTGCACACTTACAAGCGTTGGACACACGTGGCTCACACTTGTAAGCGTGAGACATCGTGGTCCGCACTAATTAGTGTGAGACTGTCTCACACTTGGATTGGCAGTGAAGAATATAAAATCCGGCACCTATCAAAATCTCAGAGCTACGTCACAGAGCTGCAAAAGTTGCAACGGAACGCCAATCAACATATCAAAAACGATTTCTTACCTACAGTCCTCAAAACAATACGTACCAATGTGTCTATCGCGCCATGAAGTAAAAATGGCACGGACATGGTTGCGTTTATTTGTTTGTTTTAAGAAAATGACATTGAATATATGCAACCTGACCGAAAGAGGCCCTTCCCGGCGAAAATGACGTACCTCTCTTATTGAGATTAGCGTTGCGAGAACGACAATCATGCACCCCATCTTGTGGCTCCCTTCAATGACAACAGCTCTCTTTGTTTTGCTGCACACATGGCGCGTCCTAGTTGAGCACAGCATGCGCGGGATCTTCAACGTAGATGCGCACGAGTCCGACTTCAAACAGATTCTGGCGAATATGCCGTGCATCTCCGACACAATGGGTGCTCCGGCGTAGCCAGTGAGCAGAAAAACAACAAAAACGGGAGTCAGAAATAGCCAGCAATCCATCTAGCCGATCGTGAGTCCGTTGCAATTATCATGGATCACGAGATGGAGGGAGTGGGGAACGCTACGGGACAGAAGATGAGTTCACATTGCACTTTCATGAAATAGGCATAAACACACATTACGTTTGAGGGGTGCGCTACACACTGAAAACTTGAGTCGTCGCTTGACAATTTCAAGGCTAATATTCCCGACAAGGATGTCATCAAAACAATGGATTACATTGCTGTCACACCAATGCAATAAGTATAGAAGCTTTGATAAAAATGTCGTTAATTTGTGGAGATTGTCATCTTTTGAGAGTGATGAAAATATTATCCACTATTTTGTCATAAAGTGACAACAAATTTTCACAGTTCACTCGTAAAACAAAGGCATGAAAACTACACCCTTCAGGGCATTAACATTCTTTTACGCTTTTAAGGGCGTAAATCGTTTAATTTCCTTGGCGAGGGTGCGTGAAAGGTATAGGACTTTGATGCAAAATTTTAATGCCTTTTTACGCCGTTCCAGGAGGGGCGTAAGTCATTTACGTCCAGAAAGAGCATAATTTTAATGCCTTTGGTTCACCAGTGTTTTTCAGTGGAACGATTTTGATGTATTGCTGTGCTGAAATCCCGCCCCCACACTACGAACGCCTCACCAAGAAACTTTCCACAGCATTAAGTTTTCCTTCGTTTGAAGGAGTTTGTTTTTTAATGTTACACTGTAAAAAAAGTATTACTGAAATTTCATAATTTTAGTCTGAAGTTTTTAAACAGACTAGTGGTCTGAAAATTCAGAGTAATTATTCAGACCATTCTGTCTGAATTCCAAATTCAGACTACTTGTCTGAAAAACATTTTCAGACTGCTACTCTGAAATATTAAATAAAAGTGCCATCAATAAATCAAAGAGAGAGAAATCAACAAGAGAACAATTTGAACCACCGACGTGTGACGGTACCTTCTTTCCACTTTACACTTGTTCGCTTAGGCCCGGGTTCGAACCGGGACTTTTTGGTTACGAGACGAGCTCGGTACCACTGCGCTACGGGCGCTGCCTGGCGGCGGGGGAAGCCGTGCCGCGTGACTCTCTTCAGAAGATACCAGCTCCTTTCGGCAAGTCCAGAATGCAAGTTCGGACAACTCTTACGGTTAATCTACCGTACACAGACGAATCAGCGTGAAGCGCGGGTGTACATTATTATTTCCGATAAATTTATACAACGCCTTACGCCTAGACTTGATTAGTAGACAATCTGTCAAAATTTTCATACCAAAATTATGAAAACAGGTTTCAGGATGACAAGTCTGAAAACTTAATCAGAATTTTCAGACCTTCTGCTTAAAATTCAGACTAACCGGTGTGATCTCAAATTTCAGAGGTCCTAGTCTGAAAATTCAAAGCAACTTTCTGAATTACCGATTCAGACTGCAAAGTCTGAACAAATTGTACTGAAATTTCAGAATTTTTTTTACAGTGTACTTGAAAATTCAGATAACATTCGTATTATTGAGAAATGTCACGTAGTTTTAAGGTCGCGCCGAATTCGTGGTCTCGTTGTGAGATTTTAAGTGTGCATCCTGGTGGCCAACGACTGATGTCTGAACGCAGAAGATTGAAACCTTGAGCAGCTGTTGTTATAACAATTAAAATTAGGTGACTGTTTTGGAAGGCCACCCACTTTACCTCATATACAAAACATAGGTAGGTCTTAGGTTTGTAAGCCCACAGACAGCATACGGATCCGCTAACAGTGACGTCATTTTAATATCAATATGACAAATTTTAGTCTAAATGTCGACAAAAAAGCATCATTCTGACTACATTTGACTGCGAGTGTGTTAGTTTCTTAGGGAATTCGCGAATATTCGTCGCTTTTATTTTACGGAGAAATCTTCGTGAATTTCCGCAAGAACCTTCGTCGGCATTTTTATTCGGAGGAGCCTTTGTTGATTGGGAACATATTTCTTTGAGTGTGGGATCAGAACTGTTTCTACCGCGAACGCATCGATCGTGGCTCTGAAACCGCGGGCGGTGTGACGTAAGTTTCGCTCTGTGCTATCGCCTTGTCACGGTGCGTCTCGCGCGGTGAGATTCGCATCAAAGCTGTCTCGGCGATGGCACTGACAGTTTGCATCGCGTGCTGTGGGGTTGGGTGGATTGCTCTGGCTGGGTCGTCGACGTTCGACCAGCGTTTTTACGCGTCTACATTCGTGAGTTAGCTGTGTTTCGCAGCCTACACGGTAAGAAATGGTTTCTGGTTTTCCCAGGAACTTCCTGGAAATCGCGTGGTGATGGCCTGGGCCACGGTACGTTAGCAGGGTCGAAGGGACAGAGTAGGTGTCCTCTTGGCTCGGCGACACGCAGAATAAGTTGCCTGGTGCTTTGCGAAGGCGAACGGTCACCTATTTTCGCGGACGTTCCCGGAGCAGGTAGTCCCAAAATCGGCGTGCCCACCCTCATAAGTGCTCCAACAACAGATGAATGGCTTTGTCTCCGAGGCAAAGCCTCGCCGGTGTAGCAACATTCGCTGGACTAACACAGACCTTTCCGGGCTAAGCTTCTTGTACAATAACCCAATCTTTGCGCCGCCACACTGTAAGACCCAACCTATTTGCAGCGAAATGGCATTAAACTCGTTGTTGTTGATACTCCAGTAGACACCGAGTTCAATTCCGTTTCGCCACAAATGAGCTGGATCTTAAAGTGTGGCGGCGCAAAGATCCGAGTGTACTGAACAAGTTGCTTAGCCCGGAAAGGTCTATTCCCTCAACCCTGAGCCAGCGGCGACTCTTTGCTATGCAGGCCTTTTCTTGGTGCCATCATGAGTGTGGCAAACAGCCTCGGAACAACGAGCGAAACAAAAGACCGAACCCTTATAACGCACCGGAACAGCACTCCGACAATGAGACCCCCGGCGGGGTTCAGCTGTTTAACTTTTCCTTTGGTCGCCGCTGGCTCAGGGTTGAGGGAATGGACAGTACCATGTTCCGCCCACACTGAGAAAACCTTACAAACTATTTTGGGCCTTACAAAGAAATGTAGTTTGTATAACAAAGTATTTTGAGCATACGTAAGCTTACAAAGAAAATAATTCGTAATCCGCAAATCAGTGAATCGCGATATCTCGGAAATACAATGTCCTCGTATTTATGTACACTGTGAGAAAAAAGTACGGAACATGTCTGGTCAATAATTTGCCTGGACCGTCCGCACTTGCCAACTATACGGAACGTTCCGTACCTTTTGTCGAAAAGTTTTTGCTGAAAATTCAGACTATTTTGACTGAAGTAAATATGCAGAACATCCTACTGAAAATTCAGACTAAATCCTGGTCTCAAATTTTCAGACTTACATAAGTCTTAGCCTTTCAGGTAGGTCGTAGTCTGAAAAATTCAGACAAAATTTTCTCAAGTATTAGATTTTTTTGTCTGAAAGTGGCGGCAGGACAGAGTTCCCATAACTCGGTGATATAGTAATGTTTGCATCCGAACCTCAAAGGAGAGACGTACTCCAGGGGACCGTCCAGGTAAAATATTGAGTGCAGGGAAGTCCCCGACGTGGAACTCTTCCCTGCACTCACCTGGAGCTGGCCTGACGCACCCAAGGAAACGACGGCACGAAGCCACCCGCGAGAGGTAACTTCAAATGTCAATTGTTAAACTCACGCGTTTGCTACCGATATAAATTTGGTATGGGAGCGTGTGTTTCGTCATAGCCAATAGAGTAATAGCTATTTCGGGTTGGAAATATTAAAAATTTAACAGAAAAAGGCGTTTTTAACAACAGCAAGCTCTTTACCTAGAGATGCAAATTTTCCGGAAACTTTCAAAGGGTTGGAAAAAAACCGGAAAAGTTGGAAAAAAAACCAGAAAATTTGGAAAAAAAGGAAAAATAGGAAAAATTAGTTTTTAAGCACTATGAACATGAAACCTACCACTTTTGTGCTTTTTTACAACTTTACCTATACTGACAACCCGAGATTAACAACAGCAAGCTCAAAAAACGCACGAGAAGGAGTCATAACAGGGTATAAGTAGTTTGAGTGCACTGAGAATCGTGTTCACAGTAGGGTTAAAGGTATGCTTTTAGCCTACTTTCAGGCGAAATGCCCGACTTTTTGCCTACTTTTCAGGCTGAATCTTTCCAATTTTTCCGAGGCCAGGGAAAAAAACGGAAAAAAACACTGTTTTTTTCCAATGTTTCCGGAAACTTTCCGGGCATTTTCATCCCTATCTTTACCGACACTGGTGCCAACTAGCGGAGGAAAAAATACTTTCGTTCTGAATAGAATAAAGTGAATCCTCTTCAAACTTTGTAACAACCCCTCAATTTTCTGTGACGTTGTTTTGAATTTAGCCCCCCTCCTCAAACCACGTCCCTAAAATTAACCTATCAGACACAGGCTCCTTGAAGGTAGGCAACTTTTTAAACATTCGCCCCCCCCCCTTTCGACCCGCCTAATTACGCCCCTGTTTGACGTGAGAAAAGGCCTTTGAGAAAAGGCCACTTTTTCACGTCATGTGCAGCTAGGCTGTTTGTCAGGCAAGACTACTTCGCAAAGGGCTTGGTGGGCTTCGCAGGAGTCCGGAATCTAGGGTTCGTTTCGGAAGATAATCCTTTATTTTGGGTTGCAACGTGGGACACTTCACACTTTCCACCCCAAAAAACGCGGCCAGCTTTTCACCCTGAACATGTTTGTCCCATCAAGGCACAATGCTGTGCTGTGATGTTATCGTTCTTGATTTAACACTGAGAAAACCTTACAAACTATTTTGGGCCTTACAAAGAAAAGTAGTTTGTATAACAAAGTATTTTGAGCATACGTAAGCTTACAAAGAAAATACTTTGTAATTTACGAACTATTTCTTCGTATAACAAAGTATTTTAGTTTGTTATACGTATGCTCAAAATACTTCGTAAGGTTTTAAGGGTGTAGACATCAGAGTTTGGGTGAATTCTTCTCCTGATGCCATTCATGCCATAATTGCATGGGTGCAAAGGGTGCACCCTCACTAGCATCAAACAAGTGTAGTTTTTGTCTCAGTGGTTGGTAGCTGAGCAGGGCCTTCTCGTCCTGCGGGATGGGCCACTCCAGTCCCGCGCTGCCATCTTCGACTCCGGTGCCTGCAACAACGCAACCACGTCAGACACCACAGGCATTTGGCAGCGTTTGCTTTCGTGTTGGGAGCGAGCTGCAAGCAGCCCGGGAGAGCCTCTCCCAGCGACTCTCCCGCCCGGCAAACTCCATGCCCGCAAGACTCTGGGCGGCGATGCCCCGTGCCGCGCCGTGGCGCTACCCCGCGTGGGAGAGTGAGAGAGAGGAGTGTGAGGTGAGAGGCGCTTGCCGATACGCCGCATCACCGCACCCGAGTCTCGGCATCGTGCAAACAGCAGTCTGATTCCGAATCGTGACTTCACTGAGAAAGAAAGAGTCACCACCATCGCCCTTTCATTGGGTGACGCACGCATCGTCGCTCGTGACGAGCCAGCGGTGACCAAATTTTGGGCAGTCATAAAATCGTCGCCCAAATGTGGGTGATGTCGTCGGCGACGCCGTAAAGTCCCCAAAGACGTTCTTCCGGAGCCACCACGATGACCGCCATGTGAGGTTGAGGCCTCCAGTCATCGTGGTGGCCCCGGGAGGACGTCATCGGGGACCTCACTGCGTCGCCGACGACGTTACTCAAATTTGGCAACCTAACGCCTGTTACCAAATTTCGGGTGATGAATTTTTCGTCGCCCAAAATTGGGCAACGAAGGTGCATCACCCATTTAAAGGGTGATGGTGGTGACCCATTCATTCTCAGTGTTCTCGGGGCACTGTCTCTGACGGCCGACAGTCTGAATTGGTTCGAGAGACAGAAGCACCTTTCAGCCCACTCACCGGGCGAGTCCACCTGGCTAAAGTTCTCGTCCAGGACCACTCTGGCGTTGGACGTGTCAGGAAAGTGGACGTGCTGCCGGGTGCCGGGATGCCCGAGCTGCCCGAGCCCGGCGGCCTCCTGGAATACGGCGGCGGCGGCACCACCAGGCGCACAGCCGTGCCGCCGTTGGCGCTGAAGGGGGCGGCGTCCAGGCCGCCGTTGGCGTCACGCGCGTCCCCGGGCAGGCTGTGCATGTCGTGCACGTCGGGCTGCCTTCCAGCAGAGGCGATGTCAACATGTCCGAAAGTGTCATCCGTGGGAAAAGTGTCCAAAGGTGTCATCTATACTACTGAGGCTGCTGCTGTCTGCCACTTGCTGCGGTGTTTTGTCCTTCCACGGTTAAAGTGGTTTTGCTTCGCTCCTTTTCCCCTCCCCTGTTCGTCTCCTTCATTTGGGCCACTTGAAAACCTATAGTTGCCTGTTGTATTGTTCTCAATTCGTGAGGACAATCCTTATTCCACTCCTGAGAGATGGTTCACGACTTACGGCGGCCGGCGCATCCAGATTTGGCCCGGAAAACTAAGAGTGGTGCTTCAATTTTGTCCATCTGAGTCTTGTACTCACTCACAGAGTGAGTCAATCATTACGCGAGTGCATACCCCACTCTACAAACTGAAGTGTGTACTCAGTATGCATCTACAGATGCATACTTGCAAGTTCACACCTACAGATGCATACTTAGCTGAGTACACATCTACAGATGCATACTTGGCTGAGTACACTGTAAAAAAATATCGTGAATTTACGAAATATTTGTGAACGATATGCTTCAGATAAAAACGTTACTGTTGTGTCAATTTACAAAATTTATCGTAATTTTTGGCTGAGCGATAGCGAAGCCTGTTACTCCAGTGGGGTTGAAAAGTTTTTCTTGTTTGTCTGTCTGTCTGTGTGTCCGCACTACTCCTCCCGAACGGCTCGGCCGATCTCGGTGAGATTTTGCACACTTTTTGAGTATGTCCTTGGCTCGGCACACGCGAAATTTCACTATCCTATCTCAACTGGTTCAGTTTTTATAGCCGAAAAACACCTAAAAAACGGCGAAAAATCGAGTTTTCTGCAGGCAGATCACTCCTGTCTTGAAAAAAGGGGGGTCTGGGGGGCGGAGCCCCCCAGCCCCGTCAAGTTTAAAAGTTATAAGGGTCAAGATTAAGTTCTGTAGATGAAGCAACTCTATCTAGAATGAAGGGGGGGTCTGAGGGCGGAGCCCCCAAGCACGCATAGAGTAACCGACGATGACAAGCCATTGCCTGCCGAAGGCAGGCTAGCGCCGCAGGCCAAGGTAGGTACGCCAGGCGCGGATTGGAGGAACAGGCAGCGAGACATCGCGAAGCCTGTTACGACAAGACGCGGTCTGGCGTAAACCTACCTTGTATAAAATCACTGCACACTGTAAAAAATTCCGTACTTTTGTACGGAAATGGTACAGAAATATATAGTACGGAGGTGCGGAGAAAAGTACGGAACGTTCCGTACTTGCTCCATAAGAACCCATGTGTGTACGGAAAAAAGGTACGGAACGTTCCGTAGTTGGCAAGTACGGATAGGTCCAGGCAAATTATTGACCAGACATGTTCCGTACTTTTTCCGTACTTTTTTCTCACAGTGCAAAATGTATTGTAATCCTGGAAAATCACTTCGTGAAGAGAGAAAGATATTCCCAAATTGGCGGATTTACAGACAATATAACTACGAAATGTATTGTTTAGTGAGGCTTTAAGGAATATTGTCAAAAAAACAGCGAAAAAAGTTTGGGCAATTTTCTTTTGCGAAGTTGTCGTTTTTTTATGAAAACATTTCGTAAACTTTTTGAACTAAAACATTTGTTGTTACGAGAAAAAAAACATTTTTGAGAAGATTTTTTACAGCGCGCATGTTGAAGCTGAAAATCTTTACAATGTGCCTAAAACATTTCGAAAATTTACGACATATGTCGTATATAAACGACATTTATGAAAAATAACAAACAGTTCGTAAAAGAAAATTACTCAAAAAAATTTCGTTATTTTACGATAAATTTTTTAACAGTGCACACTAAATGTTTATGTAGAATTTTGTACGTGCCACTTGCACGATTTTGTGCATGCGGGGAATTTGCATAATATTATGCGTGAAAATGCATAAATTTATGCAAATTCACGCACAATTATATGCACGACGGCACACAAGTTTAAAATTATGCATCACCACGGACAAAATTTACATAAACATTTAGTGTGTGTACACACCTACACTGTCAGAAAATTCCGAAAAAAAATGGAAAAATCATGGAGTTTTTCCGAAACTTCTGCATGGAGCTCTCCATAAATGCAATTTCTGGGCTTTCTCCGAAAAATTTCGGAATTTTGAACAAAAATGCATGCTGCACTATCACAAAAACACGAAAAAAAGGTTTGCAACCAGTTAAAAATTGAGGGAAGGTGAACCCCTACTTCTTGGGCTCAGTTTTCATAATATTAAGGGAAAGCTACAGGATATAAGTCAAATGAGCTCGAATGAGATTGTCCCTTCTTTGACCATTTCAGACCAAAAAATGCTTCAGCGAAGTCCTCTTTAATAAATCTGAGAAAAGACTTGCATTTTACCTCCTATCTGGACCCAAGGAATGCTCCTAAGAACATCTGTATAAGCCCTGAGAAAATCTCTCCGGAAAAAAATGGAAAATGAATGGAGTCTCCATGAACGTGATTATAGGGTTTTTCTCCATAAAATTTCGGAACTAATTTCTAACAGTGTATACAGATCCATACCTAACCTCTTTTCAGTTTGTAGAGCAGCGGTGGCTGGATGAAACCGAGGGGGTATTGCACTCGGTTGGGTCACTCTGAAAGAGCGCCTCCCTGTAACTCCATTCAACGAGGGGTGAATCACTCGGCGTTCTGATGTACACATGAGTACATGAGTACGGGTGAGTACACCATATTTTACTCATAAATTTCATATTTGTAAACGTTTTAAGGCTTTATATAGCGTTTTAAACGGCTCTCAATACCAAATCGGTCGAAAAACTGGTGATTTTCGCCCCTTTTAAACTTGAGAGTACACTGAGTACGGACTAATTTGTACGCATGAGTACACTAGTGATTCATGAATTCCCCTCGCCATTCAACCACTCAGGAATCAGAAAGATTGACGCCAAGGGAATAAAAAAGAAGTTTGAGGTTAAACTATAACTTTTGTAAATCTATGTATATTGCACATGTTAACAGAGTTAAGAAACATGTTTATAATAGAGTCCTTTCCACATCATAAACAATGAATTCTAACAAATTGGTTTTTGCTCAAGATTGATTTGACCATGTTATGTCCCAACATAAATTAGAGAGGTGATTTCAGGGACTACATGATTCAGTGGGAGACACCACACATACCTTCTATTTTCATTTCGAAATTTATGAATCAAGAGGACCTCCACGATGACATAGGTCCTATAGCATATGACAATTCTTGCACTGAAGGTAAAGAAATGCTGGTGCGCTATACACGAGCATAGAAGAATCACATCACACTTTCATCCACGTCTCGCATGGAAACCCCCAGCTCAATCCATCCACTGCCTCCGTGCCGGGCGCTTCGTGCGTGTAGAAGCCCACAAGTGTCTCACCAGTTGGCCAGGGCACGGCGTGGCAGCCCTTGGCGCAGTGCTCGCACCGCCGCTCCTCCCCGCACAAACTGTTTCTCACGACCAGGAAGAAGTGGCTGTAGCTGGCGAGGACGCGGCACACGTCCGGCTCGTGCATGGCGGCGTGCGCGCACCAAGTCTCGGTCATCCGGTAGTATCCGGGAATGCTGAGGCCGCGAAGACGGGGCATCCTGCCGGCGTGAATGGAGGCCAGGACGCGCCAGGACACCGCGTTGGACAGGATGAGCCACTCCAGGGCGGGTAGTCCCAGCAGAGCCGAGGCCAGCTCCATCTCGAGGCGGCCGTTGAGTCCTGGTTGAGGCAAGTACGTGAAGTCCAGCTTCCGCAGCGCGGCGCGGCCCGAGGACGCCAGCACCGTCAGCAGCCCCTGCTCCACGGGAACCAACCTGTGACAGCCGTACCTGAGCTGCAGCTCCTCGAGGTGCGTGGCGGCGCGCAGGAAGGCCGCCGCGGTGGCCTGAGACGCAGCCTCCACGGCGCTGTCCTTGCAGTCCTTCACGGTCAAGTTCAGGGAGCGCAGCGACGCGCATTTCGCCACCAGCGGCAGGTCCTCCATCACGGGGCACTCCAAGCGCTGCAGCCCGGGGATGGCGGCCAGCAGCGGTGCCACGCCCTGGCAGTCCCCCCACAGCTGCACGGCCTGCAGCGTGGCGGCGTGCGAGCGCAGCACGCAGTGCACGAAGCGGGGGTCCACGTCTGTGAGGGCCACCTCCTTGATGGACGCCGGGATCGGCGGCGCGGGCCCAGCCCCCACGGGCCACTCCATTATCGCCAGGACCACCACGACCAACCGGGTCAGGCCCTGGGTGGAGAAGGCCTCCGCCAGCAGGTCCGCGAAGACGTGGCCGTCGTTGGTTCTGTAAACCTCCATGTACACTTGTAGAGTCCTCAGCATCCCCAGCGCCGCCTGGTTGCGGATCGCGAGTTTGGCCGCATCCAGCCGTGCGGGGTCGTCGTCCACCTCGAGCATCAGCTCGACCGCCGCGCATCTGGTCGTGGCGGCCAGCGTGCCGAGCGCGTCGCTGTCGCCTTCGAACCGCATGGACAGGCGGGAGGCACACGGCGCCAAGCGCAGGACGGCGGCCTGCAGACTTCTGGTGGAGAGGTCACCTTGCCCGAAGCCAAAGCTGCGTCGCCGCCACAGCTCCGGCCGAAGAGCGACGTCCCGCAAGCGATGACACACCGCCCGGCAGGACAGCAGGTCTGGCGTGCTCAGGTACTCCAGCACGCTCAGCAGGTCGTCGTCCGGCAGCGACAGCAGCGACGTCTGCGCAGAGTTAGGAGGGAGAGGTAGAGAAAACGTTGACGCTAACATGAAAGCAGATAATACTAATGAAAATGTTTACTTAAATTTACGGTGGTATAAATTTGCCACGATAGATACTGATAAGATATCACTTAATTTAAAAGGGAAATCACTCAAAGCTCTTTCGGTGACAAATTTCTTACGCATGCACTCAAGACTCCTTGCGGACACCAATACGAACGCAATACGGACGGTTTTGTGCAAACGTACGGTGCGGACGTAAAACTCTTCCTAATACGGATGAAATCACCCGTATTACAAGCAAAATCTATCCGTAAGTACAATTGCACAAAAATGTCCGCAATACAGATAGATGCATCCGTAAGAAGTTTAGTGTGTGTTTATATGCGCCCTACCCAGAAACACCAACGTGGCTTCTAGGCTCAGCGTTTACATTGTGAAAAATGGTGACAGAGTGGAAGGTTTACGCCCTTTTTCTGCGTACGGCTTAAATTTGGCTTGAAATGTTGTTTAACTTGGGTGAAACCTAAAAGGGATCCGAGAATAAGAATGTAAGGCCCTGGAAACCAGACAGTGTGCCGGGGCTACATTGCGCGCAGTTAGCATACAGAAGAAGCGCGAGCGCGAGACATTTACATCGAGGGCAATCAACGGTTTCGGCAGACGACTTACTGCACTGCACACGTACAATGTACAAGTTTGTACGAAACATCGGTTGTCGGTGCCCACGAACTTTTCACACAATTTAAGTACGAAAAACTGAAATTTTTTCACAATTTTGTGCGAAACCGCGTACACGTTTGTACGAAAAGTTCGTGTGCACAAAATACTTTCATGTCTCGTCCAAATTGGTACGAAAACATTTAGTATGTGGGATACATGCCGCACACTGTTAGGTCGGACTTCCAGTCCCGCACGGCTATGCAGCTCTCTCTCGACTTGCCCAGCAGCTTTGCGTGTCTCCAGGCGTACAGGCGATTTAAAAATCGTTAGTCCGAAATGACCCAGCGACTCAGCCTCTCTTGGTTTTCAGTTAGTACACACCAAAAGCTTCATAATACGAAGAAACCGAAGGCATTGCAAATTCTGCGAAGAATTGCTTCGTATTACGAAGCACAATACTTCGTGTAATAAGGTACTTTCGTAGATCCTGAACCGGAAGCAATCTGATCAGCAGACGCCAAATTGGCCGGAAACTAACCTCTCTTCGGATCCAAAACTATAGCCAAGCTGTACAAATATTGCTCGCGAAACACATTTGCACTGCAAACAAGTATCAAACAACTGTTTATGTTCAAGTGTGGCCGATACGTTTGACTAACGTCTCTTTCCCATGTCAAGTTTGGATCTACTTCCGCCAACATGGCGTCCGTGTGCTTCCGGTTCAGGGATCTACGAAAGTACCCTGAAGCATTTCTTCATAACACGAGGCAATTCTCCAATGCCTTGCTTCTCTTCGTAGGTGCGAAGCAAACGATTTCAAAACTTTGTTGAATTAATCTGAGAGCTTGCATAGTGCACGGTCCGGTTTAGTCCATCCGCAAAGCATGAAACGATTCACGAACTTCCTGGGAACAACGGACCCGGCGCCTGAAGTCGCCTTACCTCTTCGTTTGGCCCCTGCGACGGGACTTCTTCCTTCGCCATGGTTTGGCCGTCCGCAGCAGCTTTTGGAGACTTCCGCAAGGACTCCATGACCGTCAGGTTCCGACAGTGGTCGAGGATGAAGTCTCCCTGGGAAAGCGCTCGAAGTCTTGAGTGCGGCCCACGCAGGATGAAGCGGTGTCGGGACTGTAAAAGTGCCAGTAACGGGGCGTCAATTTAAGGGAGGGAGGGGGGGAGGGGAATCCTAGCCAGTGTAATGACCTGCTGGACACTTGAAACATAAGACCTCATCCCAGAAATGGAAAGCACCTCACAAATTCCATCCGTAACACGAGTGTAAGCGTGCATAAGTAAATATTGCGTATCGTTGCGCTGCGTGAGGGGAAGGGGACCCGGGCGGACCCGGGCCTGCGTAACGCCACCTTCTAAGGTGAGACTGGGGGAGCGAAAAGTGTCCAGCAGTGCGTGACGTAATGAATGGATGGACTCTAATGAAAGCGCGGGTCCAGAAACGAGGGGCGAAAAGGACCAAAGGGTACCTCTATGAATCTTGAAACGCAAGAACAAAAGTAAGCCCTCAAAAGGGCTTCTGCGCATGAGCACCGGGCGGTGGGGAACGTCTGGGCATGCAGAAGCTGTTTTCAGGGCTCACTTTTGTTCTTCTTCTTCCGTTTCTAGATTAATTGGAGTGCAAGATTCCCCCCTCCCCCGCGCATTTTAGAAAGCCGGCATTCAACACCGTGACGCAAGACTACGAAAAGTTAGTTTAATTTTTATTCCATGATTCTTCGTACCCTCAACCCAACAATTTCCACAGCCTCGTACTAATATATTCCGTAGGACTCAAAGTATCCCCCGCATCCGTAGCCAAGTAATGAGGTGTAACCCCCACAGAGAACGTTAGCAAGAAGAGCACGGAATATGTGAGGATCTGGGTACGGAGAATCATCAAAAGTTCATTTCTGAATTCTCCGTAACATTTTATTCCACGGCGAAGGAAGGCAAAAACTTACACAGAGCTGTGCAGAGCTGTGCGAACAGGAGGCTTTGTGTGGCGTTGGTGGCTGCTGCCGACGCCGACTGCTGACGCGGACTCGACGCGGCGACGGCGACTCGGGCGGGCCAGGGGTGGGGGGTGGCCGGGCTCGCAACCCGACTCCCGGCTGGCGGAGGTAGAGGCTTTGGCGAACTGCTGCTGCTCAGAGGCGGAAGTAAGTAGAACTGAAACGGCTGTCGGAATTGACCCACCAGCTGAACCAATCTTATCTTGATTCGAGGGAAGCGTTCCTCCAGTGTAGAGGAACCAACGCGGGGAAAAGTAGGGAAGATTGGCAGGATCTACGAGGACCTAAGGTAACCTGTGAGTGAGTGTGAGAGCGAAGGTGTCCACGGTGCCCGCCCACTAAACCCGTTTGGTTCGCCTGTACACTTCTTCAGTCTTCGTCGGTGAAGATCAAAAGCAATAGGGTACTTTCGTAGATCCTGAACCGGAAGCAAGCAGACCAGCAGACGCCAAATTGGCCGGAAATTAACCTCTCTGAATCTAAAACTATAGCCGAGCTGTACAAATATTGCTCGCGAAACACATATGCACTGCCAACAAGTATCAAACGACTATATATGTTCAAGTGTGGCCGGTACGTTTGACTAACGTCTCTTCCCAATGTAAAGTTTGGATCTACTTCCGCCAACATGGCGTCTGTGTGCTTCCGGTTCAGGGATCAACGAAAGTACCCTACTCCTGACCGCAGTTCATCAGAGATCTGAACGTAAGAGGAAACTGATCAACCTGTAACCGAGCCGAAACCAGCACCACAAATTTAGCACATCAAAATGTAGAGAGGATTGCGACGCGCAAGTTACGTAGTGACCGTTACACAGGGCAAGGTCGTGATTGAGTCGTCGACTTTCGGTTAGGATCGTGAAGAATTAATAGACTATTCTAGTCGTGGCTGAGTGAAGAACAAGAAGAATGACAAAAGACGCTATTTAGGGCATTTAAAGTGTATATATTTGATGAGATATGTTGCATTTACTAGAAAATATTTGAATTAACTTCTACCAAGCTAGGGAACTTAAACATTTGAAGTAAAAGTGCAAAAAAGTACACTGTTGAGATTATTCTTGTTCTTCACTCAGCCACGACTAGAATAGTCTATTCACTCGAGCGTGACGTTTCTTCAACTTCAGCCGATAGATGCCATGTCTGCATTCCGATTTTGTTCCTACTTCCGGTCCACACGTCTTTTGAAATCAGTACCTTGTAAGTGGGACTGTTGGTGGCGTTGCGCTCCCTGCTGCACCTTGGTCTAGGGAATCTGCACGCTCTGGGTCTTCCCGACCTCGTGTCTCACCCGCGTAACGCTGTGGCACTCGGGAACGGGGTTGCGACCTGCGTATCGTCATGTGAGTACATTTTTCAAGAATGGGAAGTTGAATAGGGTACTTTCGTAGATCCTGAAACCGGAAGCAAGCAGACCAGCAGACGCCAAATTGGCCGGAAACTAACCTCTCTTCGGATCTAAAACTATAGCCGAGCTGTAAAAATATTGCTCGCGAAATACATATGCACTGCAAACAAGTATTAAACGACTGTTTATGGTCAAGTTTGGCCGATACGTTTGACTAACGTCTCTTTCCCATGTCAAGTTTGGATCTACTTCCGCCAACATGGCGTCTGTGTGCTTCCGGTTCAGGGATCCACGAAAGTACCCTATCCGAGGTCAGTTGAGTAATTTGGCTTGACGCTGGGCAAGGGTGGCGGGGACGGGCCTGCGTAACTCTGCGTAACACAGGCAGTCCTAGGGGACGCAAAAGTGTCCGAAGGTCTTGACTGGAAGTCTGGAGCCACGGTCCAAGAAAGCTAGCACTCCTTGCAGCGTTCCAAACATTATTGATCCCCGATGGTGCCTCTGGGTGTCACGCACTTCGCTCTGCCTACACTTGCCTGTCAACGCAGGTAGGTAGCTGCAGGCTTCAGCTCTGAAATCCTCTGACATTTTTGCCAAGCTCACGTACGGGTTTTGTTTTTCTACTGTGCCCCAGAGCCGGCGCAGTTGTGTTTGAGGTAATTTAAATTTAGGCCTCGGGTGTTTCGTGTTGAATGATGCGACGAATGGAACTTTGTCGTCATCCTATATAATATTTCGCATGTTTGTGGCACGGCTTGTTGTCATTACGTGATAAAAGTTTGGGTAGGCTAAAAGGTCTATTTCAACGTGGGGTGAATCACTCAACGTTCTGGTACACAAGTTTACATGAGTACGGCTGAGTGCACCTTCTTCAAACCGTTTTAGACTAGCGTTTAAGGCGACACACAACGCCAAATCGTGCCAAAAATTTGAGAATTTAGTTTTTTTTAAACTTGTGAGTACACGGAGTACAGGCCAATTTGTACACACTAGTACACTAGTGATTCACCCGCCATGTTTCCATCCCGTTGACTGTTTCACTGTGTCCACTTCGATCCTTCGAGCGATCAAACGCACCGGAAGTCGAGTCGCGTCAGCTCATCGCGAACATTTTATACGAGAAGTTGTGTCCACAACGTTTATTGGGGGGAGGCGTCAATTGCGGTGCATTTCTTTTAGCGATGGATCGAAGTGGTCTCAGCAAAAAAGGTGATTTGATAACTTCATTGTGCGACCTCCGCGTTGGGTTTTTAGGGTGCTTCAAAGAAGCTGTGGGCCGGAAGGCGGAGAACCAAAACGGAATTCAGAAATGACAGTTTCTAAGATAAATATAGTGAGCTTCACATTATCCGCCGAGTATTTTTCCTTTAGATACTGCCACTCCAGCTATTGGTCTCATTCTTCAGACCCAGACCTTTTTTAAGCTCTTGGGCGGCGGAGGAGTTGACATTGTGTCCTCTGACCGAAATGCGAGTGCTTGTCTCCGCGGGTTCACGGTCTCTAATGCCACGCTCCCACTGTCCGACAGCCTTGCACTGCTTCGTCCGGCGGGGCCCTCAGACTCGATTCGCTTCCCGAAGAAGACGTCTGCGGCGGCCGTTTCCGTCCGAACGGCCATGGAGTCCGAGGGGAAGCCGTCTGACGCCACGCAAGTCGCTGCCGTGGACAGCCCAGCCATGGCCATGGAAGATGAGATGCAGGGACTCAACGTGGAGGTGAGTCCCTCGAGCTGTCAGGGGAAGTGGTATTTACAACTGTATTGAAGGGTATGGTGGTGACTCCTGTGGCAAAAAATTATGGAGAAATCTGTAAACGGCTTGTGATAGTTCTCCGTACCCAGGACATAACATTTTTCCGTAGCCTTCTTGGAATCTTCCGGAGGTGGTTATGAGTCACCACCATCACCCTTTAAATGGGTGACGTAACTTCGTTGCCCAATTCTGCGTGACGAAAAATTCATCACCCGAAATTTGGTAACCGGCGTTAGGTCGTCCGCAAATGTGGGTAAGGTCGAGCATGCTGTGAGGTCCTCGATCGAGGCTCGATGGAGTCCTTCCGGGGCCACCATACGATGATCGCCACATATGATCGCCACATAGCGTTCAGGCTGCCGTGAGACCCAGAGGCCTCAACGCCACATAGCGGTCATCGGGGACCCTCACGGCGTCGCCGACGACGTTACCCACATTTGGGCGACCTAACGCCGGTTACCACGTTTCGGTTGACAGATTGCGTCACCCAAAATTGGGCAACGAAGTTGCATCACCCATTTTTAAAGGGTGACGGTGGTGACCCATTCATTCTCGGTGTTCACTGAGAATGAAAGAGTCATGATCATGACTAAAAGTTTTGGCGAGGAATCCTTTATCACCCAACCCAAATTTGGGTAAGAAAGGTTTCCTCACCCAAATTTGGGTCATAATACTATGGAGCCATATAGGTAGCTGATACACTCTTCCTCACCCAAATTTGGGCGAGAAAACCTTCCTCACCCAAATTTGGGCGAGAAAACAATCCTCGCCCAAATTTGGGTGATAAAGTTTACCTCGCCCAAAATTGGGTATTGATCATGACTCTTTCATTCTCAGTGTTCCGACCTGTTGGGTACGATTTAATAATCATGCTTGACACATTCGCTGCGACGGGGTTTTGGGCGGAATAGGTTTAGGTCAAGACTCCCAAATTTTCGGTGCTTTCTCCCCCTAAATGTGCGAACGCTCTGCGCAGACGTCGCTGCTGTCGCTGCCGGACGACGACCTGCTGAGCGTGCTGGAGTACCTGAGCACGCGAGACCTGCTGTCCTGCCGGGCGGTGTGTCATCGCTTGCGGGACGTCGCTCTTCGGCCGGAGCTGTGGCGGCGACGCAGCATTGACATCGAGTACCCCGCCTCCACCAGAAGCCTTGAAGCCGCCGTCCTGCGCGTGGCGCCGTGTCTCTCCAGCCTGTCCATAGGGTTTGCAGGCGACAGCGACGCGCTCGGCACGCTGGCCGCCACCACCAGATGCGCGGCGGTCGAGCTGATCATCTACGTGGACAACGAACCCACGCCGCTGGAAGCGGCTAAACTCGCGATCCGCAACCAGGCGGCGCTGGGGATGCTGAGGACTCTGGACGTGCGCGTGGTGGCCCACAAATCCAACGACGGCCACGCCGCGGACCTGCTGGCGGAGGCCTTTTCCACCCAGGGCCTGGCCCGGCTAGTCGTGGAGGTAGACTGGGAGGTGAAGTGGCGCAAGGGGGCTAAGCCCGCGCCGCTGATCCCGGCGTCCATCAAGGACGTGATCCTCGTGAACGTGGACCCCCGCTTCGTGCACTGCGTGCTGCGCTCGCACGCCGCCACGCTGCAGGCCGTGAAGCTGAGGGGGAACCGCCAGGGCGTGGCGCCGCTGCTGGCCGCCATCCCCGGGCTGCAGCGCTTGGAGTGCCCCGTGATGGAGGACCTGCCGCTGGTGGCGAAGTGCGCGTCGCTGCGCTCCCTCAAGCTAACCGCCGAGTACCCCGACGAGGCTGCGTTCCAGGCCACGGCGGCCTTCCTGCGCGCCGCCACGCACGTCGAGGAGCTCGAGCTCCTCTGGCATTATTACTCCGTCCCCGTGGAGCAGGGGCTGCTGACGGCGCTGGCGTCCTCGGGCTGTGCCGCCCTGCGGAAGCTGGGCCTCGCATACTTCACTGGACTCGACGACCGCCAGGAGATGGAGCTGGCGTCGGCTCTGCCCGGACTGCCCGCCCTGGAGTGGCTCGTCCTGCCCCGCACTGCGTCCCGGCGCGTCCTGGCCGCCATCAAACCCGGCAGTTCGCCTCGTCTTCGCGGCCTCTGCATCCCCGACTGGACGTCCGAGGCCGGGTGTGTGCACGCCGCCATGCACGAGCCGGACGTGAGTCGCGTCCTGGCTAGCTACAGCCGCTTCTTCCTGGTCGTGAGAAACTGCCTTTGCGGGCAGTTGCAGCGGTGCGAGTACTGCGCCAAGGGCTGCCACGGCGTGCCCTGGCCAACGGGCGAGTTAGAGGTGGGCTTCTACACGCACGAAGCGCCCGGCAAGGAGGCAGTGGCTGCATTGAGCTGGAAGTTTCCA